CTCCTTTTGCTTTGTCCCCCTTTGCCCCCTTTGCCTTTGCCCTTTGCCCCTTTGCCCTTTGTCCCCTCTTGCTCCCTTTCCCTTTGTCCCCCTTTGTCTCCCCTTTGTCCCTTGTCCCTTGCCCTTTGTCTCCCCTTTGTCTCCCTTTGCCCCCCTTTGCCCCTTTGTCTTTGCCCCTTTGTCTCCCCTTTGCTTGCTCCCCTTTGTCCCTCCTTTGTCCCCCTTTTGCTCCCTTTGCCCCTTTGTTCCCCCTTTGTCTCCCCTTTCTTGCCCCCTTTGTCTCCCCTCCCTTTGCTTCCCCTTTGTCTCCCCTTTCCCTTGTCCCTTGCCCCCTTTGCCCTTCAAATTACTAAATTTAATTTACTATTACGAAAATAGTATCCTTTTGATGAAACTGGAAATTGAATTGGTGTTATATTTACCAAGATTTTTGAATATATAATGAATAGTATACCTTAAATTTTTTTTCAATAATAGTTTGTTTGTTTGTTTTGTTTGTTTGTTTTATATTTTTTTAGGGTTATAGATTTACATAATTGCAGCATCTGTACAATTTTTTCTGTCATTGCCATATATTATTCTTCAATTGTCAATTTTTTCAAGTATCCAAATATCTTTTTTCAAAATATTTGATATTAAAGTCATTTGCATTTTGATTATTGTTATTATAAAAGATGGGACTCGATTAATTGTAAGTTCTGCTGCATTACTTTGAACTTTCACCTACCAGACCTTATAATTTTCATTATTCAACAAATTACCTGAAGTTAATTAAAACATGAAAAAAAAATTTTTAATGGTCTCTATCTCCTTGTTATATTTGGACGTTAATTCAACAATTTTATTGTCCTAGTCATAGAAAATTTCGTTAGTATATCACCAATTTTAGTTAATTTTATATTTAAGCGCTTTACCTTTTGTCATCCTTGAAACTATATCCATAAAATTATTACACACACTAAATAGTTTAATAAAAGAAACTTTAGGTAATTTAAATTACTGGCCTACAAAATTAATATTTTTCTGGATGATGGAAAATTTTTAATGATTTATATCCATTTCATGTTGTTTATTTTCTCTCAGTGAAATGTTCATAGTCAAAACGAGAAACTAAGCCTTAATTGAAACTGTGAGACATTTCTAAAAAAACGTTGAAGACAACAAATACTTTAAAAATATAAAAAAAACTGATCATAAAAGTATTAATCACAAAAAGAATTGAGGTTTCAGTTATGTTGAAACTGGAGTTATGTTGAAATGATTTGTAGTAACTTAGTCTTAATGATCCTTTTTGAAAGTTCTTGATTATGAATTCTTTTGAATCTAAGTAACAAATTGACATTATTTCTCTAGACCAAGATCTAGGAAAAACAAGTACGCAAAAGATTAAGAGAAATTTTTAATTTAAACCTCATCAATACAAATTTTAATAAATGTCAGAGAAAAGGTCTAGACAAACTTTCAAGGGAAAGTTCAAAACTGAATTTTTAATTCTGGTGCATATTATGGGGCAATTTGAAGTATTAAAAATCTAGAAAAAAAATTTAAATTGGTATATTGAAAATATATCCAAGTTTTTGAGATTTTTAAAAATTGAAAAAATTCAATTGAAGTGAGTGACACCATAGTAAGCTGTATGGTTTTATAATTTAATACAATACTTGTCTAGAAACTGATCTACCCATTAAATATGATCTTCAGTTATATATTATTAGATTGTCGTCTATTTTGAATTTTCGACGATATATTTTATCAGAATGAAAATTTACAAGGACAACAAAAGTTGGTCACGTAAGTATTTTCGTTGTTGTCATTTTTATGCAGAAATAAATGCAATTCAGAGAAATTATATTTTTTGAATATATACATATTATGGAGACTCTTGGTATCTTTAAGTGTTAGAATATTTAGTTCATTTTCGGTTACTAAGATTAATATTCGTCATGAAACTCAAATTATCTCCAGTTTATCATTTTCTCTTTATTAAACTTTGTAATTTTATCAGAAATGATTATCATGTACATTAGAAAATTTATCTATTTTTATCTAGACTTAGTTTAAAAAGAAATAAATATATTTGCGCTTTACAAAAATTTCAAACTAATTGTTTTTTTTTTTTTTTTTTTTTTTTTTCATGACACCCCTAAAGAAACTCTCAGCTACTTAATAACCCCTGTTTTTCTAAAAAAAGGTATGGAAAAACAGATTTTGCAATATTTCTCATTGTATCCGAATGGTATAGGAAAATATTTATTTATAAATTATAAGTTATGTGGTGTATGGTGTATAATTTTCTAAGAGGCTATTGAGATTTTCAAATTTCATTTAAGAAGCTTATAACTTTTATTAAAAGTATTTGGATTAGCATAAACTATAATTATGGTTAATTAAATATGTTAATAGTATGTGCTTAACTGTAGTTAAATTTGCATTTAACTTTATTTGTTACATGTAATAATATTAATAAAGCTTTGACCCTTGTTAAATTTGTAAAGAATTAAAATTTTATAATTATAATTGTTATAACAATTATAATTTAAGTAATTACTTAAATTAGTGAAGTAACAGCTTAGTTTAAGTTCAAGATGGTCCTTGCAGATCGTGTGGCACAATGTGTAATTGAAACGTTTTTAAAGCTTCCACCTAAAGGCAAGCCTGTTAAATCTTCTAATAGACCTTCAGAATGGACCATACTTGCTGGAATCGTTCTAGAGTCAGCTCAGGGAATGGAATGTGTCGCTCTTGCTACTGGGCTTAAAGCAAGTCCTGATGCTATTGTCAAAATTTCCAATGGTAATATTTTACATGATTCTCATGCTGAGATTTTAGCAATTCGCACATTTAACCACTTCCTATTAAATGAAATATCCCAACTGCCTACACACCATAGCAAATATATTCAGGCAATTGAAAATCCTGCTAGCTCTTATTTATTTGAAGGATTTTCAAATGTGAAAATTCACATGTATATTTCTGCGGCTCCTTGTGGAGACGCAAGTTTATCATTACTTAGTGATCTAAATCAAGATGAGCGATGGACAGACCCCATTGAGCCCGTAGTTCCTGGAGGGCCGTTGCGTGGTCGTGAACATTTTTTTCACACAGGTTACGTTCGCACTAAACCTGGACGGCGCGATTCACCTATTACATTATCAAAATCTTGTTCTGATAAACTTGCCATGAAAATTGCCACAAGCTTACTTTTAGGCCCTACATCAACAATAATATCTCCAAAGAATTTTTATTTATCTTCGCTAACTATTCCTGAGTCTGAATATCGCACTTCCGATATTAATCGAGCATTTGGTCCCCAAGGAAGACTAAAAGGTTTACAAACTCAAGCCCCTATCCATGGCACATACTCTCCCCATTTTTTTACCGTTTTTCCTACAAAGATTACTTTTCCTTTTCAAAAGTCTAAAGAATCCAAACCTTGTTCACAATCACTCATTTACTTTTTAAATGCTCAAGAAGATAAAAGCGGAACGTTTAAAAAGTCTAGCGAGGTTTTATTTTCGGGTGTAAAAATTGGAAATAAAATCTTATCCGGTAATGGGACCAGTCGAATTTCGAGAAGAGGGATCTTTTCGGATGTCGTTAAATATATTCCTCAACATCAAAATACTTCCTACTTGGATTTTAAAAATCTCAATGATGATAGACGGAAAATGAAACAAGAAGTATATAAAATTCTAAATAATTGGACACCAACTAGTGATGATGACTTTAAATTGTAAAATAAATAGGTGAATATTCCAAAACTCAAAATTATACATTGCAATGTTGATTATCGATGAAATCTGGGTAATGTTTAGACCCTTTATAATAAAATTTATTTTAATTCCGTTTTTATTCTTAAAATAGAAGTCAGAGAGTTTTTAAGGTTGAAAGCTTTCCTAATTCATTTTGTAAATCTTTATTTCGTCTCGTTAAAAGAAAAATATCCTCCATTGTAATTGTCTTCTTTTTTCGTAAATCTACAGCAAAAGCCTCAATATCTGATCCAATGGTTATTAGCTGCTGAATCACTAGCTCAGTCAAGGCAGCTGTATATTCTGGAGAAATCTGGGGTATCTCTAATGCATTTGTTTCATCATTGACAATCTGGCACACTGTATGCCATAAAGCTCCTTTGAGACGGCGTTCTTCGTTCATTTTAACTTGATAAAGGGAAAGGATTGTGTGGTAATTAAAAAAAAGTTGATCTACTTAATATATGTATATTTTAGAACGAAGTATATTCCATACTGTGTTAGGGATCCAATCAAAATACTTTTCAATTTTTTTTTTTCTCGACGTCGTTTACTATCAAAAATATTTTTCCTCAATGGAAATCTCAACTCAAACAACCTTTCAATGAAATCTGTTTTTACATGTCTTGCAAGAGCCCCTCAGGCCCTGTCGACTCGGCAGTTTCAGTGTCGTTTTTTCTGCTCTACATTGAAATGCATGTCGTCTAATCTCCCCGGTATTGTTTCTCCTTATACCTCGGTTCAGCAACAGTTAGTGAAGGATCTAAATAGCAGTAATGTTGGATCTTCCACTCAACAAGATATGGTCAATTTGAATGATTCAGAGCATATGCTAAGAGGATTAGACCGTCTTCGTGTTATTCCCAAAGACCCTACTTTTTATATGTCAAATCCGCCTCATGAGGAAACAATGAGAAATTTAAACATTCTTCTTCGCAAATATATTAATCTCCCCACGGTGACTCGAGATGAAACGGCTGCGGTATCATGGATGACATTTGAGGAATACTCAGCTATTGGAGGTGGGTCGCGTTTAAAGCCTATTCAATACAAGTCTCTTGTTAAACTTTTAAACAGACTTTCATTGATTGATCCCCAACTTATGCCTAATGAGATTTGGGAGGGTATCCGACCGTTTGTCCGTGACAGAGGATCAAAAAGCTCTCTTAGCTTTCAAAAGTCCTTGGACCAATTTGGTAGAGCGTCAGCAGTTGGTAGGAGAAAGACGTCTAGTGCTCGTGTTTATGTTACCAAAAATACTGAGGCTGCCCAGGGCCAAGTTCTTGTTAATGGAAAGAATTTAATTGAATATTTCCCTCGTTTGGTGGATAGAGATGCTATGTTATACCCGCTAAAGGTTGTTGATCTTGTCGGTCAATTCAACATTTTTGCGACTGTTCAGGGAGGTGGCCTTACCGGTCAGTCTAACTCTATTGCTCTTGCTATTGCTAGAGGAATAGTTATGCATAATCCTCTTCTAAAATCAAGACTTCACCGTGCTGGTTGTCTTACAAGAGACGCTAGAAAGGTCGAAAGAAAGAAGCCGGGCAAGCCAAAGGCCAGAAAGTCGTATACCTGGGTCAAGCGTTAATTTCTATATATATGGCTTATGTATATATTTTCTAAACCTGTAAATAAATATATATTTTTTTTGTTTTCGGTTTTCGGTTTTCGGTTTTCTATTTATTTATTTATTTTATTCATTGAACTTATTTTTATATTTTTATATATTTTTTATTTTTTTTATTTTTCTGTTGTAAGTTTTTAAGTCATTCATTAGCTTAGGTTACAAATAATTATTATTGAAATAACAGAAATAATTTTTATAGGTTTACAGGCAACTGGATAATTCTTTGATGTCATGAAAAACAAAATGCTTTTTCGTTATTATTCTTCAGCGGTAAAACCTAGACGCACCATCCCTTCACATTTATCATTAGAATATGTATGATTGAACTATCTATAGTAATTAGCGTTTTAACTAAAGAGAAAAGTTTATTGAATCTGCAAAGGCACGACAATTATGGAGATTTATAGTCAGATCAACTTATTGTATGTGAATCTAATGAATTCTCTTTGAAAAAAGAACTAACCATGCCAAGTGTTACCTTCTATATCTCAAAGGGAAGAGTTGAAAAATTGGGCTCGCGGTGACTTTCTGCGGCACAGTAAAGAAACTGATCCAGTATGTTCTTTTTTTTTTTTTTTTTTTTTTTTTGACAAAATCTAATATTTCCAGACAAAAATAAAATATCTAGTTTCACGCGGGACTAAAGAGGTAAATGATATGGCCAAGTACCTTCAGCTTCCAACACAGTTTGAGCTTCCAAAACTATCGATAAAAAGTAACAAGAAATAAGGCTAGGAAAATATCTCCATCTTTTTTCTATTAGGCTAAAGAATAATATATAAGCATATTTACATTAATAAATTGCTAAAACTTGGTCGTTCTAATCAATGTAAGAGACTCATCTAAAGAAGCATAAATACTATCTACAACAGACTCTATCAAAGCTCCATTCATATCGATTCTATTATCCTTAAGCCAATCATTTAAGAACGCAATATCAGCTTGGCTCTTTTCATTTCGTGAGTTTTTGATTTTCAAAGCCGTTTCCTTTATCAAAGGAACAAATTGTTCTAGTAAATTATTTTTAAGGTTTTCAGCTTGATGATTGTCATATTTGATTTGGTTGCGATGGCGATGAAGATTGACAACATATTCATTGATTATGAGAGAAATTTCTGATGCCTGAAACAATGTATGAACTAGTTTCCATCCAAGTTGAAGATCTAATTTTAATGAAGACAATGTAAAATATATCTTTTCGTATCCTGAATGATCCAATTTATTAAGAGCTGATTCAGCAAGAGATAAAATAACTTGGCATGACCAAATTTCTGCTTCTGTTAATTCAATCAAAGTATTTCTATCATTTAAAAGGTCTTTTAGTAAAAGTGAAGTTTCTGAAAGCCTATCCGTCTTAATCAAACTTTTAATGATTTCGTTTTTGGTTTCATGTATTTTGACCCAATTAGGTCCAACTCGGGGGCCAGGCATTATGATATGTGAAAGTCTGTGAGTATTTGGTCGTGGAATATCCCACATGATATCAAAATCTCGATTGTCTTCAAGTTTAGCTGTATCTGTGTAGTTAAGAAAACTTAGATCAAAAGTCTTATGCGGGTAATGAGAAAGCTGACTCAATTGAACCCCCAAGATGCTTTTCGTGATACTATTATCAACAACTTTGCGAAGTTGAAAAAAACTTTCCAATTGGGTGTAAACATCATTTTCGTATACCTTTAAAAGCCCATTAACCACTTCATCATTAAACGTTTGGTATGTATTAATAGCTTTAACCAAAACGCTATCGTTTGGAAAAAAAGACATTGAGCGTGTTATAATAAAGTGAGACATGGAGTCAACTTGGAGGTTTTGTACTCTCAAAACGGAATAATGGTGGAAAGATTTTTTGAAGGCACCGAGTAGTTGATAAATAACGACAAGCCATAGTCTAACATAAAACTGATGCTTATCATTTTCACATGCTAGTTCCAATAAAACTGCAGCCTTTGTCAATGATTGAAAATCAATAGAAGTTTCCAAAATAGCATATGCTGCAATAAGAAGATAGTCGTCACCTGAGTGATAATCTTTATCATCTTTTTTCTTTAAAAAATGTTTAGACTCATTATACAGATGAACTTGATGTTGAATCAAGGAATCAACATTATAACTCTCAGGTCTAAATAAAAATCTGAATTTTTCAACATTAACTGGCAAATTCTGCTGAGAATTTTTGATTTCGATCTGGTCTAAGAATTTAAGCCATTTAGTTCGATCAAAAAGGGGGCTCAGCATATATGCCCTTAAATCATTAAACACACTGCGTTTATCACCCATATATTCAAAATATTTTTCTGTCGCCTCGTTAAGTGAAGGGACAATGTTTGTATAATCGGTGTTATTACCCAATTCAAATGACAAATGAACCAAAGCAAGTTTAGAATTTTGACCAACTTTATAGTCCGAAATGAACTTGTAGAGAAACTCCACATCCTTTAAATTTATGCATGCACTGATTAAACCTTTCCAATGATTAAAATCATCTCTAGAAAGATTCTTCAAAATTCTGATACATTGATTTTTTAACCCCTGCCAATCTTGAATCTTGATAAGTGTTTCAAACAATATGATATTTAAATCAAGGGAGTCCCAGTTTCGCACTTCTTCAGTTTGTAAATAATGTATAATATCATTAGGCAGGTTATTGATTTCATAAATCAAGCACTTTAAATAAGCTTCCTGAGGTGACTTAACTGGTTCGGTTTTCTTTAATAAGCCCAGTGCCAATTTGGGAAACAATGTTTTTTCAACGTCGGTAACATTCGAAAATTTTAAAGACATGTAAATGCATGATATCGCCCACAGTGTGTACTTTCTATTTCCCAATGTACTTAGAGCCATTGCTGCCTTCTGTTGTCCTTTAAAGTCACCAACAGCTAGCATAGTATCAAACCAAACATCTCTAATAAATTGCTCATCCTTAGGGGTTTTCTTCGCAACTGCTTCAAAGTATTGCTGTAATTTGTCAACTAATTGAGAGTTAGAAAGATAACGTTAAGAAAAGTCAATAACATACACCGCCCTGCACATCGATATGTATCTTGTAAAATCATCATAATCTGATGGTTATTTATCCCTGTATTAGCTACTTTGTCCGCCCACAAAAGACCTTCTTCAATGTTATTCAGAAGAACAAGTACTTGTCCTTTAAGAGCCTACTATATATTAGATATGTACAAGATAAATTCCATGAAATGCTTACCAAATAGTATATACTATTAGGCGATTTTTTTAGTTCTTTATTAATTTTCGTAAGAGCTTGACGGTAGCTCCCCGAATTTATTAAATTCAACAAATTTCTGTTGTCTGAATTCATTTTCAATTTTCACACAAGTTGAAAGTGAAAACAAGTATAAGTGAATGAAAATTTTCTACCTGTCGTGATCTTTTGTGATGGTATACACTTGATTAAATTAACTATGCTAGTGAGATCTACCTAACATGCAATTGTTATATTATCCGTGTTAATTTTTTGTCACATTAAAGCATTATTTACATTAATAATAACCACACATTAATTAATAATAGCCAGTCAATAATTATTGACTGCTAATAAACCCCGAATGTAAGGTTTTTTTTTTTTAAAAAAAAAAAAGATAACTTATCAATTCATTTTCACTTTTTGAATTCATTTCATCTTTTAACAAATTAAGAAAAAATTTAAAAAAAAAATAAATTATTATTTAAATAAATTGTAAAATACATAGCATTGAATATCATAAATGAAACTACTGTAAAAGCTGGTCTCGGTAATGTGTTTGAAAATTAACGGTTTTAGTTTCTCTGCGTCTTTCCCGATTTTGCAACATATTTTGTTCTCTCACAGCTTGCTTTCTTAATTTTTCACGAACAGGATCACGTTCTTTAACGAGATTATTAGCCCTTCTGTCCGCAGCAATAAGAGTTCCTTGGTCTTCAGGAATAATGTTATATGGAAGATTTTGTTTATAGTAACGGGCGAGAGATCTGTGACCAGCCCGAAGGTTGCCCATTGCGAGCTCCAGTCCAGATTCTAAGACCACAGCTGCATCTTCATAATCACCTTCAGAAAGTTCTTCATCAGACTCCGACGCTGATTCATCTTCCCATTCATCATCATCGTCTGCGCCCTTGACAATAGTCGTCTCATTAGTTTCCTTCTTATATGAACCTCTAAAGTCATAAAAGTCGGATATCTCAAGTTTTTCATCCATCGTTTCGTAAGGAATCTTGATATGACGTTTAGCAATCATATGAGCACGTACAGCTTCAAGTGATCTGGATTCAAAGTTACAGTAAAGGCACATGTTTCCCAATCCAATTTTTTCTCCCAAGTATGTCATCAAACCAGTCAAATCGGTTAAATATTCGCGTTCAGGGATGAACAAACCAAAATGTTTACGAAGGTGTTCTGCATTTTCTTCAGGCGATGGAAACACACGGCCTGTCATGAAACAGACGTTCGGTGGAATAGGTTTATTTTTTCTTAATCGTCTTTTGATTTCCCGATCAATTTCATCATCACCTTCCTCGTCTTCCAAATCTTTATCATTTAAGGAATAACTTGATTCGGTGTCACTGATCTCGGAGATCGATTCGGTGTCCGTATCAATTTGTGTTTTGTTTGTGGATATGGGATCTCCTAATGAAAATGTAGAAGAATCGACGCTTTCCAAATCTATACTTCTTTTGTTATCAAGCTGTTCTCGAGCGCTATCCAAGGCTTCCTGAGCCGCTAAATTAGATGCAAGCCTTCGTTTCTGCTTTTCCTCAAGACGCTTATCTTTCTTCGTGACTTGTCGTTTGCCACCACGATTCCCCTTTTTCGTATGATCTGATTCTTCTTGTTGGTTTTGTAAAGCCTTTTCGGCAAAAATCTCGGCTGATATAGGCGGAAGCTGCGCAACACGGCGTTTAAGATTATATCGATGCCATTCGGTTTTCATATGAAGCCGCTGTAAATCAGCAGTCGGAAATGAAAGACCACAAGTGTTGCAAGTGAATAAAGGAATGCCACCATCGGAAGCGCCACGAGATATAGTAACCTCCATGATTGAAATTTGAAATTTGGTTCTTAATAATTATTAATTAAAGATGCTGAGGAACATCAGTTTTGTTTAAAAATTTTTTTTAATTTTATTATTGCGATTAGGTAATTTTTTTATGACTGTGAATTACTCAACATACTCAACATACTATGGCTTACGAGAATTATTTAATAGTTACATGAGAATCAATAGAACTTAACAGTTTTCAAGTTAACTTATAAGTTAATAAGGTTAACATGTATGTGTCAAGTTACAATTTTTTGCTGCTGAAAATGAGTCAATCCTTGCGTTAACTCTTATTGATGTATTATCAGCTATTAAACTAATATTGGCAATAAACAACTACACATTGAACCTCAAAAAATAAAGCCATGTTCAAATAAACAAAAATTAGTTTCGTTTTATAATCTACAATGTAATACAATAAATATTTACAATTTTAACATAAATTCAATATTCCATGTTTTTTTTTAAATTAATTTATATCACTATTAAACCAAATAGAAATATTTGAATTTATCGGTACTTGACAAAGCCAATATCAGCAGCCTTCTCTCTGAAAGACTGTCTGCAGATGTTAAGACCGTACTTGCGGATAACAGCATTGCGGGAAGCAGTAATACGGCTAGTAAAGTCAGTAAAACATAATTTCAAAGCATAGTTCTCTATCTTACCATTGACGAGAGCCCTTGCCGTAAGTTCTGGGGTGGGAGTACCAAACGTTCTCGTGAGCCATTTTTGCTATTCTAAAGTTAATATTCAATCATATTAAAAATTCGTTTCATAAAATCTCACTGCATAGGTACATACCTATCTGATGGTTTGCAAGTTTGTGATATTGAACTTGAGTTGAGCAGGAGTATAAGTAAATCAAGACTTTTTTTTTTTTTTTTCTCTCGATACAACTAGAAAGACTGTAAAAAAAAATTTCAACCCTTACCCAATTTAGCAGTCACCTGTGAGAATTGCAATAATTTATTAGGGCTAAGCCCTTTTAATTATTTTAATAATTATTTACAATCATTACATAATCATTAAAATTTTATTTTGGAAAGTTGATTTTGGATTTTTGGAAATCCTCAAATATGCTATTTGAAGTGAGTTGAAAGTCAACAGTAATCAACAATGAGTGGTGTTCAACATCATAGAGCCACTTTAAAGAAGAATCATAAATCTTTTAAATCGAGACATTCTACAAAGGGGCAAATCAAGACAGTTCAGAAAGGTGTGTTGTTATAACATGAATTATATGGCGATATATAAATTGAGATATATATTAACATAAAACGATAGGAAAGATTGAAAAAGATTCCAATAGCAAAGGGAAACCCTATATTTTAACCAAAAATGATAGAAAAAATACAGCAAAACAAATTTTAAAACAAAAGGTATCCGTTGTGAACAACAACAAAAAACTTTTTTCAGGTTCACAGGGACTTTCTAAAGTTGTTACTATTGTTCCTCTTTCTTCAAGTATCGATGCGAAATCAGTTGTAACTTCTATTATTGGTTCTGTTGATCAACAAGCAGAAGTCAATAGTCCTGGAATAACATCAGTTTATTTGGATCGTTTCAAGCAAAATCTTACATTTGTAATACCTCCAGCGAGCTTTTTGGCTATTATTGACTCTGCTAAAGTTGCTGATTTTGTTGTTTTTGCTCTCTCTGCTACTGAGGAAGTCGATAAGTTTGGCGAACTTTGCATTCGTACAATCGAATCTCAAGGAGTTTCATCTGTATTTTCGGTTATAAGCAACTTAAACGATGTTGATACTATCAAAAAGCAAACCGAAGTCAAATCCTCCCTTTCAAGTTATTTTTCTCACTTTTTCCCTAGTAGTGACAAGCCTTTTACAATAAGCAATTCAGCAGAATCTTTGAATTTATGCCGATCATTGTGTCAAAAATACCCCAAGGGAATAAACTGGAGAGATGAAAGGCCTTATATTTTAGCCGATAAGTTTTATTGGCAAGATGATTCAAATTCTGAAAATGGTGGCTATCTTGCGGTTGAGGGTGTTGTTCGTGGAAAGGGCATCGATCCTAACCGATTGATCCATATCCCAGATTTTGGAGATTTTCAAGTTGCTAAAATAGCTAAGAGACAGTTTCAAAGACATTCTGTTCTAAAGGAAGACATATCTAACGAGTCTGAATTCCCTGACAGTTCACAGGACGATGTTGATCCATTCATTAACATAGATGCCGACATGATGAGCGACGAAGAAGAATATGATATGACGGCTGAACCGTCAATTGAACAAGGTGTTAGACTAGATGATCACCTTTATTTCCGTGATGAATACAAAGAAGATTTGGATCAGAAATTAAAATCTCGAAAGATTCCAAAGGGAATGTCAAGTTACCAGGCTCGTTGGATTTTAGATGATGATGAATTTTCGGACGAAGACATTAGCGACAACGAAGAGATGGAAGATGAAAATGGAGAGGGAGATTTTGGAATAAGCAAGCCTGTTGCATCTGAATATGAGCCTACTGACGCAGGAGAAATTGAGATGGATAATTTTGTTGATCTTGCCGCAGATGAAGAAGAGTTACAATTAAAAGAATTCAGACAACGGGCCCGCGACAATCTTGATTTTCCTGATGAGATTGAGCTTTCACCTACTGTGAGTGCGAAGGACCGTATGATTAGATACAGAGGATTAAAAAATCTTCGAAGCTGTACCTGGGACGCAGATGAAAAAGATTCTAGAGCACCTGAGGAATGGAAGCGTTTACTTCGCGTTGCCAATTACAAGGGAACCCGAACCCGAGTTTTAAAGGAATCCTTGCAAAATGCCCGCATTGATGTTGGTACCCCAGTCACAATATTCATCAAATGTGATAGAAATCTTGTGGAATTATTGGGCCAAGCACCACTCATCTTATATGGACTTTTACAATACGAAAACAAGATGGTTGTTCTTAATTTCGCTATCCAGCAAAGTACGGAATACGAGGAACCCATTGCTGCAAAGGAAACTCTTATCATTCAATGCGGACCTCGAAGATATACTGCGAACCCCATTTTTTCACAGGCTGGAAAGTCCTCGAACAACGTTTATAAGTACCAGCGATTTATATACCCTGGCGAATCTGCTACTGCTACAGTTATTGCACCTATTATGTTTGGCAATGTTCCCACACTTTTTTTCAAGAAGGTAGACCAAGAGCTTAGATTAGCTGCAACTGGATCTATATTTAACGCTGACCATTCCCGTATTTTGGCTAAAAGGTCTGTATTAACTGGACATCCGTTTAAGATTCATAAGCGTGTTGTCACCATTCGATACATGTTTTTTAATCGTGATGACATTATGTGGTTTAAGGCTGTTCCATTATTTACACGTATGGGAAATTCTGGTTATATTAAGGAGCCTCTTGGTACTCATGGGTATTTTAAAGCAACTTTTGATCGGAAAATTCACGCCCAAGATACTGTTGCGATGGCTTTGTATAAACGTGTTTGGCCTCGTGTCGCAACATTATGGGATGGTAATATTTAATGAGTTTTTGGAGGAGCGCCAGGTAGATAGTGAGCATAGTTTTAGATTTAATTGTTTTGGTTCAAAGGCATTATTATTTTTACTTGTGTGAAAGCAGTAATACATCTTGGTTACTGATAACGTAATAAGGAACCAACGGGTTTATCTAGGTAATCATGTGATATTAGACCCTGAAATAAATTAACTTTTTGGCTTTCAACGTCTTGTTTAGTACTTAGGGAGTACCAATGTTACATGTGCTGAAATTTACTTAAACATTTCTTTATGGTCGCTTAATGCTGCACACCCAGCCTCTTTTGTCATAAACTGTTTCTTTCAATTTTTCATCTGATAAACCAATTCTTATTCTCGTAAAAATAAACCAATTTAAAGATTCATCATGGTCCTAGCACGAACACTTACGAAACGATTTAAAAACTCGGTATCCAAAAAATTTAATGGCGGGTCTTTGGAGGAGCACCAGGTAGATAATGACGACAAATTCTATGCCATTAACTTTAATGCCACAGACCCTACGCAACATACAAACACAATTAGTACTATAACAGAGAAAAACAATAAAGCAAGTTCAGTTCATTCAGCTGAATCAAGCAGTTCTTCGACATTATCGCGGGCGAGTTCGATAAAAAGAACAGGCACTGAATCATTAAAAAGAGCCAGCTCGTTATTAAGCAGAAAGTCATCTACTAGTTCAAGAAATGTTTCAAAACCACCATCAATAACATTTCCAATAACACCTACAGGCCCTAGTGTATATTCACATGGAGACGATTATATTTCTTACACGAAAGCTACTGACATATTTGAACCGAATGAAGAAGTACAAAATATGCTGCCACCGTCGGCCCCGCTTCCTTTAAAAAAACCACCATCACACAGAAAAATTCCATCAATATCATCGTCAACATATCCATCTTTAGCGTCTGAAATGATGGTGGATGGCTCTCAAAATATGCTTTTTCCTCCAGCAAGCATAAGGTCATCCGCAACAGATAATACCTTTGCAGATGAAGTAGCCATGGAAATCTTAGAAAAGATATCTGCAGAGGAATATACTCAAGAAATCAAAATATTTGGTTGGAGTATATAAAAGGCTATATCTTGTATACTATTCTAATGATTAATGAAAATGGTTTCACGGTTTTTTTTTTTTTTTTTTTTTTTTACCAATGCCGTTCCACACATAACGTATTATTGACCGAATTGCTTACTCAGCGAAAATTTTTTTCGGTCCTGGCCGCAACCATTCTAACTTTGGAAGGCTATAAACAACTATCCATCCCGTTATTTTGGCTTCAATTATGAATTTTTTTGTTATTTTAATTCGCATCTATAATGGTGGATTATAAAAGGGCTTTAGTTTTGGCGCCAATGGTTTGTTTAAAATCTATAATGTCACAAGTATTTTAGAAAATTAACATTATTTGGATGTTTATAGGTACGTGTTGGCGAATTACCGACTCGTTTATTATCATTAAAGCATGGCGCAAGTCTTGTTTGGTGTATGTGATATTACAATTTTTAGAAAGTTTGTTTTTTAACAGCTAATAATATAAAGCCCCTGAAGTTATCGATAAGAAGATAATTAGTTGTAGTCGAGTATGGAATGAAAAGACGAGATGCTATGATTTTATTGAAAAAAACAACAAAATTGCATTTCGAACTTGCCCTGAATTAGAAAGGGATCACCTAGTTTTTCAAATGGGGACTGCTGACCCCAATCTTGCTGTTCAAGCTGCAAAAATGGTTGTTAATGATGTGTCTGCGATAGATGTTAATAGCGGCTGTCCTGTAAGTAAACTTGCTTTCTATTTATTCAATAAACTAACATTAATTTAAGAAACATTTTTCAATCCGTAAGTAACTTTGAATATTTATTGGATAAGGCCAATCCTTTTCATTTTACTAACAAAACAGACTCTGGAATGGGTGCGGCTCTGTTAAAAACACCCGATAAACTTGTGAGCATTCTAACTTCACTTGTTGATCAAGTTGGAGATCCTTTCAATATCCCCATCAGTGTAAAAATTAGATTGTTGGAAACAGAAGAAAAGACTTTAAGTCTTGTTGAACGTCTAGTTACTACCGGTATAAAATGTCTTACCATTCATTGCAGAACAACACCAATGCGTCCTCGAGAACCTTCGATTCGAACGTCATTGAAGAAGATATCTGACACATGCCACAAAGCAGGCGTTATGTGCTTATTGAATGGTGATATTGAGGGGTTCAAAGATTTGGATCATGTTATTGAAAAGTATGGGGTTGATGGTGCCATGATTGCTAGAGCAGCCGAAGCAAATCCATCTTGTTTTAACTCAAAAGGTCAGATCCCTTGGAATGAAATAATAAGGGAATATTTTGAATATTGCAAAAAATTTGACAACCATGTCGTCAATACAAAGTTTTGTTTAGCTAGAATGATTCCTGGGAAATCTCAGTTGTATCAAAAGGTTGCTCAATCTAAAACGATGGAACAGATTGATGATGCATTGAATAACCTTACGGAGGATGATATGAACAAGTTCATCCATATTTTTAAATCTCCCCTAACATTACTTGAGGAACAAGTTAAACAAGAGGAGTTAAGGGCAAAAAATCAAATGTTAAAAAGATCGGCTGAAGATATTATAGAACCAAGTAAGCGAGTAAGATTTATTTGATATGCTTATAATAATATATACAGTTAAAATTTATCATTTTAAAAAATAGCACGTTTTATCGCACACCAAGCACCAGCAGCTCCAGCCATTAAACCAGAAGCAATAAGCATAGGCTTCGGGCCTTTTGTACATTTAAACATTGCTCCAGCAATTGCACCAGATGCAAGAGAATTCCAATCATCATGTTTCCCTCTGTATTTATCAATAGAAGCATTGATGAGATTGTAAATCAAAGTAAGAACACCAGCAGAATTACCTAAGAAAGGTCCACGTCGCGTCACAGCGTTAAGAATACCATTCAGTCTTAATTTAAATGAAGCGTCAGCAGGTGTCTTTCTAAGACCTTCGATTAAACCGTAAGCACCACCGACACCAAGGCCCAATAGATAAACGGTACCTGTACCGTAACAAAGGTCATCCGTCCAACCTTTAATAGGAATGATACCCTGTGAACCTGGTAGGGAAGAAAGAGCATCATCCTCAATATTGAGATATTCGAGTCCACGGTCTAAACCGGCTAACGGGTGAAGCTTCGTAGAATCAATAGGACTTGAAAGAATCGATGAGACATTAACAGTAGACGGATCAAATCCAAGTGAATATTCTGATTTAGCAGGCTCTATACTAGAGACTTGTGCCGAGGTTTCATTGCTATTATTATTATTATTATTTCCAAAGAACCAGCCCATGTTGCCTGTGTATGAATTTCTGATCTGTGCAAAAGTTTGAGAAGTTTACCGTAAAATTACTTGGTGGCGGGGATCTCGTTGGTGGGTTAGAATAAAAAATTTTCATATTAACCCGAACCCTGATATTACCTTTTTTTTAAAAAAAAAATAAATTAGGCCGAATACCGGTGATTCAAATTTTGCAAGATAGCTACTACCCAAATCAGCTTGAACAAGAGCTCATTCTACTTAAATATTTAATTAATGATCAGCAATGCTGGATACATCCAACAAGATATCAAGTTGCCCCAAAATAACTCCTTAGCAAATATAAATTGTATACATAAGTTTAGTATTTTCGGGAGATCCTTTTTTTCAAAAAATGAAAGTTTAAACGTAAATATTCCTGCTACATCCCTAGAATACATAGTTGGGGAACATGTTACAACAAAATTTGTTGTAAGTTTGTTGTAAGTCACAATAATTGTTGGGGTGTCAACCAACAAACTCAGTTCACGATTGCTATCCAAACGGTTCAAACCAATAAAATTCTGATCCTTTTCTCCGTTTGATTTAAATTATTCTCTAAATATATATTTTGATCAAATATATATCTAATTGATCCCTTTTTATTTTTTTTTTTTTTACTATCATATAATAATAATATTTTTCGACAGGAAGAAAGTGTTTTTAGTTTACACTTTTCCAATCGATCATAGATTGTATTTCAGTCAACACAAAATCTCCAATTTATAATATACTATTCATTGAATCATAAATACCCTTTTTTAAGGAGTGTTTTCTTATCTTGTAAGTCATTTTTGATAGCATTATTTTCTATACAAAATCACTGACTTTTGGATGAGCTAGACCGGTATTCTTTTAATCCACATATCAGTCGCTTTTTTAGACATAGATTCAGCATGTCTACCATAATAAATTCTAATTCAAACGATTCTCAGTATGATCACTCGAAACTTTCAAGCCATTTCATTGGCTTGAATACAGTAGAGACTGCCCCTGAATCCGAAGTCAAAGACTTTGTAAAATCACACGGTGGCCACACAGTAATTCAATCGGTAAGTTAAGTCTATCAAGTTTTGTATCGTTTTCTAATACTTTATAGGTTCTTATTGCAAATAATGGTATTGCTGCTGTTAAGAATATCCGATCAGTCAGAAAGTGGGCTTACGAAACATTTGGCAACGAACGAGCCATTTCTTTCACTGTCATGGCAACTCCTGAAGATTTAGAAGCCAATGCTGACTATATCAGAATGGCTGATCAATACGTCGAGGTCCCTGGAGGAACAAATAATAACAACTATGCCAATGTTGAATTGATTGTTGATATTGCCGAAAGATACAATTGTCAAGCCGTTTGGGCTGGTTGGGGTCATGCATCTGAAAATCCTCTTCTTCCTGAATCTTTAGCTGCTTCTCCTAAAAAGATCATTTTTATTGGACCTCCAGGCTCGGCCATGAGATCCCTCGGTGACAAAATTTCTTCCACAATTGTTGCACAACATGCTAAAGTTCCTTGTATTCCATGGTCTGGTACTGGTGTCGATGCTGTTGACATTGATTCCAATACTGGCCTTGTCTCTATTTCAGATGAAGTTTACAAATTAGGGTGCTGTTTAGGTCCTGAGGATGGCCTTGAAAAGGCCAAAAAGATTGGATTTCCAGTCATGATTAAAGCTTCCGAAGGTGGTGGCGGTAAAGGTATTAGAAAAGTTGATGATGAGAAGAATTTTGTTTCTCTTTACCACCAAGTTGAGGGCGAAATCCCCGGATCTCCTATTTTTATTATGCAACTTGCTGGAAATGCCCGTCATTTAGAAGTTCAACTGCTTGCAGATCAATATGGAAACAATATTTCACTTTTCGGTAGAGATTGCTCGGTTCAACGACGACATCAAAAAATTATTGAAGAAGCCCCTGTTACAATTGCAAATCCCCAAACCTTTACTGCGATGGAGAAGGCAGCAGTCCGTCTTGGAAAACTTGTTGGCTATGTTTCTGCCGGTACTGTGGAGTATTTATATTCCCACCATGATGATAAATTTTACTTTTTAGAATTAAACCCTCGTCTTCAAGTCGAACACCCCACAACTGAAATGGTCACTGGTGTAAATCTCCCAGCTGCTCAACTTCAAATAGCTATGGGATTGCCATTGCACCGCATTCGTGATATTAGATTATTCTATGGTGTTGATCCTCATACATCTACTCCTATTGATTTTGACTTTTCTTCGGAAGAATCGCTGAAAACTCAACGCCGCCCAGTTCCTCGTGGTCACACCACTGCATGCCGTATAACATCTGAAGATCCTGGTGAAGGATTTAAACCATCAAGTGGAATGATGCATGAATTAAATTTTAGATCTAGCTCCAATGTTTGGGGTTATTTCTCTGTTGGTAATCAGGGTGGTATTCACTCGTTTTCTGATTCGCAGTTTGGCCATATTTTTGCTTTTGGCGAAAATAGAAAGGCATCACGTCAGCACATGGTTGTTGCTCTTAAAGAGCTTTCTATTCGTGGTGACTTTAGAACAACTGTTGAATATCTAATTAAACTTCTTGAGACTCCTGATTTTGAACAAAATACTATTACTACTGGTTGGCTTGATGAACTTATTTCTAAGAAGCTTACTGTTGAGCGACCTGATATGTTTGTAGCTGTGATCTGTGGTGCCGCTACCAAGGCCCACATTGCTGCTGAGGCAAACCTTGAGGAAGTTAGACAGTCACTTGAAAAAGGTCAAGCACCCTCAAAAGATACATTGAAGTCAATTTTCACTATCGATTTTATTTATGAAGGGCAAAGATTTAAGTTTACTGCTACCCGCTCATCAATTGATGCCTACACACTGTTCAGCAATGGTTCTAAAATTGATGTAGGTGTCAGAGCCTTGATCGATGGTGGCATCCTTGTTTCCGTCGGTGGAAAGTCTCATAGTGTTTATTGGAAAGAAGAGGTTGGTGCTACCCGTCTTTCTATAGATTCTAAAACATGCCTTTTAGAGGTTGAAAGCGATCCTACTCAACTCCGAACACCATCCCCTGGTAAGCTTGTTAAGTTTTTGGTTGAAAACGGTGAACATGTTACTGCAGGCCAACCTTATGCTGAGGTTGAAGTCATGAAGATGTATATGCCATTAGTTGCTCAGGAAGATGGTGTTGTTCAACCTATTAAACAACCTGGTTCTACTCTTCAAGCTGGTGATATTCTTGGAATTTTAGCTTTAGATGATCCGTCTAAGGTAAAGCTTGCCAAACCATTTGAAGGTCAATTTCCTGATATGGGTGCTCCAACTGTAGTTGGTACCAAACCCTTCCAAAGATTTGATCTTTTGTATAAAACTCTGAAAAATATTTTGACTGGTTTTGATAATCAAGTTGTTATGAATCGCACTGTTAAGGAGCTTATTGAAGTTCTTCGCAACCCTGATTTACCTTTTGGACAGTGGTCTCAACAAGCTTCTGCTCTTCATTCTCGAATCCCGCAAAAATTAGATGCTCAACTTTCTTCTCTTGTTGAGAAAGCCAAATCACGAAAAGCAGAGTTTCCTGCGAGACAACTTCTTAAGGCTCTTGATAAGTTTATCCCTCAAGACTCTAGTGATGCTTTTATCTTTAACCAAGCAATTGAACCTCTTGTTTCTATTTGTAACCAGTATTCTGATGGTCTTGCTGCCCATGAGTTCAAAGTTATTAACAGTCTTTTGGAGGAATATTATAATATTGAAAAGTTATTTTCGCATCCTAATCTGAGAGATGAAGATGTAATTCTACGTCTTAGAGATGAACATCGTGATGACATCAAGTTTGTTCTTATGACTATTCTTTCACATAGTCAAGTTGGTGCCAAGAATAATCTTATTCTTGCAATTTTCAATGAGTATCAGCCTTCCACTGTTGATAGTGCTAATATTGCTAAATATTTAAGACCATCTCTTAAGAATATTGTCGAACTGGAGTCACGCTCTACTCAGAAGGTCGTTTTGAAAGCTCGTGAAATCCTTATTCAGTGCTCTCTTCCATCCCTCAAGGAAAGATCTGATCAACTTGAGCATATTCTTCGTTCTTCAGTTGTGGAAACTACTTATGGTGAAATTGGATATGAACGCCGTACTCCAAAGCTTGATGCTCTTCGTGAGGTCATTGATTCTCGTTACACTGTCTTTGACGTTTTGGATCAGTTTTTCACTCATTCTGATCCCTATGTTGTTTTGGCTGCTCTTGAGGTTTATGTTAGACGTGCTTGCCGTGCTTACACCATTCTTGAGCTTAACTACCATAACGAAACTGGAAACAAGCCAGCTATTGCATGGAAGTTTAAACTTTCTTCTGTTGCGCAGGCTGCTTTCAACACTATGACCCAAACATCATCCGTTCCAGGTGGCAAAGATATTTCTCGTTCTCTTTCAGTTTCTGACCTTACCTTCATGGCGGATAAGTCAGATCAGGACCCTGTTAGAACTGGTGTTATCTCTCCTGCATCCGATTTTGATGAAATTGAAGAGGCACTTTCTAATGCTATTGAATTTTTCCCTAGACGTTCTGGTGGTATCGAATTTTCATCCGCTGCCCAAAGTTCGCTTGCTGCTCAAAGACGTCCACAGCCTTCTCAGTCTTCTAAGATTTTAAGCAATGTTCTTTCAATCATGGTCAAGACCGCTGAACATCTTGATGACGATACTATTCTTGGCCGTCTTCAAGAAGTTATTGATGATTACAAGGAAGACTTGTTAAATTCAAATGTTCGTCGCGTTACTTTCGTCATTGGTGAAGGCGTTGGATCGTATCCGAAGTATTTTACTTTCCGTGGGCCAGATTATCAGGAACATAAGACAATTCGTCATATTGAGCCTGCCTTAGCTTTCCAACTTGAGCTTGGACGTCTTTCAAATTTTAATATCAAGCCTATTTTTACCGACAACAGAAATATTCACGTTTACGAGGCAACAGCCAAAAATGCACCTACTGACAGAAGATTTTTCACGAGAGGCATTGTACGTCCAGGAAAACTTAGAGATGAGATTTCCACTTCTGAATATCTTATTTCTGAAGCAAATCGCTTGATGTCGGATATTTTGGATGCTCTGGAAGTCATTGGAACTTCGAATTCTGATCTTAATCATATTTTTATTAATTTTTCTGCTGTATTTGCCCTTGCCCCTGAAGAAGTTGAGGCCGCTTTCGGTGGATTTTTGGAACGATTTGGCAGAAGACTTTGGCGACTTCGTGTCACTGGTGCTGAAATCCGGATTGTTATTAACGAACCATCAACTGGAAAAACCTACCCTCTTCGTGCTCTTATTAACAACGTTTCTGGTTACGTTGTGGAATCGGAGCTATATGCTGAAGTTAGAAATGAAAAGAATGAATGGGTTTTCAAGTCGCTTGGTAAGCCTGGCAGTATGCACCTTCGTCCTATTAGCACCCCTTACTCCACAAAGGAGTCACTTCAGCCTAAAAGATATAAGGCTCATCTTATGGGAACTACTTACTGTTATGATTTCCCGGATCTTTTCCGTCAAGCAATTGCTTCTGCCTGGAAAAAGTTCCCCAACCTGAAAATGCCTGAAGACTTTTTCAATTCTATTGAATTAGTTTCTGATGCGTCTGGAGAACTTTCCGAAATTAACCGTGAACCCGGAACTAATACTATTGGTATGGTTGCTTGGAAGATTACGGCTAAAACACCTGAATATCCTCACGGCCGTAAGTTTGTCGTCATTGCCAATGATATTACTTTCAAAATTGGTTCTTTTGGTCCCCAAGAGGACGCCTTTTTCAATTCAGTTACTGAGCTTGCCCGCAAGGAAGGTATTCCTCGCATTTATCTTTCGGCAAATTCTGGTGCTCGAATTGGAATTGCTGAAGAAATTCTGCCTTTGTTTTCTGTTGCTTGGGTTGATCAACAGGATCAAACGAAGGGTTTTAGATATTTTTATCTCACCCCTGACGTTTACAACTCGTTGGTTTCTTCCGGAAAGAAAAGCTCTGTCATTACTGAGCGCATTGTTGAAGATGGAGAAGAACGATACAAGATTAACACCATTGTTGGGCTAGAAGATGGTCTTGGTGTTGAATGTTTGAGAGGATCAGGCCTCATTGCTGGTGCCACTTCTCGCGCTTACAAGGATATTTTTACAGTCACTCTGGTGACTTGCCGCTCTGTCGGCATTGGTGCGTACCTTGTGCGCTTGGGACAAAGATCAATCCAAATTGAGGGTCAGCCTATCATTCTCACTGGTGCCCCAGCCATTAACAAGCTTCTTGGTCGCGAGGTTTACTCTTCCAATCTTCAGCTTGGTGGTACACAAATCATGTACAAAAATGGTGTTTCCCATTTGACTGCTAATGACGATTTTGCTGGTGTTGAAAAAATTGTGGAATGGATGTCTTATGTTCCCGGTGCTCGCGACTTGCCGGTTCCTGTTCTTGAAACTGGTGATAATTGGGATCGTGACGTTGAATACACACCTACTCGCAACGAACCTTATGATGTCCGTTGGCTTATTGCTGGGCGTGAAAACACCGATGGTACCTTTGAATCTGGTCTTTTTGATAAGGGCTCCTTTTTTGAAACTTTGAGTGGTTGGGCTAGAGGTGTTGTTGTTGGTAGAGCACGTCTTGGCGGTATTCCTTTCGGTGTTATTGCCGTTGAAACCAGAACCGTTGACAATGTTATTCCAGCAGATCCTGCTAACCCCGATTCCACTGAAGTCACGCTGCAAGAAGCTGGTCAAGTTTGGTATCCTAATTCTGCTTTTAAGACCGCTCAAGCTATTAATGACTTTAATCAGGGTGAGCAACTTCCTCTTATGATTCTTGCAAACTGGAGAGGCTTTTCCGGTGGTCAGAGAGACATGTACAACGAAGTCTTGAAGTATGGTTCCTACATTGTGGATGCACTTGTTAACTACAAGCAGCCTATTATGATTTACATTCCCCCTACAGGCGAGCTTCGTGGTGGCTCTTGGGTTGTTGTTGATCCTACCATCAATTCCGACATGATGGAAATGTATGCCGATGAAGAGTCCCGGGCTGGTGTTCTAGAGCCTGAAGGCATGGTCGGTATTAAATTCCGAAAAGACAAGCTTGTTGCCACCATGAAGAGACTTGATAGTGTTTATGCTGATTTGACTCGTAAGATTGAGGAAGCTCGGACTAGTGGTTTATCCGAAGCAGAAGTCAATGAGCTTAAGGATAAACTTGCCGAGCGTGAAGAAAATCTTCTTCCCATTTATCAACAGATTTCTGTCCAGTTTGCTGATCTTCATGATCGTGTTGGAAGAATGGAGGCCAAGGGGGCTATTCGCAAAGCTTTGACCTGGAGAGAATCTAGAAGATACTTTTTCTGGCGCATTCGCAGAAGATTAAATGAAGAGTATCTTATCCAAAGAATCAGTGAAGCTCTACCGCAGTCTACTCGTTTGGAACAAGTTGCCCGTTTGAAATCTTGGTATAGCTCTAAGATTAATGACAACGATAATGACAAGTCTGTTGCTTTGTGGCTTGAAGAAAATCATAAGTCTCTTGCCCAGAACATTACTGCTCTGCGCAAAGATAACACTACCTCTTATATCCTTTCACTTGCCAGAAAGAATCGTGATCAGACTATTTCTAGTTTGGCCGAAGCAATTAAGAAACTTTCTCCTTCTGACCGGGAATCTCTTTTAAAGCAAATTTAATAATTTTGCACAACATAATGAATGTATTTAAAAAAATATATAGTTTATTTTTAATTTAATTTAATTTAATTTAATTTAATTTAATTTAATTTAATTTAATTTAATTTAATTTAATTTAATCTAATATTGGAAGAAAATTAGTTACTATCATCATTGGAATGTCAAAAACGTCTCTTTTTACCGTCCAAGTGCAAGCTGTTTTGATTTTTTTACCAGATGGGTTTAAAAGTGTACAATCAGTCATTATGACACCTCGAGAATCTCCAAATGCGAGCTTAGTGAAGACTTCAAAATACTTCATCACAGAGTCATCATCCATCAGTTCAATTATAAATTTAGTATCACCATTAGGTGAAACTAGATCCTCATACGACCATTCCGTTAACAGGCAAAATTCGCTTCCTACAGCAGCAATCTGGCCAGTTCTACGACAAATAATTGTGGGCGTTCCAGAGCTTAATATATACTTGTTGAACTCTAAAAGGGTTCGTTGAAAAGATTTTTCCATAAATATTAAGTCATCTTCTTGTAATGTTTTTGTAGCAGCAATAAAGGAAGGTCGGTATTCAGCCATCGACTTAGCCAATATTAATAGTCTGTCAGAATTAAACCGTTGACGAAGATAGGCAATAAGAGAATGATATCCTTGTGTATATGGAAAGGGGGCAGAAACATTAGTATAGACATCTTCTGGAGTACTGTATAGTTTGTGAAATTGCGATATTCGAGATGTGCTGTTAGCAGCTTGGCTATTAGAAATAATATCTGAAGGAGAAGCTTCTGATGAACAGCTTGATGGTGTATCTAAAGAAATTTTTAAAACATTAGTGTTATTTAAATGATCGAGTGTCGCAGAAAAGTCATCACCAAAAAAATTAGCGATAGATTCGTATTCAAGGTTAGCAGCTTTTGAAGAAAAGTCTATGGTATTTGACGGTGAGGGTGACGTTGGACCTGGTGGAGATGGAGGAGCAGATTCAGTAATTCCCTTACAGCTACTATTAGAAGTCAAAAAAGAGTTATTGGCTTGTGTATGGAATGTATTAGCGACTTTTTGAACTCGTGTGTGAAATGTGTTTGGGACAAGCATCGAAGAATAGTATTGCGCTCCGTTCCCTTTGTTATTCCTGTTCTCAGAAGAAATATGGTTTTCAATCGGAAAATCTAGTAAATACTTGGCTGTTTTTCGAATTCCATCTTTGCAATCATGAATGCCTTTTCGAATACATCTTTGACATGGCCGGCCTTCATCACAAGTTAAATGAGCTTTTTGACAATGTATACAAGCCCTTGTAGTTTTTTTTTTTCGTATTTGCTTTTTAACGATAGAATGTTGATTTAATTTTTCATTTGAATTTGAAAAAGAATTTATCATTCGAGGGCTCTTTATTGGGTTTTCCATATTGTACTGTGAATTTTAGTTTTTTCAAAAAATGAAGATGTTAAAATTTTTTGAAATTCGAAATGCATTTGAGCAATTGTTAATAATTGTGGGGAATATCCTAATATAATATATTATGTAATGGTCATGTGATTCATTTTGAAAAAATTTTGAAATTAGACATCTGCCTTTTTTTTCTCTTCAAAAAAATTTTTATAACAAGACATAGCAATAATTTTTTCTTTTTTTTTAATTTTTTATGATTGATTGAAAACACCAAAAATGAGTGTACCTAACGAAAAGACTTCTATGCCTTATTCTGAGAAGCATTATTTTTCTTCTTATGATCACTATGGTATTCACGAAGAGATGCTGAAAGATCAAACAAGAACTCTCTCATACAGAAGTGCTATTTACCAAAATCCATCTCTTTTTAAAGATAAAATTGTTTTAGATGTCGGATGTGGGACAGGAATTCTCTCTATGTTTGCTGCTCGTGCCGGTGCTAAACATGTTATTGGTGTTGACATGTCCAATATTATCAATATGGCCCGAAAAATTGTTGATTTAAACGGATTTTCGGATAAAATCACTCTTATCCAAGGAAAGCTTGAAGAAATTGAATTGCCATATCCTCAAGTTGATATTATTGTGTCTGAGTGGATGGGATATTTCTTACTTTATGAATCGATGCTTGATACAGTACTTGTGGCAAGAGACAAATATCTTAAACCAGATGGTCTAATTTTACCTGATAAAGCTACAATTTATCTTGCAGGAATTGAAGATGCTGAGTACAAAGAAGAAAAGGTTGGATATTGGAATGACGTTTACGGATTTGACTATTCACCTTTTCAAGAAATTGTTTTAGCTGATCCTTTGGTTGATACAGTTGAGTTAAAATCTATAGCGACAGATTCAGCTTCTGTATTTCATATTGATATCCATAAAGTGAAGAAGGAAGATCTTTCCTTTCAAAACGACTTTAAGATTCGTGTTCAGCGTGATGATAATATCCATGCCTTGATTGCGTGGTTTGATATTGAATTTTCAAAGGGACCTGTCCCTGTTAGATTTTCGACTGGTCCTCACGGAAATTATACACATTGGAAACAAACTGTATTTTATTTGAAAGACGTTCTTCAAGTGAAAAAAGGAGAAGTAATTCAAGGTAAAATAACTTGCTCTCCTACTGAAAAAAATCCTCGTGATCTAGATATCGCTATTTCTTACAAATTTGAACCAAAAAATGCAAGTGATCGTAATAGCACTGGAGATCTTAAATATTTGATGTGTTAATTGTTTTTATATAACTTATGAACTAGAGAATAGATAATTTATAATTTATAATTTATAATGCAGTTGTGACTGTAATAGTCTGGGAATGAAGAAGAAGAATTGGTGGAAGATCCTTGCACCAAATTTCCAAAGATTCAATATACTGATTAGAATCTTCATCATTTAAATGTGTACCTAAAGAAGGCGCAGGCAAAGTAGAAAAGATAACCGCTGTGTCATTTGATGTTTCCTTCATAAGATTATTCAAAATCAAATGTTGAGCGTTAGCTGGGAGGTGATTAAATGACAAGTAAGTGGCTTCGTCCTCATCTTCATCGTCATCGTCATCGTCATCTTCCGCATCTTCGTTTGGTACCTCGTTTTCATCTATTCCTATTGTGGCCTCTTCTTGTTGAATTGCTTCGCCCCTATCATATGGTGTAACGCTGTTGTATGAGCTACTTGGAGCTGAAACAAGAGGCGACGTTTCTTTTGGTGGTGCTTCAAACGTAACATTTCGCTTTTCATGCTTTTTCTTCCGTTCCGAACTCTTATCAAACATGATAGTAGGGCGTCCATCGTCAAGCTCTTCCACAGTAGTATGGGGGATTGCCAATCCAGTAAAATTTGGTCTACTCTTACTTTTTCTGCTGTTATTGGTACTGAGACTAGGAGTACTAGTACCAGATCGAGATACAGAGGCATCTGAGGTGTAACCTGAGCCAGAGCCATAGCCTTCTCTGTTCAGTGTATTGGTAGCTGCAATACCTGATGATAAAGAGGATACAGCACCAACAGAAGTACTTGCAGAAGGCACCCCATTAGTGTCAGTTTTATCAGGTTTAAAGTTATTAGAGCCAACTACTGAACTTGATCGTTTAACTCCTTTGGGAAATCTATCATTCAGAGTAGACCCTTGTCCGTTATCTAAAATCGAAGAAGCAGATTTAGAACCACGGCGACTAGGACTTTTGTTATTATTCGCTTCAAGAAAATCTTTCATAGAGCTAGAAAGAGAGCCAGTATCTGTGATCACAACTGAATCGGAGTCAGAAGAATATCCATCAACCTCATCGCGGAAAAAATCTGTTGCATGTTTCACCTGAGATTTCAAAAGTTTATTTGTATGCATACTAAACGAAATTCCCATCTGTTGTAAAGAAGAAATGGTATGTCTTCGCTGGCGTTGCCCAAGAATCTTAGAAAATGGAACGGGAGAAGAAGGGGTTCCACTAATTTGTTGAGGTACAGCAGAGCCATTATCGTTTACAATACCGTCGATTCGGTTAGCGGGAATTGCACCAAGTCTGCTTAAATCGCCATTGACTCCATAAGTCATTTCATATTCTTGACGAGCTTCCTGAAGCTCTTGCCACCACTCTAACTTAGAAAGGACCTCTTCAATATTTCCTTTATCATCATGTCTACCCCGAACAATTATTTCATAAGCTTCAAATTCTCCTGAACTTAAACACTTCACTAATACTTGAGCTTTGATTCGAAGACGTTCAAGTAATACATTAATACGAGACCTTTCTTCTTCAACGTCTTCCTCAAATTCAACAAACACAATAACGCGCAATTCATAACTTTGCTTCCATGCAGGAACTGTGTTCAAAATAGCGCCCATTTGTAAAATAAGAGTATACGTATCGAAATTAGTTGTCAATGCACTTGTTTCCCCATTTTCATCAATAATATGAGCAGACATTTGAATAGGATACAAATCAATGTACTTTTTCGTTGGTACAAATTTTTTTCCATTAGATTTTTTGGTAAATGGAAGCTCTAGGTTATGAAAACCTTTAGCGATTGCAACATTTGCTCGCATAATAAGCAAATCTTCAATTATATTAACCCATTGTGAAACAGTAATAGAGCTTTCTTGACGACAGTTATCAGTGGGAAGAGTATCATATGGAATAACAGTTTTGGAATTTTCTGAACCAGGAGTGGAACGTCTCTCAAAAAATCCTAATACAGTAATGTTTGGTTTCATCCCTCCTAACCCAGATCCTAGATATACGTTACGAGCACCCCAAACCACATCAGGGCCCGCACCAATTTGAACAAAAGCCTTTACTTTACTAAGATCACGCAATTGGATCCAAGCATTTTGCTGCTTTTTTATCTCATCAAAAGACTGTTGAAAGTCTTTAGTGACAAGGACATGACCTAAAATGTAAAGCCCACCCTTTTTAAGGTTGTTGCAAAATGCTATTAAATTCCAAGCTGATCTAGGATCATCAACTAACAAAAGAATTTGGGGCCGCCAAAATTTAACATGGTCTTGTCGAAGACGCAAAAGGTATTTTCGTACTTGGTGATAAATTAAACTCTGAGAAACATCCCCCCAAGGTTTTGGAGGTGAAATATAATGAATGGTAATAAAAAGCCCAATCAGCACCAAAATCATAAGGGAGGCCGAAACACCGTCAGCGACAAACATGGCTGCAATAGATGCACCTGCACCTGCAGCAGCAGTGAAAGAGTTGAAATATCGAAACGATGGGCGAAAGTTCGGTGCACTTGCAATTCTCAATAAAAAGCAAGCCAAGTTCGTCACAATAAAAGTCATAAGAAATGCCATTGTAATAAATGTCGCAATTTGATTCACGTCAAAAAATATAATGACCTGTGCTAACGCATAAGTAAATATTACGGCTGCAATTGGATCATCTGTTCCGGGAGTCCCAGTTGCAAAAATTGATGTGAAAGGAAGAACTTCGTCACGAGCAACTGCTTGAAGTTGTTTGGCAGATCCAATGATGCCGACAATTGCCGAAAACAAAGATGTTGAAAACTCTCCCATAATAATGAAATATTTGTTTATGTTCACATCTTGAAGAACCTGGACATCCCGAAAAAGCATATCACGAGAAATGCAAGATCCCATAGTAATGATAACCAATGAATATGATATAAAAGTTAATAAAAGTCCCCTTAGTGTTCCTTCTGGGATGCTAACTGACGGTTTCTTTAAATCACCGGACATCGAAGCACCAGCAAAAATTCCGGCTGTGGAAGGGAAAAAAATTCCAAAAAGAAGACGGAAATTCATTATTCCTTCACCTGGTACAGCCTTAAATAATGGGAAAAGATTTTCCTTTATTGTGCTCAAAGAAAACCCTGTATATGATCCAAATTTTGCATCAACAAATGGTTTAACAAAAAATGCAGAAATAGGAACAGTAAAAGTACTGAAAATTAAAACAACAAACAAAATTTTACCAGCCTTTGCAAATAACGCTTGTTTTAAAGAAATTCCAGAACAAAATAATAAAAGAATGGTGGAATAAAACAACATCCAATATCTTCCTTCGGGAAGAATTTTTGCCGTGAGACCATTCTCAGCTCCAAAGTTTATCAACATGGGCTCGCAGAAACCGACAACATTCATACCACTAAAAAAACATTGTTAAAACCTATTAAATGAATTTTAAAGTCGACATACGCATTTAATACTTGACCAATGTAAAAAACTAATCCAATGCTTCCGCCAAATTCTGGACCCAACGATCTACTGATCATATAGTAAGCACCACCTCCTTTAACTGTGCCGTTGGTGGCAATTGCAGATACCGAAAGAGTTGTGAGAAGATCAATACAATATGAAATTAATAATAACCCAAACATTCCCAAAATTCCAGCTTGACATAGAATAAAGCCAAATCTCAAGAACATTAGAATAGAAAGGACATTTAAAGTTGTAGGGATAAAAACACCCTCAAATGTGCCAAGCTTATGAGAATCTGCTTCTTGTTGACCATTGTTATCAATTTCTTTTGTTCTATGAATATGTTTGGTATCTGATTTTCCTGAGGTTCGTCCGTAATATAATCGGCCTTCGAGTTCAGCCATCGTACTATGAGTAGTTTGCAAAGGCATCTAAATGCCATAAAAATAAACAGAGATATATAAGTAGAAAATAAAATATAATAAAAGAAGAGAAGAAAAGAGAAGAGAAGAAAAGAGGATATACTAAAGATATTCGTAACAATTTGACATGGAATTTTTATTAATGAATATAAGAATTATGTCGAAAAGAAAAAAGAAGAGAGACAATTTGGTACTTGAAAGAAAGTGGAGGTTGAGCAAAACTGATAAGAAAGTGCTGCACAGTTGCTGAGTCATCATGGCTGCATAAAAAAAAAGATATGGTTTTGAGGGCAATCAAGGCGACTTCATGTAGTTTCTATTACAGCCGTCACCGATCACTGGTCCGACGACGAAATCATTAAATTTTTGAATTATTTATCCCCTACCAATAGATAGCTTCTAAATTAGAGCTCATAAGTTGTTGTAAATGTTCATCAATTAGATTTAGAAAGCAATAAATCAATTTGACAAAGTTACCGTCATAATTTGGTAACTTTATGCAAACCATAAGGATTGTATCTTGGACTTTTCATGAAAAAATATGTTTACTATTAGTAGCTTTTGCCAATTAGATACTGACATTGAACATTAAAGCAGCTGTTAGTCGAATAATTAATGTTTCACTTACCTCCTTTATTCTAATCTCAAAAAAAATCGAGAGTCGGTTATTTATTGTTTATTTGATAAAGCTTATAAACTATCAAAACTATTTAATGAAATTCAAATACTAAAATAGCATAAATAACTTGATATTTTTATAGATGGAGTTTGTTAAATGTATTAATTAAATGTAACCCTTAGGGAATAACCTAAAAGTGGTTTGTTGACAGATGCAGATTGGCATGGTTTGTTGAAGGAAAAGGAACAAGAAGAACACAAAAAAACGATGTTACCATCAATAGCAAATAACAACCAATACTTATTTTTTTTTGTGGCACTATGGCAGGCTATGCTAGTGCTATACATCTCTTATTCATTATTTAACAAGATGTGACTTAATTGGGCGACATTATAATTGAAACAGTTAGTTAGACATAATTATTGCAATAATTATAAAATTCATATGATATTTCCCACGTGCAAAAACATGAAGTTAAAATTCAACATCAGTTTTATTTTATTTTTAATTTGGTCCTGTAGTTTATTGTTTGGTTTGATATTTCAGAACCTATTTTAATTTCAATATATATACATTTTCTTTTACTCTTTGAATAACCATGATTGAAATTCGCATTTCTAAAAAAACTATCATAACATTAAGCTCTTTATGCCTTGGGACAATAATACTTTTCATATGTATCTATTCCGAAAAAACCTCTATCTTAAATTTGAGCTTGTTTTCTTCAAGTGTGAGCTTCAATCTGTTTCAGCACTTAGGTGGTCAAGGTCCGTATGAGCCATTTCCAAAGTTTGATCTTGAAATCACAATTCCAGATGATTGTAAAATTATACAAGCTCATATGATACATCGTCACAATGAAAGGTATCCAACAATGGGTGCAGGGGCTGAATACAAAACTACTTTAGATAAATTTACAGGCAAAAATATAACTGGACCCTTAGCATTTTTAAAAGATTACCAATATCACACTATTTTTCCAAGTGAGAAGCATGGGGAACTTACTACTTTGGGTCCTTATAATGGAATCGATGGAGCTTTTAAAAAGGGGCAAACTTTTAAAAAGAGATATGATTATCTCTTGGACAAATTTCAAGGTGACTTTCCGATTTTTACGGCATCTAGCCACAGGGATCAAATTACAGCGCAATATTTTTCAAAAGGGTTAGGTATTAATAATACAAAAATTGTCGTAGTGCCAGAATCAGCAACTCAAGGTGCTAATTCATTGACCCCAGATCGTTCATGTCCTAAATATGATCCTGGAACAACTTCTAACTTGAAATCATATTTATATGTTTTCAATGATACACTTTTTAAATTACAGCATTTTGCGCCAAATGTGGATATTACAATAGGTGATATAAGCAATTTGCTAGACATGTGTGGATTTGAGTTGACTGCAGTAGGTTCTCAAAATTTTTGTGAAATATTTAGTGATTACGATCATGTTCTTCATGGCTACGGTCGAGCTTTACGATACTATTATAAAAACGGACCGGGGAATGATCTCTCAGCTACATTAGGATCTGTCTATGCAAACGCCACACTGACTCTTTTACAACAAGAACCTCATATTCCCGTGTATATTTCATTTACACATGATACTCATATTAATTTTTTCCTATCAACACTGGGCATTTTTTCCAGTGAAGAAAGTCTTCCTTATGATTATGCTATGCTTAATCATCCTTGGGTTCGTGGGGATAATACACCAATGGGGGGTGAAGTTGTTATTGAAAAGATGAACTGTAGTGAAAAAAGCTTCGTTAGAATTTTAGTAAATGAAGCTGTGGTTCCTTTTCATAACTGTACAAACGGACCGGGAACCTCATGTCCATTAGAAACTTTTACGGATATTCTTGGTGATAAGATCCTTGATTATCGTGAAGCATGTCTTGATTCATCCCTTCCACAATACTTGTCATTTTTTTGGGATTGGGACCCATAGATTAGCTTTTAAATTAAAATTTTCCTTTTTTTCGAAATGCAAATGCAAGATAAAATCCGCATGCTTCTTTTTCATCTCCATCTATTCCAAGAGTGTTGTCTTTCTTAAAAACTTTAAAAGTTCTTGCAAGTTCACTTCCTTGCGGTGTACTACTTTCCTCTTCAAAAAGCTTGAGAAAAGGTTTTTTATAGTCAAGAATTAAATCATATTCCTCACATAATGCACGAAAGGATTCAAAAGGGACAACATACTCTGGAACATTTCCAACAGCATCTTCTAAGAAAAACGTGTACTTGTGACCATATGGAGGAATAAATTTCCCATCTCGAGGAGGGTCGCTTTCAAATTCAACTGAATAAATTGAGTTTCCCCATTTACGCTCATTGGGACCAAGCTTTCGAATGTGCTTAAGTATAACATCAGAGTTGGGAATGGTCCCAATAAAGTAATGGCCAGGAAGAAGAACGCGACTAATATTTTCCAGTAAAGTACGAACTCGAGACTCATTTTCAAAAGAATAATGTAAACAGAATTGGCAGGAAACAATACTCACGGGGAAGGCATCAGGCTGAACTATTTCTTCAACTTTCTGTTCGAAAACATCACCAACACAAAAATCAGCCCAAAACCTAGGCCTTCTACTGTGATAACGATCTTGAGCATTTTCAATACTGACATTCGCCACATCTATTCCAATAAACCCTTTAATTCCTGCGCGTTCCCATTTCCAAAGGTCACCTCCTTTTCCACATCCAATATCGAGAACAACATCACCCCGTTGGGCATATTTGTAAATCAAAATGCTTTTAACCCAATTATTAAAAGACCTTAACTTAAAAATTGGAGATTGTTTTCTTCTTTCTTGGCCCTGGTTTGGAAGTTTATTGTAATGGTCTTTTACTTTTTCTCGATCAACTCCTCTAGGTTTACTTCCAAAAGTTCTCAAATTGTTCTCATTATTGCTAAATGCATCATGATCATTTTTTTTTTCGTGTCTTTCAAGCCTTTCACGAAGCTCCCTTGTCTTCTCTTCTCTTTCTTTTTGAGAAGTGCGGGTAGAAGGGCGTTTCAGTTTTTTGCGAGGAGGAGAATTATGATCAGGGCTAAGTTCGTGTCTATCAGATTGACCAGTGGTTTTGTTTTGTACAATAATTGCAGATGGCTCAACTTTTTTGCTGGAATCATTTTGGTTGCTTATGTTGTCTAATTTATCAATTGCAGGCTTAGAAGACTCGGCAGCATTTACTGATTCTTTAACATCATAGTTTTTTGATTGTTGGTCTGTATTTGAAATTTCAGTAGTCTCTTCTTCCTCAGAGTTCCATGAATCTCGAGCGGGATCATACATGGTTAATATTCAATAAATCAAATAAAATGAAAATAAACAGGGAAGAGTAAAGTTTAAAAAAAAAAAAAAAAAAAGATAAGCTGTAATAGATTTAACTTTATTACAAATAAAAAAAATGAAAGAATCTTTGTTAAAAGTAGGATGGTGAAGAAAAATGATTTAATACTTTAAGGTAATAAGTAACAAATTTAAAAAATTTGAATCCCTTGATTTCCAACACCAACTTAATTTTAAAAAGATGCAATAAACCCTAACTTTTTATATGAGATTTTACAAATGTGAGTTAAATACAAATTGTATACAAAAATTTCATCAAAATTAGAAATATAAGTATTGCACGTGATTTTCCACAAAAAATTTTTTTCACAATGCTATTTTTTCAGTAGAAGACTGAACCTTTTACCTTGGAATATATCATCGCAATTAGATCAGTTGATAAGATTCAAAAAAAAAAGAAAAATCCCAATATTATTAATTCTTTTAAAAAAATGAGGCAAATATCGTTTCCGGAACAAATAAATGGATATACAGTCACTCCTGTTTCTCTCAGCAAAGAAAAAAAAAACCCAGTTTATCATGTTATTTATCTTAAGAAGCATGACATGAAGTCTCTGGTTGATAATGAACATAGTGAAGAGGGTAGAGTTGTCTATGCAGTAAACCTCCCAATTTCATCGTCTATTGATCAAATTAAGTCTTTTTGCCAGGATGTTGCGGGTGTAATTGTGGAAGATTATCGACCTGAGACAGGAAATCGTGCACAAATTGTTTTTGTCGATAAAGCTTCTTGTAGCCGTTTCCTTTCAAAAGCAAAACAGTTGTACAAGCTTGATAAAGATGTATATATCTGGCCCAATGATGATTCTGGTTATAAAAAGTACATTTCAAAAGGATTTGAAAAGTTCACTGATCCTGTCACATTAATGAAAAGCGTTAATGAATTTATGAACGCCTACAATGAAGCTGAAGAAAGGGAGAAGAGGAGCAGGCGATCGAAGTCAGGACTTGTTGATGAGGATGGATTTACACTTGTTGTTAGTAATGCTCGTGGTTCAAAGGCTAGTATTGCAGCACAAACCTCTGCAACTCAAGCAAAATTAAAATTAGAGGCTGATAAACGAAATAAAAAGAGCCAAATGGTAGATTTCTACCGATTTCAAATTCGCGAACAAAAGAAAAAAGCAACTAATGACCTGTTAAAGAAGTTCAACGAGGATAGAGAGAAAATAACTGAGATGCGACAAAAAAATCGGTTTAAACCATACTAAAACTATTAGATGCTTTTTATTTTATTTTATTTAATAATAATTATGATAACATTTATAAATACGATAAAGCGAGTTTTTTTCGTTTTTGTTGCACAGTTTTTTTGTAATAATATCGGCTTGGTACGTTGTATATTATTGGCTGCTTCCCCAGAAAAACTTGGACAGAAATAGGCTTGGTGGGGGTTGCCGGTTTAGCCAATTGAATAAATTCTGGTTTTTTCTCATCAACCTCCCTTTCTTCTTCTTCTTGCCCCACCATTCACTTCATTTTTAATTTTTATACCTCAATTATATATATATATTTATTTTAAATAAATAAATTTACGTCGTAACAATGATTAGAGGATTTACTGCTTCTTCAAAATCGGTGTCTCTTAACACCATTCGCAGACAATTCAATTCTTCTGCCGTTGTTTTGGTATGATTAGAGAAAAAATTTGCTCAAAAACATAAACACATTCTAACCTAAGTATAAGGGCAAGAGAATTGAGACTGATGCCTTTGGTGAAATTGAAGTTGATGATACCAAGTACTGGGGTGCCCAGACTCAGCGATCTCTCCAGAACTTTGAAATTGGTGGCATCCGCGAGAGACTCCCCGAACCTGTTATTCGATCTTTTGGTATTCTGAAGAAGGCTGCTGCCACTGTTAACATGACCTATGGTCTTGATCCCAAGATTGGTGCCGCTATTCAAGAGGCTGCCCAAGAAGTCATTGACGGTAAACTCACTGATCAATTCCCTCTTGTTGTTTTCCAGACTGGTTCTGGTACTCAGTCCAACATGAATTCTAACGAGGTTATTTCCAACCGTGCTATTGAGATTCTTGGCGGCAAACTTGGTTCTAAGAAGCCTGTTCACCCCAATGACCACGTTAATATGTCTCAATCATCTAATGATACTTTCCCTACTGTTATGCATATTGCTGCTGTCCTTGAAATCACCAGATCTCTTATTCCTAGCCTCGAAGCTCTTCACAAGGCCATTGACGACAAGTCAAAGGAATTTGCTAATATCATTAAAATTGGCCGCACTCATCTTCAAGATGCTACCCCTCTTACTCTTGGTCAGGAATTTTCCGGTTATGCCACTCAGATTGCAAATGGTATCGACCGAGTTAAGGGTGTTCTTCCCCATCTCAGATTCCTTGCCCAAGGTGGTACTGCTGTTGGTACCGGCCTTAACACACGCAAGGGCTTTGATACTGCTATCGCTGAAACCGTCACTAAGCTTACTGGTGAGCAATTTTTCACTGCTCCCAATAAGTTTGAGGCTTTAGCCGCTCACGACGCTATTGTTGAAGCTTCTGGTGCTCTTAACACTGTTGCTGCTTCTCTTTTCAAAATTGCCAACGATATTAGATACCTTGGTTCTGGTCCCCGTTGCGGCTACGGTGAACTTCACCTTCCCGAAAATGAACCTGGTTCTTCAATCATGCCTGGCAAGGTTAACCCTACTCAAAATGAAGCTCTTACCATGGTTTGCACACAAGTTTTTGGCAACCACTCAACCATTACTTTTGCTGGTGCTTCTGGCCAGTTTGAACTCAACGTTTTCAAACCTGTCTTGATTTCCAACTTGCTCTCTTCTGTTCGTCTTCTTGCTGATGGTGCCCGCTCTTTCAGAATTCACTGTGTTGAGGGCATCACTGCCAACGAAAAGCGTATCAACCAGCTTATGAAGGAGTCTCTCATGCTTGTTACTGCTCTTAACCCTAAGATTGGCTACGATGCTGCTTCTAAGGTGGCCAAGAATGCTCACAAGAAGGGTATTACTCTTAAGGAGTCTGCTCTTGAACTTGGTGTTCTTACCTCTGAAGAATTTGATGCTTGGGTCAGACCTGAGGAAATGATTGGCCCCAAATAAATGCTTTAAATATACTTAAAATAATTTAATAAATTCTTCAATATAAAATAAAATACACAAAACAATTAGGAAATTTTATTTTCTAATGCAAAAGCAAGAGCGCACCGACTAGGCAAATAAATTTGAATAAAATTTTTCCGATTATTCCACTCAAAGGGTGTCGTAAGGCAACGAGTTTTATCATGATCGATTCTTTTGAACCCTCCAAACTCTTCAGAATCAGTATCAAGAATAATACGGTAGGTTCCTGGTACCTCCACTCCAACTCGATAATCTTGATAAGACTGGGTAGGATGGAAATTAAAGACAAACAAAACACCCGCTCTTTCGAAAACAATAACTTTGTCACTTTCATTCTTAAGCGACACGTAAGCTTGCGGTGAAGAAAGCCATTTATACTTATCTTCAGTGTGCTCCATTACAGTATCAAACTGATTGAGATATTTATATTTCAACAAATGATCATCCACCAAATTCCATTGTCTTCTTGCATAGTGAAACGAACTGTTATTTCCAGCTCTAGGAAAGTCAAGCCATTCAGGATGGCCAAATTCGTTTCCTTCAAAATTGAGCCAACCTTCACCACCAAGGGCATGCGTAATGAATCTAATCATTTTGTGCAATGCAATTCCTCGGTCGATAATAGAACTGGGATCAGATAAAACAGACATGTGTGTGTACATCTCCTTATCCATAAGCCAAAATGCCAGGGTTTTATCACCAACTAATGCTTGATCATGAGACTCAGCATATGCCACAGTTTTCTCCATATGTCTTCTATTGGTTAAGGTCCAGCAAATATCACCCATATTCCACTCATCATCGGATTTTTCTTTTAAAAGTTTGATCCACATATCAGGAATAGCCATCCCTAAACGATAATCAAAGCCAATTCCACCAAGATCTGTCGAAATACAAAGTGTAGGCATACCAGATACATCTTCTGCAATTGTTATGATATTAGGGTTGAGCTTTCGAAGCATAATATTTGCAAGCATAAGATAAACAACACCTTCTTCATCAACAGAGGGACCAAAATATTCATGATAACCTCCAGAAAAGCCTGTACCGATCCCATGATGCAAATACAACATGCTAGTTACACCGTCGAAACGGAATCCATCGAAATGATACTCATCAATGAAAAAGCGTAAATTGGAAAGCAAAAATCTCAATACTTCGTGTTTTCCATAGTTAAACAAACGTGAATCCCAAAGATCATGTTGACCTTTACTACCGCCATGAAAATACTGATAGTCAGTTCCGTCAAAGTCATTAAGACCATCCAGAACGTTCTTGCTGGCATGGGAATGTACAACGTCAAGCAAAACAGTGATTCCAAGTCCATGAGCAGTATCGACAAGCTCCTTAAGATCCTCAGGTGGTCCATAACGAGATGACGCAGCAAAAAATGAAGTAATTTGATAGCCAAAAGATGCATAATAAGCGTGCTCCATAATGGCCATCAATTGAATTGTATTGTATCCCAAACGGTGAATACGTGGCAAAACGTTTTGAGTAAACTCCTTATAAGTTCCTACCTTGGCTTCAGTGGTAGAGATGCCCACATGGGCCTCGTAAATCTTCACAGCCTCAGGTTTGGGTGGTGCCTTGTTTTTCCAAACATACTTTCGGGGAGGGTTCCAGAAAATAGCATCATAAGCAGGAGAAACGGACAAATCTTGAGTTACACGCTTAATCCACGCAGGAAGACGTTCAATCCAGTTACCACCAGGAAGCTTTAAAGCAATTTTTACTTTGGTTCCATGAGGGATAGCACTGACACCAGGTCTTGAAGCAGGAATGATCGTTGACCAGACACCGTATTCATTAACTTTCATGACGTTAGCTGACTTGTCCCAGCCATTAAAATCTCCAATTAAGGAAGCGGCAACAGCATTAGGAGCCCATTCACGATATGTTATATCGCCAGTCTTATCATTAACCTGAAAACCATAGTACTTGTAGCCTTCCGCGAACGCCACAATTCCTTTTTCGTCCGTTTCTAATCTATCAACCCAGTCTTGAGCAATTGCAGCACGTCGAGCAATATCAGAGGCAAAAGGCTTTAGCCACGGGTCAATTTTGATCACTCCAGGAAGATTTGACTCTGTCGATTGTTGTTCTGACATATTAAATAGTATATACTAAAAAGTTTAGAATGAGTGGTTTGTTGTTAAGATTTGTGGAGGGAAAGAGTAATGAACTTTTTGAGATTTTTGAAAGTTGTTTAAAGAATGACTTAAAGGGAGGGAATAAAAAGAAATTGTGAGAAAAAGAGAGTAAAAGGATTAAAAAAAAAGGAGAAGAAGAACAGAGAAGAACAAAGATTAAAGTTTTTATAGACCAGTATTTTTTTACTTATCGAAAATACATTTAGATAACTAAAACGACAAAGGTTACGGGCTTATTTGGAACGTCTAAAGTGAGCCCATTCTTTTTAGTATACAAAGCCATGTAGCAGGTGTTAGATCTTCAGTCCTCTTAGTGGTCACTTATCAGCGATAGGATATTACTTAACTGATAAAATAGGTATTAATTTTATGATATAATTCTATGATACGCAAACCTAGCAATGGGTACAATACAGCACACCTTGATAGGGTCTAAGCCCAACAAAACATTTTATGTTTAGTGCTACCATGTTCTACTACTACTACTACTACTACTACTACTACTACTCTACTACGTTTCGCCCTAAAAGCAAAGATAAACCTGGGCCAGTCGCAACTACCGTTAAGGGGGAGTTTTTTCTTTCTTTCTTTCTTTATTTACCCAATATTACTTTGAATATATTGGGTAAATATTTATCAGTAGATTGAAGCTAATTCACATCTAAGCAAAATATTCCTACTGCTTTATTGAGTGTAATTTGCGATGCTTATTACAGTTAAATAGTTAGCATTGATAAGATCAATTTTGATAAATATATATATATGAGAAAACTAGCTTGATTATTGCTAAATTTTTAAAAAAATGCTTATCAAAAAACCCAAGCAAAGATAAGTATAACTTATGTATATAGTTAAGTTAGTTTTGGTTTTTTATTAAATTAGGTAAGCTTAGAAGTAACATGGGCAATATGTAATAACCATGATACTTATTACTTAATTAAAGAATATTTGGGAATTGTAATTAAAATTTCTCTATTGGAAATAACAGTCACAATATGTGTAACAAAAAATGACTCGGGTTAGGGATTAATATTATTTTGCTAACCACCATTTTTCAATATTAGAGTGAGAAGAAAAAAAAAAAATACCGGCATTGCAAAATTTTGCACTTCTTTCACTGACGATCCTCGATTCTTCATTGACCTTCTGCCTTGAAGTAGTTTCAGACAACAAAATGTCCGCTCGCCCTCAAATCACTGTCTACTCCCTTTCTGGTGAGACTTCGTCTTCCAACGTCGTTGTTCCTGCCATTTTCAAGGCTCCCATCAGAACCGACATTGTTCACTCTGTCTGGACTGGTGTTGCTAAGAACAAGCGTCAGGCTTACGCTGTTGCCAGCAATGCCGGTGAGCAAACCTCTGCTGAATCTTGGGGTACCGGTCGTGCTGTTGCTAGAATTCCCCGTGTTGGTGGCGGCGGTACTCACCGTTCTGGTCAGGCTGCTTTTGGCAACATGTGCCGTGGTGGTAGACTTTTCGCTCCTACCAAGGTCTGGAGAAAGTGGCACGTCAAGGTCAACCACAACCAAAAGAGATACGCTACTGCTTCTGCTATTGCTGCTACCGCTGTCGCTCCTCTTGTCCTTGCCCGTGGTCACCGTGCCGAGAAGATCCCTGAGGTTCCTCTTGTAGTTTCCAGCGAGTTGGAGACTATTTCCAAGACTAAGGATGCCGTTGCCGCTCTTAAGGCTGTTGGTGCCGGTGCTGATGTTGCCCGTGTTATTAAGTCTAAGACTCTCCGTGCTGGTCAGGGTAAGCTCAGAGGTCGTCGCTTCACTCAGAGAAAGGGCCCTCTTGTTGTCTACGCTGAGGACAAGGGTCTCGTTAAGGCTTTCAAGAACATTCCTGGTGTTGAAACTGCTAACGTGAAGTCTCTTTCTCTTCTCCAGCTTGCTCCTGGTTCCCACCTTGGAAGATTTGTCATTTGGACTGAGTCTGCCATTGCTCTCCTTGATGACATTTGGGCTTCCAAGTCTGGATTCTCTCTTCCCCAGGATCTTATTTCTAACAGCGATCTCAAGTCTATCCTCGATTCTTCCGAGATTCAGGCTGCTCTCAGACCTGCTAACAAGAACAGACAGGAGAAGGCTCCTCAAAAGAAGAACCCTCTTAAGAACAAGGAGGCTCTTTTGAAGCTCAACCCTTATGCCGGTGTTAAGAAGACTTCTAAGGTTGAGAAGAAGGATGTTGCCACAAACAAGGTCCTTGTTGACATCTTGAACCAGGAGTAGATGGTTTTGATTTTATAAAAATTAATAAAAATGGTTTATGCTTTGTTTTAATTTCTTGTGTCTAGAAAATTTCTTGTAGAAAAATTTCTCTATGGAGTTGCTAAATTTGTTTTATTTAATGTCACGGTAAATATTGAACCGATTTGTAATATTTAAGCTAATTGAAACAGTGCTACACTTATTAGAACTATTTATAAAGCTTAAAAATATCCCAAGATTTGCTTAATCTATGAAAGTGATTGAAAAGTATTATTGAAACATTTTGTTGCAAATGAAATATAAGATCAAAAAGAATAAGTTGAAAGATAATCTTTTGAAAATCTTTTAAGCAATTGAAAAAGTTTATGTTGACCCTAACATCATTAAAGCTACTATTTTTAAAATAAAATTCACACACTCGGTGTGGTTACAGAAAAGAAATATTAAAATCTCTCGGCATCGATCCGATACCTGGCTGCCCCTCAAACATTTTTTCCTTCTTTAATATCAAAATCAATATTCATAAGCTTCTATATATTAAAGCAAAATATCATAAACCATGAGCTCTTTTTTACTTTGTTTATGAGACATGTTAAACTACACTAAAAATGTCTATGGAAAATAATATCAAAATAATTGACATTGAAAAAAGCGCTAATATAGAATGGCAACATTTCAATCCGCAATCGGAATTTGACGAGAGTTTTTGCGTATCTTGGGATGGAATCAACGACAAAGAAAATGTTAAAAACAGACCATTGGTTCAAAGATACATTTATGCGTTGTTAGTCCTTCTTGCAGCTGTGGCAGTGACAACTTCTTCCTCTATTTATGCACTATCGATTGATAATCTTCATAATGAGTTTCACAAAAATCATACGGTAAATGCATTGGGAATAACATTATTCTTATTTGGAATGGGCGTGGGACCTATGTTTTTGTCGCCAATAAGTGAACAATTTGGAAGAAAAAAACCTTACATAATATCTCTTATTTTAATGATTTGTTTTTCTTTAGGAGGCGGGTTTGGTAAAAATATTCAAACAATATTAATTTGTCGGTTTTTAGGAGGGTTTTCTGGATCTTGCTTTATGGGAGTTTCTGCTGGTAGTGTTTCAGATCTTTTTAGTCATGATGAAATATCGTTCCCAGTTTTCATGTATACTATTACGCCATTTTTAGGAGCAGGTATAGGTCCTTTAATTAGCGGATTTATTAACCAATATATATCGGATCCAGATTCTTGGCGATGGACTTTTCATGTTATGACGATATATTCTGCTGTTATTTTGTTGTTCATAATTTTCGTTGTACCTGAAACTTATCCTCCTATTTTACTACGTCTGAAAGCTGAGCGCATACGCAAAGCTAAAGATAATGATAAGTATTATGCACCGATTGAACATTCAAATATTAAATTCTCCATTAGAACCATTGTAATGTCTGTAAAAAGACCTACTCTTATGTTGATTAAAATCCCAATGCTTCTAATGCTTTGCATTTACTGTGGCTTGTTACTTTCTCTTCTTTATGGGTTTTTCGTTTCATATCCGTATGTTTTTAAAACAGTTTACTTATTTACACCTAGCCAGACTGGATTAGCATTCATTGGAATCATAGTTGGATGCTTGGCTTGCATACCTTTTTCATTTTTGAATGATAGTATTGTTAAACGATTAACTAAAAAATCTAATGGAATAAACGAGCCCGAATTTCAACTGGTTCAAACAATAATTGGTTCAATAGTAACACCTGTTGGATTATTTATTTTTGGCTGGTCATCTAAACCTTTTCTGCATTGGATTGGTCCTATATTCGGAGGAGGAATTGTTATGTGGGGGAGTATGGTTGCAATGAATGGTATATTTTCATATACAATAAGATCCTGGCATCCGTTTTCAGCATCAGCTATGGCATGTAATGGAGTTGTAAGATCGACAATTGCTGCAGTTTTCCCACTTTTTGGTTTGCAAATGTATCAAAATTTAGGTATTCAGTGGGCATCTACATTGTTGGCTCTTCTTTGTGTAATATATATCCCAATGCCAATTTGCTTCTTTTTTTATGGAAAAAAAATTAGAAGCAAGAGCACATTTAATATGGAAGATGTTTTTATTATTTAATAGAAAACTATAAATTATTTATTTATTAAATTTATTTAAATTATAGAGTATTTATCAGAAACCAAACCATAGAAGTTAATAAAATTAAAATCTTTGATAACATTAGAGAACTTGCCGAATTAACTTGATGAGCAAAGTTATTTAACGAGTTCACTTCAAAACTGTTAGGTAAATATGTTTTTTGTGGAAAATTGGGATAGTTTTTTGAGGATATAGATTGGAGATGTGCGCTCAACTTAGATGTGAGTTGTAATAAGGATTGAGTCCGATTGACTTGTAGAAACAAAGATGTATTGGAATTAGCCCAATGGGTTGGTTTAGTAAATATACTTGTATCATTTTTTATATTACCATTACAGTTTTCACAAAATGTTGAAAAAATGGGTGTTTGATAATTGTTAGTTTCATGGATTAAAGACTGTTTAGAAATACCATAACCATGTTTATTTGATGTAATTTGGGCTTCATTTTTTAAAATAGTAGAAGTTTTCGGATATAAATCCATTCCAGATGTAAGTGAAGGGGTCGGAGTTATACCAGAAAAATGTAAAGTAGGTATAGTTCCTGGAGTTGAGAAAAAACCTACAGGATATGAATCATCCAAACTATTATGAATCTCCACAACAGTAGTAACGAGACTTATTTGGTTAGGGAGATCATTTGATTGTTTTGTTTGAGAATTGTAGCAACAGTGTGAAAAAAAACTAGGACTTGAAAAATCTGAAGTGTCATGTATAGCTGGAATATAAACACTAAAAGGTACAGGGTTTTGAGATGCAGAATCCCCGGTAAATGATTGAGATGACGTAGAGATATAAGTATGAACATTGGAGAATATACTGGACGGTTTAATATGAGACAATACATTGTCATTATAACTGCCAAAATAAGTCTCTGTTTGACCTCTGTCCTTTTCTGTTTTTTGATTAGACACTATTTCTTCTGTTAATGGGTATCTAGTTTCAAATGATTTAGACGGAGTTGGGGTGGATAATGTCATGTAGGTTATACTTTCAACATTTGAACTTTGATCATTATTAGAAAACAAAGTTTCAAGGGGCCCATTGATCTCATTAATTGAAAAAGTATTTCTAGCTTCCGTTTTAAAGTTCTTAGTTGTTTCAATGTCTGATGAAATCTGATTTTCACTTGTTATAGTATTTTTTGTAATGGAAACTAGACCACCAAAAATATCAGTTTCTGGTACAAGATCTTGTTTTGACCTAAATGAAAAAAAAACTGAAGATATCTGTAAATTAATTTCTGTTGAAATTAAATTAATGTTTGTACTTAAAACTGAAATAAAGTTGTCTTTTTGTGTAATTTTGAAAGTTTTTGAGCCAATTGGAGTGACCGTTGAGCTTGGATAACCCAACTTTTTTGTACCAGTAGTCGATGAAGGAGTATTACTTGTCAAAGTGGTATGAACAAATGTTTCGCTATTTATGCTGATTAATGGATTTAAATCACTAATCGAATTGATAGAATTCAATTTACTTGTGCTAAAGCCTTTGTTAAAATTTGTATTTCTAGTTAAGCTAGTGGATCCAAATGTTTTACTGCCAAAATTTATTGATGAGTCAATACTGCTTGTTGATCTTATAGATCCCTTGCCTCCACTATCAATGGTTGAAAGATGGAACATAGTTGTTGAACTTAGGGATTTTATTGTATTATTACCAAACTTTGACGGTAAGTCGGTAACACTTGGTGGTTTTATGGATACAACCGTCTCATGTCTGGTATGGGGCTCAATTAAGTTTTGATCAAATGACTTAGTTTGATTCATTGTTTTGGATTTTTCTGTGGATGAAGACAATTTGGAAAAAGCAAAACTTGTAGCAGAAATAAAAGAATGCGCAGTGGTAACGGATTCACTCATCACAAAAGAAGAATCATAAGTACTGGTATTTGAAATAGAACTAAAAGGTAAATCACTGGACATTAACACAAAATTTCTTGATGAAGTGATAGTCCCATACTTTGTGTGGCCACCAATAAGGGATGGGGTTGATGAAATCGGTAAAATTGGCATTTCTCCAGTAGAATGCGATTGATTTAATGGGAATGAAGAAATATATGTATGTGTATGGACTATACTTGTGCTTAACGTAGAAACTGAAGAAGGAAAAGATATTGTGTGATTATTAAGAGTCAAATATGGTGTACTAAACAATAAATCATCTGTTTTGTATTGAGAGTTGGCCAATGATTCATTATGAGTATGTAGGGATGAATCATCTATTGTAGTAAAGGGGGATATTTTTCCGTCAGTTGAAAAAGTTGTGTAAGTAAGATTTGAAATAACTGTTTGACTGATCAAATTTGAAGTGAAAAAAGAAATATTTGTAGTTTGTTTAAAAGTACTAAAAAGAGTAGAAGGTATTAACCTAGAAGTTGCATTCGTCTGTTTAGATAAAACACTGGTGATATTAGATGACATGAATGGTAATGGTTTCGTGCTCAAATTTGTTGCAATAGTTGTCGTTGGTAAAGATATTGAGAAACCGGAGACAGAGACGGAATTATTTCCATAAGTGTAATTTTTACAAATGTCAGGTGGAGTCGGTGCACTATAAGCATCAATAGATCCAGGAATACCATTTATTCCTGGCCGAATCGCCAAAATATTGCTTTCCAAACTATCCGTTTTAGTTTGAGCAACCGCTAATCGTTTATTGTCAAGATCAAAGACCAGATAGGCGGAACGTAAAACATTGTCGCCTAAACTGCAGAATTTCGGATCATCAGTAGCGTAAACACCAAGATAACAAACCGGGTCTCCATTGTCAAAAAGTACAGGAACACCATCAAGCGAGGCTTTCGGCAAAATTAAATGTGTCACAGGGATATTCAAATCAAAATTAGCAAGTCGAATGGTAATAAATTTGTTGTCGTCACCGGTATAGTTACATGGGCGAACATAATCACCGTCGTCATCTTGAGTCATGTTAAGTTTTATTGATAATCCTGTAACCACGTTAATAGGAAGGTATGAAGAAGTAGAACCAACATCTACTAAGACGACAATGGGATCTTCATTTAAAACAAATGGAGTAGTACAAGGTGCTTCAAAGTAGTTAATTATTGAAGCTGGAACAGTGAATTCCAAAATTTTGTTTTTAAATGTAGGAACTAAATCGATGGTTATCAAAGGTGGAATAAACTTTTTCATATCAACACCTCCAAAAACAACCATTCCGCTTGTTGCAGTTGGAGTGTTAAGCCACATTGAATAAGCAATGGAATCAATAAATCCTGCTTCCTGAAGTCTTATGGGGAAATTTTTGTATTCAAATGGATTATCTGGCTTGTGAGCGCTAACTTCAAGCCCTGGCATACCTATTCCAAATACGCCAAGCGTATTTGCTTCATAAGCTTTAATGAATTCCATGTCTATTATTTTCATATTACTATTATCTATTCGAAGTATGTCAGAACCAAATTCACCAGCAGCATATGAGTTATCCCCGTATCTTAAAACCATATTATCAACCTTTGATCTATAGGTCAAAGACCTATTTGAATCAAAAAGACCCTGCTCTCCACATGATATTTTAAGAGACTGCTTTATGGTTGAATTAGAAATCACCTCTTTACAATATGGATTTAAAATGCTTGACACCCAAATATCACTGGATCCTGTATCAATCTGTAAGTTGAAATGTTGTGGTGGAGTTCCAAGAGAAAATTTTATAGTATAATAATAAAGCCTATTTATCAAAGGTTGATCAAAAAGATTGGCTGTTCTCTTTGACAATCGTGGGTGCTCATTGGGACGATAGTATTGTTTTTCTAAGTTAAAAGAAACATATCTTTTTTCAGATGATTGGTTAGCTTGCACTGTTGTGGCAACTGCACAAATGCAAATCATGAGCAATAATATCATGTCTATTAATTGATAAAAGTATCAATTCAAGTTAATTGAAACACTTGTCAAATTTCTGAATAACGAGATAATAGTCGACCGAAGTGTAAAGGAAATTGTTTGAATAATAAACAGATGGTAAAAAGATAAAAGGCTTTACATTTAATAGAGAAAAAAATGTTATGATATATGTTATTAAATAATACCATATTCCAGTTTGAATACACTAAGGAAACCGTTTCAGGGCGAAAAATCTCAATCCAAGGGTTTATGGAAGTTCTAAGTAAAGAATAATCTGTTTTCGAATCCGGAAAGTGCAAATCGGTACCGTAACATATGATGGAAATTATTCCCGTATTTTTGCGCATAAGTTTAATTTTAAAAAATAGATTTTTAATCGAAAAATTTCATGCCCAAGACAAGATTTAATTACTTTTATCCCTGGTTCGCTTGGTATCCGTGATTCGTGTCGGGAACCAAATTTTTATGGTCCTTTGGGTTTGCAGCAGCTTCGTAAATAGTTATCACTGGATTCTTTGACATCTGTGTCCATTCTCCACGAAGCCCAATATAAAGGATTTTAGTAGTATCTTCTCCATAGTTTTCACTTATATACATAGTAAGACTTGTGATATTTGAAAATGCTGCTCTACTAACTGCATATTCTGCAATTCCTTCTTCATCTAAGTTCGAAGAAGTATTAATATCCAAGCTTGGAATGTTTTCATCAACACCAAACCCCTCTGGGTGAGTTAAAACAGCCAAAGGTTTAGTTTCACTAGCCGAAGAAAAATCTAAATCATCACGACTTTTAAACAACTTTATTGTTTTTGGCGAATGGCCATCTGCTGTAGTTCGGATAAGAATTGAATGAAGTTTTACTAATCCAGTGAACCTATTTTCTCAAAATATTTTTAATAAGCAAAGTCAAATCATTAAAAAACTAATGAAAAATACATACGGAATAAATATTAACAATTCTTCATCCACATCGCTTTCAAGAATCTTTCAGAAAAATTCAAAATTATGTTAAAAAATCAAAATCAATAATAATGAAATAATACTTACTGATGTTACATCTAAACGTTTTTCCCAAGGTTTAAAAATACTTTTTCCGGAATCCTGTTGTGATTCATTAAGAACTCTAATATGATCGTGATATATATGATTGTATAGAGATTGTGATTCGTATGTGTCTGGAGGAGCGATATGATCACTATCGTCATGTGAATCTCTGCCGTGGCTGTGGGAGTGATGTTCGTTTTGGCAGTTCATTTTTTTACACAGTAAAAGTACTTGAAGAATAAAAAGAGATTGATTCCTTGATGTTGCCAATTATTATTGCTACTAGAATAAATACTGAGTTTAGGTTATGACAACTAATTGGCAATAATAATTAAGACCTGAAAAAATAGTTACCCGGTATCATCAAAGTTGCTGTATTACAAATAATATATATATAATTGTTGTATCTAATTAAATGCTTATTAGATGCTTATTCAGCATAAGAATTTGAAATTCCCCATTTCTGTAATTTAAAATTCTGAAATTTTCAGCCATGTGATAGAAAAAAACTTTTAAAACCCCTCGTTTTTCTTTGTTTTTGATAGGCTATTGTTTTCGTTTTTCACTTTAGTACCTAATGGTACCAACACTTAATTTTTTTTTTGTTTATTCAAGATTTTTTTTGTTAATTTTGTTATTAACTTAATCTTTTCATCTTCACTTTTACTTTCACCCTCTTTAAAGTTAAGAAGAAATTATAAAAATGTCATCAGAACACACAGCACAATATTCTAACGGGCTTCCCACTGCTATCCCTTCACTTCTTTCCGGTGGTTACAACCATCCTTTGGCTCGTGAGTGGCAAAACGAACGCCAACTAACTAAGGTAATATTGTTTGAATTTGACCAACAATCTTTCTAACCACTTTGTAGAACATGTTCATTTATCCTTTATTTATCACTGATGATCCCGACGCAGAAGATGCTATCAACTCCCTTCCTAATCAAAAAAGATGGGGTGTGAATAAGCTTGTTCCTTTTGTTCAAACTCTTGTTGACAAGGGCTTGAGAGCTGTTATTTTGTTTGGTGTGCCACTCAAAGAAGGTGTTAAGGATGAACTTGGAACTCCAGCGGACGACCCAGAAGGCCCTGTCATCCAAGGTATTAAAACTCTCAGAAAGAATTTCCCGGATTTGTTTATTATGTGTGATGTTTGCTTATGCGAATACACTTCTCATGGACATTGCGGAATTCTTCGTGATGATGGATCGATTAAACGTGAAGAATCAGTAAGACGACTAGCTGCTGTTGCCGTAAATTATGCAAAAGCGGGGGCTCATGCAGTTGCCCCATCTGATATGATTGATGGTCGTATTAGGGATATTAAACAAGGTTTATTGGATGCCGATCTCGCACACAGAACCATGATTATGTCATATTCTGCCAAGTTTTCTGGAAATCTTTATGGTCCTTTTAGAGAAGCTGCCGGTTCATGTCCGTCCCAAGGCGACCGAAAAGCATACCAGCTTCCTCCTGGTGGAAGAGGACTTGCAAGACGTGCTTTAAGACGTGATTTGGAAGAAGGGGCTGATGCAATCATTGTCAAGCCCTCTACATTTTATCTTGATATTGTTTCTGATGCTGCTAATATTTGCAGAGATTACCCTATTGCAACTTATCAAGTTAGTGGAGAGTTTGCTATGCTTCACGCTGCTGCTGAAAAAGGAATCGTTGACCTGAAAACTATTGCATTTGAAGCTGCTTATGGCTCTTTAAGAGCTGGCGCCAATCTTTTGATTTCGTATTTCACACCCGAGTTTTTGGATTGGCTTTCTTTATAATTCATGTTTTATCAACATAATTTCCCTTCATTACCCTCCCCCCTTTTTTTTTTGACCTCATTAAATATTTAATTTGTATATAATCTATCTTATCAAGCTAAAATAGGCTGTTTCCCGGTATCTTCGTAACTCTCTTCTTCATTTTGGTGAGAACTTGGAGCTTCATTCAATTTAGTACTAGGAACCTTGGGCATTATTGGTAAACTCTTTTCAATTTCTTCTTTTTCCAAAGCCTCTAACTCCTCTTGTACCGCTATCTCATCATCATTACTAATGTTCTGGGCAAGCATTTCTGATATTTCTTTTTGATAAGCAATACCTTCCGCACTGTCGTCCATAATTTTTTCAACTCGTTCGATTGTCATTTCTTTATTGATCTCCTTTAGAACCTTATTTCCTTGTTCTAATCCAAAAACTATGTCTTTTTGTATTTTGGCAAACTCGATATTTTGAGTCTGAATAAAAAGAATTAGCTATAGGAATAAATATGACATAAATTTAACTTACCAAATCTTCTAAGGTCTCTAAATGCTTATCAGTTTGTATTAAAAGCTGCTCTTGATACTTTTTTTTTCGAAGAGCTAACAACGCACGATTCTTATCGCCCTTAGCCAGGCATTCTTTTGCGATTTCTCTTTCTCTATCTAGTACAGTTCGAATTCGTCGTTGGTATTTTTTTATATTATCTCTTTGTATTTTCATTTGCAAAATTGCCTCATCTTGTTTAGTGACCAGAGGTTTAGTAGACTTTCCGGAAGAACTTGAGTTACCCATTTCACCAATCTATATGTAAAATCTTAGAAACCCCCACAGTCAAAAAAAAAGGTTATTGTATCTTTGGCGTGAAATACATATTTCTGGATGAGAGTTGTAACGACACCAAAGGTTAGGGTTCATTTTTAATTTGTTAACAAAGTCATTCATTACTATCAATATTGAACAATTGTAACAAGTTAGTACGGCTTAAAAAAATTTTTTTTTTTTTTTCACATTTCTCTCCAGTCTGATCAAACAACGCGCAATGAATACAGAAGACAATTTACTATTAAAATTTCAAAATAAAAAAAAGCCTACAGACGAAGATCTTGCATTTACGGCTATAGTATCATATCTTCAAGAACAGTCTCTAAACGATTATATTAAAGAGCACAAAGACGAGATCAATGAAGAAGAAATCAGTTCAACTGAACCTGGTCGCTTAGTTAACCTTATTCCATATCTAAACGAGCTTAAACTTAATGACAGAGAAGCTATAGGAATTTGTCAGATCAAAGCAAAGAAATTACTACGGATTAAGAATGTTGTCATAAAAAAACATTTGGAACGAGCTTATGATATTATTTATAAAGACCAGCTTGAGTTCTGGGGAAACACGGGAATTCATGATGAAAGCGACACAGAAGGGGTGAATGTAAATAATTTAATGCCGATCCAAGATACCAACGAGATGAATAAGGGTGTTGTAAGCCTTTGGAAAGTTCCCACCGTTGTAAACCAATCAGACTCGGATGGTACGAAAACAGTTGATGAAACGACCAAAAAGAATGGCAAGAAAAGAACAAGCAAAGACTCACGAGAAACCCCTACAAAAAAGCAAAAAGGTAGGAATAGTTTTTTTTTTCCAATCATGAATTAAATAATAACAAATTATTTTAGGAGATAAACCAGAGCGAGCTTCTCAAATGAAAATCAAATTGAAAGATCTTGGAGGAATAGACAAAATTATTCAGGATGTTTTGGAATTAATTGGTATGCCTTTAAGTCATCCTGAAATTTATCAACACATTGGAACCGACACTCCTCGTGGAGTTCTTCTTCATGGCCCTCCAGGATGTGGAAAAACTGTTTTAGCAAATGCTATTGCAAACGAATTAGGGATACCTTTTATTGCCATATCGGCACCTTCTATCGTTTCCGGAATGTCAGGAGAGTCAGAAAAGAAACTCAGGGAGATTTTTGAAGAAGCCAAAACCTTAGCTCCTTGTATTTTGTTTTTAGACGAAATAGATGCAATTACACCGAAGCGCGATAGCGCACAACGTGAAATGGAACGCCGAATTGTGGCTCAGCTTCTTACTTGCATGGACGACGTTTCACTAGAGAAAACCGGAGGTCGTCCTGTCGTTATTATCGGTGCAACTAATAGACCGGATTCGATAGATCCTGCATTGAGACGAGGAGGTAGATTTGATCGTGAAATATGCATGAGTGTTCCCGATGAAGACGCTCGTGAAAAAATTCTTCAAAAGATATGTTCGAAGCTTAGACTTGAGGGAAATTTTGATTATAAGAAGCTCTCAAAATTAACTCCAGGCTTTGTAGGAGCCGATTTACAGGGCCTAGTTTCGTCTGCTGGTGTTGCAGCAATAAAGAGAATTTTTGGTGTTATATTAAAGGAATCATTGAATTCAGTAAACCGAAATGCCCCAGATACGACTGAAGAAAAGAATGAGGAAAGTGAAGATGTTCAGATGAATGACATTAATGAAACTGAAACTAGTGAAAAACCTTCTCTTTCCGAAAAATTGATAGAGGAGAGTCTAAAGGAAAACCCAGCTTCTATCATCGAGAGCTTTTTAGCTGCACATCCGGATCCATTAGATGAGAATGAATTGGCGCCGTTAGCAATAACCTTTCAAGATTTTGAAACCGCTTTACCCACAATTCAACCATCTTCTAAACGTGAAGGGTTTGCCACGGTTCCAGATGTCAACTGGGACGATGTTGGCGCGCTGGAGAGTATTCGTGAAGAGCTGGAATATGCTATTGTCGAACCTATTCGAAATCCTGATTTATACAAGTCAGTCGGAGTGAACGCACCTTCAGGAGTATTACTTTGGGGACCACCAGGATGTGGTAAAACACTTCTTGCCAAGGCTGTGGCAAATGAGTCTCAAGCAAATTTCATTTCTGTTCGAGGTCCTGAGCTATTAAACAAATATGTCGGTGAATCTGAAAGGGCTGTCCGACAAGTGTTTACTCGTGCTAGAGCATCTGTGCCTTGCATAATATTTTTCGATGAGTTGGATGCTTTAGTACCACATAGAGATGACACCAACTCCGAGGTTTCATCAAGAGTGGTTAACACTCTTTTGACGGAGCTGGATGGAGTTGGTGATAGACAAGGCATATTTGTTGTTGCAGCAACAAACCGCCCAGATATGATTGATTCGGCTATGCTTAGACCTGGACGTTTGGATAAACAGCTCATGGTTGAACTTCCATCTCCTGAGGAAAGAGTGGCGATTTTAAAAACAGTTACAAGGTCTTCACCGCTTTCCCCTGAAGTTGATATTGCATCGATTGCTCATGATGAAAGGTGCAGAAATTTTAGTGGTGCAGATCTTTCAGCCTTAACACGAGAAGCAGCGGTATATGCTCTTAAAAAACACTTGAAAAGTCGTAACAAGCAGCAATCTTTACCGGGAACCCCTGAAAATGTGGTTATTTGCAATGAAGATTTTAATGAGGCTTTTAGAAAAGTCAAGCCTAGTGTTTCCGATTTGGAGCGTGAAAAGTATAGATTGTTACAACAACGACTTGGAGGTAGAGAGTAATTGGTTTTTGTCAAACCTTCAATATTTAAATAGATTTATTTATTAAATGTATCCATGATAACGTTTTGTTTAAAATATTGCCAACAACAATGCTCTATAAAAAATTTAGGGGAAAAAATGGTTAGGGATCAATTTGAATGACTTGACAAATCTAATTGTGCATAAGCTGGCATATCTAGTCGGCCGCGTAATAACACAATTTTTTCATTAGTATGTTCCAGGTCGTCGATATGCTTAGGGTCAATAGGGCTTTGCAGAACCACTGAATTGGAAGCCGGATTTATGCTGCGAATGACTGCCAGTCCCAAACACCGAGTTATAGACGGACTTAGGAAGGTTGCAATATGGTTAGGAGGAATCCAAGGGAGGTATGTGGTTTTACCATTTTTCGAAACTACCGGGGCAGGGATAAGAGAATGCGATAGTTGCGAAAAGACATATTCTTTAACAACAAGAATCGAAAGAACAGTCCCTTCTAAACATAAAGAAACGTCAGTTGGGTTGAGTCCTTCGGCAGCCATTATTCCAAAAGCAGAGATTTTTGCGCTTTGTCGAACTTCTTTATGTTGTATTTTTGAGTTTGGAATAAGAGAAGCTATGAACTTGGAATCGGCATTAGATTGGTAAAGTGATAGCAGTTCCTTAGGAGCATAAATTGGTTTATCTGAAATCTCGATTTCTTCAATTTCTTCAATTTCTTCATTATTTCCAGAAGAGGTGACATTTACATTTTTCTCAATGATTTCAGCAAAGTGAGGTGGAGAAAGAATAGGCACGGAAAAAAAGGGTAGTTGAGAGAATGACTTTTCAAAATCAAATGAATGTGTTTGAAAATTATAAAAGAAGTAACACAGGGACTGAAGAGTCCGCATATCTGATGCGGTATATTGTCTAGTGCTATGGTGAACCGAAGACTTTGTTGATGATACTTGAAGAAATGATTCTGGGGTATAAATTTTTTGGTATTGATCGTCTCCATCTATAATTGACAACACTCTATTATTAAAGTCATGGAGTGTTTCAATATCATCAGCACCAAGAAAAATTGCATGTGTGAATTGACTTATTTTCATCATGTCAACCAGAAGCTCCAGACCTAGGCCCTTTGTCCAACCAGGAGTATTGACAATCAAGATGGAAGAAGCATTGTCGGATTGGGAAGACTTGTAGATAGAAAAAAGAGCTTGGAAACATGCTGAATATAAAAGAGGAACGTCTTTTGGAGAATTATATCCTAAAGAAAAGGACTCAATGACATCTTCAAAGTTGGGATGTGCAAAAGGTGAAGAGAAGTTAAAGTTTTGTGGGGTTGACAGGTATACAGTACCAGGTGGAGAGTATTCTGATTGGCCTGGATCACAATCTAGAAAGTGAACCGAGTTTTTACCCACATTAGATAATGTATAGTTTAGCAAGTATCGGCAAAAAGTTGACTTGCCAGAATTTTTAGGGCCAGTGACAAAGACAACTGTAGGATAAGAAGAAGATTTAAAGTCTGAAATGATTTCGTTTGCGGTTGCCCTCCAAGATTCATAAGATTCGACGGTTTTGGTTGAAGGAGGTCCATTGTATATAGGATGAAAGGATCTAAACATTTCCGAAGGGTTTGAAGATAATTGGGGCCCCCATAGGTTTTGAAATTTGGGCAAGATATAAGGTATTTGTTCGAGACCAGTGTGAAGAGATTCGATGAGAATAATTGTGGAGATTTCTTCAGGTGGCTGGGTTAAAAAGCTATTTTCCGGGGTCTCAATAACTTTTCCAAGGTACTTTTTCTTTGGCGAAAGCGCCGTTATTCTAGGAAGAGCGGTTGCAGCTGATGCAGATACTTTGTATCGTTTACTGCCGACATGTAAGGTTGCACCATAAATAGAAACGCATCCCATTTGGACAGTTAGCATGTACTGGCCTTGGAAAACTAAGGATTCGCCTAGTCTCAAGCCGGCGACGATGGAGGAGCCTGTATAGTTGATGTTTGATTTAGTTGGTGTAAAGTTGGATATCTGGATGGTGGATTTTAAAGGTATGGATTCGTCTTCATTGTTTGAGCTATCGCTGTCCGACAATTCCAAGGATTCATAGGTGTGCTGTGATTCAGAATCTTCTATGCTTTCGTTTTCAATTGAAGAGTCTCGGTTTGCATTTTGCTGGCTGGCGATTTCATCATCAGACTTGTCAGTTTGAGAAAGATCTAATGATTCTGATCTTTTTTTGACTTTATTTAAAGCCTGGAAAGCCGCTAAAGATTAAGAGCAAAGATATACAATTAGTTTCATTTAAAATACATTAACAACAATGGTCCTTACACTTTCTCTTCATTTTGATCTACAAGAGATTTATCTCAAAGTTTGATTGATGGTTTATTTTAGGGTTTTAATAATATAGATATATATAATTTTTTTTTTTTTTTGATACTGATTAAATTTTTTTTCCCCAAAGATGGTAAAAAAAAATAAAAATTACATAAGTACCGCCTAATCATTACTAATATATTTGGACCAATAAGTGGATTCCCAAGTCAATCCGTAACACCCAACTTTTTTTTCTTGTAAAGCCCGAAAAAACTGGTGATTTTTTCTTAGCCAACGAAAAATTTAAGACCTTTTTCCTGACTAGAAAACCTTTTCCTTCTCCTTCTTCTTGTATATCTTTTTAGATAACCCTCAACAACTTTTTTTAACCCCATCCCCACCCTTTTTTAACTTCACTGCAACAATCAAAAATGTCTGAAGAATCTCCCTTGAAGACTGGTATGCTAAATGTGTACTTTTTTGAGCTATTTAACTGCCTGAAAAGTTATGTTTTAATAATAAATGAATTGATTGGCTAACAAACATTTATCTAGTTGGATTCGATCCTCGGTACGTGACCACCCCTTATTTCCCACCTTGTACCCAGAATGACGAAAATGCTTTAAACAACAATGACCCTTATTATTTTTTTTTTCTTCTAACAATGCTTTAGCTACCCTTACCAGAACCAGACCAAGCACTGCTGGCAATCGTACGTTGACTACCACAAGTGTGTCAACGCTAAGGGTGAGGACTTTGCTCCTTGCAAGATTTTCTACCGCACCTTTAACTCTCTTTGCCCTACTCTTTGGATTGAAAAGTGGGATGAACAGAGAGGTATGTATAAATGATTGCTTTTTAAATCTTGCTGGTCACTAACTTTTATTTAGAAAAGGGCAATTTCCCTGCCAAGCTCGACTAAATGTATCTTTCTGATATAAAAATAAACTGATACCAAAGAAGATAGCCTATCCAACTTAATGATACTTTATGTAAAATCAAAAATACCTTAGAATTAACTATTCACAAGATGAAAAAAATTATATTACCAAAAGTCGTCCTCTGCATTTTCGTTATCTTGGTTATTACTATGGCGGATACTTTCTTCGGAAAAGAGGTCGTCATAAGCATGGTCTTTTTGGTATTTAAGCTGTTTTCTCTCGCGTTCAACTCGCTTTTCTTCCTTTGCACGTTTTTGTCTGTTTTCAATTTCAAGGCGCTTTTGCTCCTTGTCATATTCTAAGCGTTCCTTTTGAAGGTCAGGGAATGACTCGACTTTAGTTTTATTAAGACGGTTGACAATGGCGTTGACTCTAACTGGGATGTGTACTTTTTTGACGAGGTTTGCCTTTTTAAAGCCGACCTGACCAGTAACCATACCATTTGTTTTATGGAGATTGGACCAGGGAGTGTAGATTACAGTGATGTTATCCTGTTTGTTTCCTTGGATGGAGTTTGCTTTGGTGAGTTGGGCACAGTCTTTCTTTTTGTTAGGATGTGGATCTTGTATCTTGTAATAGTAAACTTACCGATAAGGATTTCTTGAGGAATATTGTCCCAGGTCCATTCTTCGGGTAATCGTAGGTAGACGTGAGCTGATGAGAGATTATCTACGTGGAACTACAGCAGAATGTTAGACCTTTTCATGTGGTATTTTTTTTGAAAAGAGTTTACAAACCCTTATTAGAAGTGTTAGTTACGGATTGAATTTTATTTATATAAATATACGATACAATCATTAATATTGATTTTTAGCCCATAATACTACTTACCAAACATCAGTGGGCAGACCCCATTTTATAAGATCTTCATTTTCTTCCTTATGTTTTCCCATGAAAAGACTGACTGGGAAATTGACGTCTTCTGAGACACCTTCTGATTTGAAGTAGTATACCATGATTTCTGGTGTTGATTTGATAATTTATAAAGGTGCAATGTGAAAGGGAAAGAAAAAAAAAATTGGACTTGAAAAAGTTTTTATTTGATACTCATTGGGAAGTAACTGAACAGTATTGAATGGCAGACAAACCCTTGCCCTGAGAACTATATTTGCAGGTGTCTGAATTAAATAAAAGTAAACAAACAAATGTTTACTTGAACAAATTTACCAAAAAAAAAACTCATTACTATTTTGATACCATGTCTGAATTTCCACAAGATATTTCGTTGTTTCAGGATATAGACCCTTATGAGGTTCTGGAGATTGACTTGACTACGATATCCAAAAAGGATGTGACCCCTGAGCAAGTCAAGAAGGCGTACCGTAAGCTTGCGCTACGGGTTCACCCAGATCGCGCGAAAAGCGATTCGGATCGACAGCAGTTCCACAACATGTTTCAGCGGGTTGCATTTGCATACGGAGTGTTAGGGGATGTTGGGCGGAAAGCTCGGTATGATCGAACAGGATCTTTGGAGGATGTCCCTTTAGACGAAGGGGAAGATGGAGGTGTTAGTTTACGAGAGTTTCTTGAAGAGTTATGGAAGGGAGGTTTAGAGGCGGTCAGTGCAGATGCAATTGAGAAGGACCGGGAGGTGTACAGATCACAGGAGGAGTACAAGGACTTGGAAACGGCATACAAGAGACACCGGGGGGATATGAGTAAGGTCTATGAAGAGATTTTGCACACGCGGGATGACACAGATGAAGATTTTGTGCGGCTTGCGAAGATTGTGGAGGAAGCAATTGAGGAAGGAAAGTTGAAGAGGTTCAAGGCGTTTGGAGACTGGGAGAAGGTGCGGGAAGAGTTGTTTAATGGGGATGAAGATAAGGATGAAGATGAAGATGAAGAAGATGAAGAAGATGAAGATGAAGAAGATGGAGAAGATGAAGAAGATGAAGAAGATGAAGAAGATGAAGAAGATGAAGAAGATGAAGAAGATGAAGAAGATGAAGAAGATGAAGAAGATGAAGAAGATGAAGAAGATGAAGAAGATGAAGAAGATGAAGAAGATGAAGAAGATGAAGAAGATGAAGAACAGGAAGAAGAGGGAGAAGATTCTACACCCAAGTCCAAATCCCAGTCCAAGTCTACAAAGAACTCCAGATCTAGTCCACCTTTATCAAAGAAGCTGAACCGCAAGCGGGAAGCCAAGGAAGCCGAAGCTTTGGCGGTTAAGCTGGGGTTGCGGAATAAGGATAAAGGTGATGACGGAATGGCCTCATTGAAGGCATTGATTTCTCAAAAACAGGGCAAGAGAATGGTTAGTTTAGTGAATGGGTTGGAGGCGCGCTATGGAGGCAAGAATAAAAGGGTTAGACAGGAAATATTTGAGGAACCCAGTGAAGAGGAGTTTGAGCGGATCCAGCGGGAAATTGAAAATCGGAGACAAACCCAACCCCCACGGGGAAAAAAGGGGAGAAAGTAAGACCGGCAGAGACATAAATAAATAAATAAATAAATATAAATATGTTTTTTTTTTATTTATTAACAAATCAAAATCATTACAAAGCAAAGAAAATTTTTTTTTATCTTTTATACATTAAAAAAAGAAGAGTCATTAGTAGGTGTAGCCAAGTTCCTTAAGAGCCTCGAGAATGGCATTGAGGGCAGTGTCAATGTGACCAAGAGATGGGGTGGTTGCGGAGATACCCATGTGGCCAACTCTAAAGTACTTTGAAACGATTTCCTTGTGGATGCCACCGGCAAGGGCGACATTCTTCTTAAGAACAAGGGGGAGGAGATCGGCATTGGAGATGCCCTCAGGGAGGTAGACAGCAGTCATACCGTGAGCAGACGATTCTCTGTCAACAGAGACCGTCTTAAGGCCAGCCTTTGCCAGAGTGTCCTTGACATAGTCAGAAGTTGCTGCATGTTTGGCAAATCTCTCCTCGAGTTGCTCGGAAGAGGTGGCAAACTGTCTGAGAGAGGCGAGAAGAGCGTAAACGTTTTGAACAGCAGGTGTGGCAAAGTAAGCGCCCTTTCCAGACTCATAGGCCTGCATAATGGGGAGCCATCTAGGGATAGAGGCAAAGTAAGAGCCGGAGGGAGACTTTCTATTCTTGACAACATCAAGGGCTTGAGCAGAGGCAAAGAGAACAGAAAGACCGGAGGGGGTGGCGAGACCTTTTTGGGAGCCAGTGAGGACAAAATCGACTTTCCAGTCGTCAAACTTAATGGGTTCGACGGCAACGGAGCAGACACCGTCAACAACGACAAGAGTTTGAGGAGAGACGGACTTGACGAGCTTAGAGATGGCCTCAACATCAGAGAGAACACCAGTGGAGGTATCGACGTGGGTGATTGTGATAATTTTGTATGTCTTGGCCTTGAGGGCAGCCTCAATTTGCTCGAGAGAGGGTTTAGAGCCGATCTGGGGTCCCTTGAGGTTGTCGACTTTAGCGCCGTAGACCTCGAGGGCGTCGGCAAACGAGTCGGAGAAGTAGCCAGTATTGAGGACGAGAGCTGCGTCACCAGCCTCAATGAGGTTAGCGCCGACAACGTCCCAGCCAATTGTTCCTGAGCCAGCAAGAATGAAGGGCTGGGCATTGGGGTCGGTAGAGAAGAAGAGCTTGCGGAGGAGCTGGAGGGATTCCTGGAAGATCTTAATGAAGGTAGGGGAAGTGTGGGGGACAGCTGGGTGGCTCATGGCGGCCAGGACCTCATCGTCGAATTCGATGGGTCCAGGGATCATGGTGAGAGGGTGAGCGGCCTGATTAGCTTGAGACATTGTTGAGTAAGATCTTGAAGGATGTTGTTGTTGATTGTGTTGTTGGTATCTTTGGGGGGGATGTGAGAAGGAAGAGTTAGTAGGGAAGGTAGCAGGCTGATATGAGAGAGTGTTTGACGCCACGATTGGCTGAGAGGTGGGTACCAGTTGGTTGGCAAGAGCCGAGAGCCGTGCAGTAGCAGTGTTACGTAATGGGTTAGTCATGTTTCTAAGCATGTGTGAGTGTGAGTGTTTGTGTGAGTGTAGAAAAGAGTGGAAGAAGGAAAGGGTAAGGGTAAATAAAACCGTGTAAAAGGATTAGACAAAAGAGGAAGTAGGTCCGAGTAAAATTGTGTGGGAGTAAAGGGGAAGAGGGGCCCGAGTATTAGTAATTTCCGTTGAAAGAAGGGGCAAAGGGGGGAGGGGGAGTAGTAGACCCGAGTTAAATTGAGGGTTAGACTGTTGAGGTCCGAGTTAAGATTAATTAAAAAAAAAAAAAAAGTTCCAAGGCTTTCAAAAGGGTTTTTCCTTTACTTTTGAAGGTTTCTGAATTACTGATTTTTAAAAAAAAGAAGAAAAAAGGTAAGAAGAAGAATAAAAAAAATGCCCAAAGTCTCGCTATTTATAGCTGGAAAAAGAAGAAACTCTTTTTTTATAAAATAAATATGACTCAACAAACAATCCAGTTAAAATACCTCCTCTTTTTTTTTTTTTTTGTAGTAGGCAAGAGAGAGAAAAAAAATGCGACGTGTTAACAATCATGTTGCAAATGTATGGGATTGAAATCATTTACTATACTAAATTTTGTAAGAGGGGAAATCCATTTTATACAATTTTTTTTTTTTATGTTTTTTCTGAGGGGGTTGAAACTTTTCAAATTTTTATTTTTTTTTTATTTTTGCACACATGAAAAGAAATCTGTCACAAACAAAACGATTGAGTTTATCCGATGGCATGTGCGGCTCACGAGTTTTTTTTTTTTTTTAATTTTTTTTTGTTTTATATTTTTATTAATATATAATATGTGTGAGTGTGTGTGTGAAAAATTCTCGAAGAAAAGTGGGGGGGGGACTTAAAGGAAAATGAAATTGTAAAGAAATGTATTACGTGAGCCTCACACTATACCCAAATCAAGTATACTTGCTAAATATTACATAATTAGATGAAAAATTTAAAACCAAAAAAAAAAAAAAAAAACAAGAGTGAGGGGTCATGGCAATCTGGCTGAAAATGTGTGCGGCTCTGGCGGCTAAAATATTTCAAAAAAGATATAATAAACTTGAAATAGAAAGAAAAAAGAAAAAAGAAAAAAGAAAAAAGAAAAAAGAAAAAAGAAAATATTTTTAAATTTTAAATTTTTTTAATTTAATTATGAAATAAATAAATTACAAATAAGTTACATATAAATATTAAAATTGTAATATAAAAAATTTAAACAAATATCACTTAAAATATAATACTAAATATATAACACTTAATATATAACATATAAGACATAAGACATAAAATATAAAACAATAATGAATATTTAAATCTTACATAATATGTTACAACATATTACACCTATGTTACAATCTGTCTTTGGCACATGTTATAAAAGCCACAGAATGAGGCGAATCTCAGCAGCAACCACAGAAAAAAATTTTCAGGCCTCAAAGCCCATCCAGTCAATTTAATTAATTAATCAATCAGTCAGTCAGTCAGTCAGTCAGTCAGTCAGTCAGTCAGTCAGTCAGTCAGTCAGTTCACAACCACCCAACAAAGACCTCCAAAAAAAAAAAAATTTTTTTATTATTATTATTTTTTTTTTTATTTTATATATACACACCCTTTTCCTTCCTTCCTTTCTTTCCCTTCCCTTCCCTTCCTCTTTCTTCAAGAAAGTTCTTTTCTCAACCTTCCATTCCAATCAAACAATCCCATCCCTCAAAAAAAAAAAAAAATGGCTACCTACGCTCTTTCAGAATCCCACAAGGCTGTAAGTCCTTTTTCATTTGTTAATCCATTTCGATTTTCACATCTTTTCCATATGCTAACATCCTATCACAGCTCCTCCAAGACAGACTCGAGTCTTTTGACCCCGAAGTCGCCTCCATCATGAAGGACGAAATTCAACGCCAAAAGGAGAGTATCGTCCTCATTGCTTCTGAGAACTTCACCTCCAAGGCTGTCTTTGATGCCCTTGGATCACCCATGTGCAACAAGTACTCTGAGGGCTACCCTGGCGCTAGATACTACGGTGGTAACCAGCACATTGACCGCATTGAGCGATTGTGCCAACAGCGCGCTCTCGATGCCTTCCACCTCGACCACGAGAAGTGGGGTGTCAATGTCCAGACCCTCTCCGGCTCTCCTGCCAACCTCCAGGTCTACCAGGCCATCATGAAGCCCCATGAGCGTCTCATGGGTCTCGACCTCCCCCACGGTGGCCATCTTTCTCACGGTTACCAAACTGACACCAGAAAGATTTCTGCTGTCTCCACTTACTTTGAGACCATGCCCTACCGTGTTAACCTTGAGACTGGCATCATTGACTACGACATGCTCGAGAAGACCGCCATTCTTTACAGACCCAAGGTCCTCGTCGCCGGTACCTCTGCTTACTGCCGTCTCATTGACTACAAGCGCATGCGCGAAATCGCTGACAAGGTTGGTGCTTACCTCGTTGTCGACATGGCCCACATCTCTGGTCTCATTGCCGCTGGTGTCATCCCCTCTCCCTTTGAGTACGCTGACATTGTCACCACCACCACCCACAAGTCTCTCCGTGGTCCTCGTGGTGCCATGATCTTCTTCAGAAAGGGCGTCCGCTCTGTCAACCCCAAGACTGGCGAGCCTATCCTCTACGACCTTGAGAACCCCATCAACTTCTCTGTCTTCCCCGGCCACCAGGGTGGCCCCCACAACCACACCATCACCGCTCTTGCTGTTGCCCTCAAGCAGGCTCAGACTCCTGAGTTTGTTGAGTACCAGAAGCAGGTCCTCAAGAACGCCAAGTCCCTCGAGGAGAAGTTCAAGGAGCTCGGCTACAACCTTGTCTCCAACGGTACCGACTCCCACATGGTCCTCGTTTCTCTCCGTGACAAGGGCATTGACGGTGCTCGTGTCGAGGCTGTCTGCGAGGCTATCAACATTGCCCTCAACAAGAACTCCATCCCTGGTGACAAGTCTGCCCTTGTTCCTGGCGGTGTCAGAATCGGTGCTCCTGCCATGACCACCCGTGGTCTTGGTGAGGAAGACTTCAAGCGTGTTGTTGAGTACATTGACCGTGCCATCAACATTGCCATTGATGTCCAGAAGTCTCTCCCCAAGGAGGCCAACAAGCTCAAGGATTTCAAGGCCGTTATTGCCAAGGGCAACGAGACTTTGGATGGTCTTAGAGATGAGATTTCCCAGTGGGCCAAGCAGTTCCCTCTTCCCGTTTAATTGGGAGGTCAATAAAAGGAACACTTTTATAAAAAAAAAATTAAAAAAATTACCCAATCATTTAATTGAAAACCTCAACGGTTTTTTAATGATTTGACGACTATATGACCACCACTTCCTTTTTTGTGTATTTATGATTTTCAACAATGTTTTAATGTCAAGTTTTATTATTATTATTATTATTATTATCATTTCCATTATTTTACAAGAATATACGATGAGTAAAAGCACTTTTGTACTGCCAAATTTTTTTTTTTTTTTTTTTTTTTTTAAGATAAAAATTTTCTCTCGCTTAGTTTTTGGTCAGCCGTGCAAAAAACCCAGTGGGCTGTGCTGCTGTTGTTGCAGGTGCGCTCGGCGCAGAAGTTCCCGGTGCCGACAAAGACGACGAGCTATTGTGTAACGAACCATCGTCTTTACTCTCATGGTTATTACCACTGTTGTTCCCCCATAGCGACCAGCTGCTAAAAATACCTGTAGACGTTGAAACCACGCTGCGACTTGATTTCTGCGATGTTGATACTACTGAGCTGTTGCTTGGAGCCCTCGATAACGTAAGACCACCATGGTTGCTATCTGCTTCTTCGTGATGATGATGATGGTTATGATGATGCTCCTTTTCTCCTGCTGTCTCCACAGTCTCGCCTTCCTTCTTGGCTCCTTCGTTCTTGTTGCTCCACCAGAATGAGTTCCACGGCTTCATCCCCTTGATGAAAGGCCCATCTCCATCTGTGCTCTCTTTATCCTTATCTGTAACACCTTCTGCTCCTTGCTGGAGATCCTGAGATGCAGCTACCACTTGCTGTGATGGTTGTGGCTGCTGTTGCATGGCCACACCAACATGTCGCGGCTCCACAATGTCAAACACTTCATCGTCTGTAAACTTGGAAAATATCCGGAAGTTATTTGTCGTCCGCCATTCCTTAATCCAATGGTGATTAAACTGTTTAATGGGATTCCCATTGACTTCGCGCAACCGCAAATTCGGCTGTTTGGACCCTGCCATCCGCTGCAAAAACCGATCGTACTTCACTGCAGACAAAAGCCCCATAATGTAGTCCTCAAACTGCTGCCGAACATAGTCCTCACTTCCTCGGAAGCCAAGATCCTTAGGACGGAAGGGGTCTTCTGGATCCCAAGTGTCTTCCACAGCCTGTACAATTGAGTTAATCCACTTCTTATCAGCAGATGACAACGAAAGTGCATTGTTGAGCCCATGGCTCAGCACCTCTACGTTACTTTGATCAATGTGCACAACAATGTCTGCAACACAGTTTTGCGGAGCAAGAAGCAGCGCATTGGTACTACCAACTAAAAAGTATTTTGTCTCAGGAGCCTTGAGCTCGTCCATTTGCTGGAGAGGCACATATGCAGTAAACATGCCTCCTTCAGAAAAAATCTGCAAAGGCAGACCCATGTAGTGTAATAATGATGTTCGATCGCTGCTTCTCAGCGAAGTAGGCTTCTTTAAACGAGTTTCATAAGACTTGAGCAGAGGCGACCCGCAGTCCTCTAGGTTGTTGATAAGACTAGGAATCAGCGACACAAGCGCAAATTGCGATGCACACAAAACCTCGGTGTTGTGACCAAAAAAGAAAATCTTCTTTTCCAGAAGCAATGCTTTAAGCAGGAAAAGAACCTTGTTCTGGAGTCTGTGTACAAGCTCTCGCAAAGACATGCCAACATATAAATCGCTCTCGTCTACCTTGTTTGAAAACATTTGCACCAAGTTTCCGTAAAGACTATCAATCAGAGATCGATCCTCAAAATCGCCTTGTTGAAAGTAAGCCCTGGTAATTACTGCCAATTTCTCACGAATTGCTCCAAAAATGGGTTTCCGTGCAATCACAATAACTGATTTTTGCACTGTTGATCGCGTTACATCATCTGGGCGTTCCTTCAGATCAGTGGCTTTAAGCTGACGGTTGCAGCTGATACCAAAAAGTGTCGTTGTGTTAGACATGTCCGGGACCTCTTCTGTAATGTTGCCATGCTTGTCCCGGACAGGCACAGCAATGGGTCCGGTTTTATTTTTGTTGTCGTACAGTAGAGAAAAGTAACAAAAGTTTTCTTCGTGTGAATGTGAGCCGTCTGGCAAGCTTTGAAATGGTAAATTGGGCCATAGTTTGTTATGATCTTGACCCTCGCCTCCAACAGCATATTCTACTTCTGGGCCTCTGAATTAAAGTTAGTATGCCTTTAAAAAAAAAAATTAAAAAAATTCACTTACCGGATATGATGAAATCCAACAACATAAACTGCAAAAATCAAATTCTTGTCATTTGGATTGGTTCCATCAAAATCATCTTTCTCAATAGGCTCGAGCGAAAATGATGGTGCACGTTCTCGAGCCGCATCCGTATCCGCATTTTCTTCGGCATGTGTATTTTTCTTGTTGTCATCTTCCGATTCCACTACCAGATTGTTCTTCAGCTTCTCTTCATTGTCACCAACGACATTCTCCGTCAAAGAATTGTCGCGTTCATGCGCGTTTAATAACGTCCCTTCATCACCTCCTGCACTTGGCGCGATTGTGGAATCAGCCAAAGGAGTAATGGAAACGGCAGTGGCATTAACCCCAGAACTACTTATGGGAGATCTATTCGTGGCATCTTCCTGGTTTGAAACTGCTTCTATAGCTTCTTTTTCATCCAGCATAGGTAGCTTGGACTCAGTGGTATCACTATTGTTTTCATTGGCAACAGCATCTGAAGAGCTAGCCCAAGGGTTGGATGTGGGTGACTCACCAGTTTCTGGATATGTTTCTTTATCTTGTAGAGTATCAAAGTCTGCCGATGGAGGTTGATCTGCTGGTTCGGCTGCCACAATAGTCTCTTTTGTATTTTTAGTATCTTCTTGCTCAGAAATTTCAATATTGTCCTGTTGAGGAGCCAGAACTGGCGAAGGATCATTGAGGGGTTTTGAAGTATTGGAATCGAGGGTTTTTGTAACCGGTTCAGACATGGAAGAATTTGTAAGAGGGTCTACTTCATCATCGTTTTCATTTGGACACTCGGTAACTACCGAGGCTGACAGATCTTCATTTTCGCTGGTGCTACCGCTGCTACCGCTGCTCCCGCTGCCACCTTTACTGCCTCTGCGACCGTTGCTGCTGTTACCGCTGCCAACACTCTTTTGACTTTCCCTACTTTTATTGGCCTCTTCGAATGCCTTTGGAATTAATATTGGATTGGGACTTTTGAACGTTATAGGCGACTGTGTGCCACTGTTTCCCTCAGCAGCTGCAATGATCGCGTTGAATCCACTAGCACTTGCACTGGCTCGAAGTGACAATGTAGAGCTGGAACCACTGCCTACAATGCCATTGATCCCGTTTAAACTAGCACTGGTACGAAGAGTCGGAGTAGGGGGTTGAGATGAAAGCATTTTTTCAAGCTCTTCAACCTTGGAAGATATCTTTGATCCTTTTGGTGGAGATGGTTGACCGCCTGGTGTGTTGTTAGTAGGAGTTGTTGGTGAAATAATAGTTGAAGCTTCCTGTTCAAACTTAGCGGCCAACGTCAGAACACCGCTGGGCTTGCGCTGTCGTTTTGCTGGGTCTATAGTTAGAGGAGGTGTCAAATTTTTTGGCAAGGTAGCCGGAACTTCCGAGGTGGTTGGGAATGGAATTTCCGGCGCTTGGGAATCTAGAAGATCCTGCATTTGTTCAGGGGTTTTGCAGTTGAAAGGATGAAGATAGGGACGATCTGTATGCTGTTCCTGGAGAGGAGGAATATATATGGTAGTAGTAGTAGTAGAAATAGGATTAGGAGTTGTAGAAGTGCTGGGAGTTATGGTTGAAGAGATTATGGTATTGGTTGTGGTGGTTGTGGTTAATGTATCGCTATTCAGGAGCACAGGAGGCTCGCCTGTTCGGGATATGTTGGCGCTGCTGCTGGCAACGGTCGGGTGGTAGGTACTTTGGTCACTACTGGTATGCTGGTCTGGATTACGTCATTAGCAGGTAAGTTAAATGAAACAAGCAAAATGAAAGGCAATTGTGATAATGACAATGAATAACTGGAGTATTTCAATTTTTATTTTAAAAAGGATGTCAAACAAAAAAACCGAAATACAGGAACAAGACTTACTTTCAAATGGGACAAATAAAACATCCCGCTTTATTTGAATGACTGGAGAATTCTCATGGGAAGGTACCGGACTAGAAAACGCTAGCGGATTCTGCTTATTCTCGATAGACGCCGATTCCAAATCGAGAGAATGTTTTGATGAGTTTGCCAAGCTGAAGAAATCATCGTCATCATCCTCCTCTTCATTGCTGTATTTATGGCTTAATGAAGTGTCTGGTAAAACTTTAAGAGGAGCTACCGTAAGTGCTTCTTCGTCATCTTGGTTTTCATCTTCAGAATCTAACAAAGAGTTTCTTAAGCAGCTAGACTCAAGTCGGTGGTTACGGTACGCACTAAATTTTGAAGCCCTACTACTTTCAGCATCACTGTCGCTTTCAATGTTGAAGCTAGCATCGTCTCCATGTTCCTGGTAAATATAGTTTGAGTATCGCGGATTAGTTGAATCGTCAAAGTCAGAATCAGTATGGATTTCAACAGACTCATTTCCTTCAACAGAAACAATTTCAGAAGAAAGAGATCGACTGTGCTGATGATACTTGGTTGGATACTGCCTCGTTAGGGAGTCATTTGCTCCTGCGTTAGTTTCGGAAATTGACATTATAACGTTAAAACAAATAAGATGAAGAGGAAATAATAGAAGTTTATATCAAAATTCAATAAAACAGTCAAAAAAAAAAAGAGAATTAAATCTAGGTTTATTTAATCCATTTTCCCTTTTGTTTTATTCAGTTTTTATTTGTATAAAATCGTCTGTGCTTTTTTTTTTTTTTTTTTTGACAAGACAGGTCTTGTTGCAGATGTTCTGTTCTGTTTGCTGGAAGAATGAAACTTCTAAAGGGCGGCTGGCTTTTCCGTTTTCCCCATAACATGGCAGCAATCAGCTTTGACGCAGGGGTCCATGGGGTCACATGATAATAACGCCTTGATACAATAGATTAAATAAATTCTTCTTCTTCTTCAAAAAATACAAGTAACTATAATTAGTTGCTAACTTTATAGTTATTTAAGATAACACAAAGTAACAAGAATTTGTTACAATGGTTTCTATAGTAGTTATCGTAGAGATGATGCATTTATCGAGAAAATTCAAGCAAAAACTGAGCTAAGAAAATTTCTTCAAATGGTTGCAAATAATTGGCAATTTGAAACTATCGTTGCGAACTATGGCAAATTTTTATTTATGTTAATTAATTAAAGATTAAATTGCTCCATTTTAAAAATGGTTTTAGAGTAATATGGTATAACAAAAACAAACTTCTATTTTAAACGTACTTACATATATAATTTGAAAAATAAAACAAGGTTAAGTTTACTACGTATTTATTGTTCTAATTAGTTTTTAAAAATACGGCATGGTATACTTACCAGCCTTAAATGATCATAGATTGTATTTTCCATAACAACTGCCTTACCTTCATTTGGGAGCAGAGGCATTTTTGAGAGAAAGATAGGCATTCCAAAAGACACCAACTGTAGAAGCAAAGGGAACCTGGAGTGACACGGGCATCAATAGAAAATTGACAAACTGAGCAGCAGGCCAAACTGCATAATTGACCACAAGAGTTTGCAGGTAAGCAGAGCGTAGCTTGACAATAAGAGCAGCTCGATCGCCTCGGCCCATGACAATGGTAGAATATATAAAAAAGGCAAAAAGCGAAATTGGAGAATAAAAAAGTTGGTCAGTGAGAACACGTTTAAGAGTAGATAAGAAAAGATTGTCTTCTTTGTATAAGCTGTTAAGCACAGCATACCAGCAGTACTGAAGCAAGGCTTGAACAAACCCCCAGACCATAAAGAGAGAAAGACGACGGAAATCATACTTTTTCATTGCGTCTGGGTTTTCAGCCTGTTCCTTAATTGTTATCTTATGACGACGGGTATTAGTGTTGTTGCCACTGGGCGAAGAAATATAATGGTGATTATAATGCGTGGGGGAAGAATATGAGTCAGGTGTACTTGTAGTAGTATCATTGGTGCTGTTTCTATCTTCCGACTGATCCAGCAGGCGGAAAGTATGGGTATCATCAGCAAGACCAAGCTCGGCCAACTCCTGGGAGTTGATGGAATCTGTGTCATCACTTTCATAAGGATTGTGTACTGGATCATGACCATTATTGATAGTTGCTTCTACATCATCATCTTGATGAGGTTGGTCTCCCGTTTCGTCCTCTGATTCGTCTTGAGAAGGCTCTTCGGGAAGACGAATGCGTCTTACTTCAAGCTTCTCAAGAACATAGGGAATTCGAAATCCCGCATCTGATCCTGTATCAGGTTTGAAAGCCACAAACATAGTGAGGGATTGAGCAAGGGTATCTGCAAGACCGTAAAGTAAGAGATTTGACACAATCATAGTTGTAAGAGCTGTTTTCATATAGATAGAAGAGTAAACCATTGTCAAACGAATCAGAAACGCTGTAAAAAATAGAATAATGAACCAGTTGAGCTTTGGAATGCGCAACACTCGGTATCGCATAAGAGAATGTGTCCAGTCGGTGATGGCTTGCCACCCACGCGTATACCAATGAGGTTGCGGGATGCCTAAGAATAATAGTAATGGTTAGATAATGTGATAAATAGAATAAAAATAAACTACTTACTAAATGGATCTTCTTCATAAGACCCACGACGCCGAATGCGTATCAGCCCAGAGTTTCGAGGGAAATGGAATGTGCTGTGAGCCATTTAAGAATGTTAGTTGTGAATGATTAAGAATCGTAAGTCTTCAAAAAAAATAAATAAAAAAAAAACGCGCCTGTTAGCGCTAAATACGAGCGTCACGTGGCAATGTAAAGACTATAAAATTTTAAACCTCCAGAAAATGCTACGGATAAATCACCATTAAGACACATGAAAGACAAAACAAATTTAGTTTTTTTAAAATTTAATATTAAAATTACATCATAAAATAAAAATATAAAACCCAGTCATTAAAGAGTAGAAAAAAAGCACAAAAACAAAGTCATAAAAGAAAAGATAAAAGGAAACTGTAGTTGCTTGGAATAAAGCGTTTAACCACCGAAACCGTAAAGAGTGCGGCCTTGTCTCTTGAGAGCGTAGACAACATCGAGAGAAGTGACAGTCTTTCTCTTGGCGTGCTCAGTGTAGGTGACAGCATCGCGAATGACTGACTCAAGGAAAGACTTGAGAACACCACGGGTCTCTTCGTAAATAAGACCAGAGATACGCTTGACACCACCTCTGCGGGCAAGACGTCTAATAGCAGGCTTGGTAATACCCTGAATGTTATCACGAAGAATCTTTCTGTGGCGCTTAGCACCGCCCTTTCCCAAACCTTTTCCACCTTTTCCGCGGCCAGACATTGTTGTGTTTTAATGTAGTAGTAGAGAGTTTTTAATAATGTGTAGTATTTGAAGAAGGTTAAATGAAACCTGATGAGATGTTGTTTTGAGTGTAGAGTGAAGAGAGTTGTTGTGATGAGAGATATAGAAGAAAAAAAAAAAAAAAAAAACTAATTTTAGGTGGAATTCGGCTTGTATATATACTTTTTTTTAGCAAAAAAAGGAAGACGGTGGCGGCCGAAGTTTGACTTGCTTTTTTTTTTTCCCTGTTTTTGTGGTCTTTTTTTTTTCTTTTTAGTTTGGGAGGGAAGCCGACCGACCGACTTTGCACGGCAGCGCAGAGCGGGATTTGCAGGCGCTCGGGTGCTGTGCGCAGGTATTTTCCATGGCCGCAGCGTCTCAAATGTCAGCAAAGTTTTTTTTGGTGGTGTTTGCTGGCTGGCTTTTTGGCTGTTTAATGCTAATGCTGCTTCTATAGCCGCACCAACTTCTTTGTGGGGAGGCATGTACAAGCCCACAAAGCTCAGCCTTATCGATTTGACTAGTGCTCAAATTTACAGGGTGTAGATCTCAGCACCATTTTGCCCGTTCTCTGATGCACTTCCAGACTATGATCTGCACTAGTGATTGTGTGAAGAACTGTAGCCAATAGATGCGCGTAATTTTGCACTAAGAGAACTTTTCGTGTGCTTTGGACCACCGCACATCACAGCACATGGAATATCCCAGAACGAAAAGTCGCTCTCCAAACGCGATTTTATCATCCATTTTGCAAAATAATGGCTTTTCAATCGACTTTGAGCTCGATTTCTGGCGTCATTGAAGCTGCCCCAAAAAAGTCACAGGTGGTACATGCAATTCCAATCAAAGTTTTCAATGTCCGGCTTCATTATTATTTGCACCGTGTCTAAAAAATTAAAAAATTGCTCGGCAATCATACGGCACCCCTAACAATTCGGACTTTCTCCCCCACGACGCGTCGCTTAGCTTGAATTGATTTTATTTTTCAATCTTCAAATTACTTTTATTATTTTTTTTATAAATACTCAGGTTCCCCCCATATATTCTAAACTTTTTTTATATCATTCTATAACAAAGTCCTTACTTCCTCATTTTCTCAACATCTACCCTCTCTTATTCTTTTACTTTTACTCTTATTTTAAATAAAAATGGCCAGAACTAAGCAAGCTGCTAGAACCACCACCGGTGGCAAAGCTCCCAGAAAGCAACTCGCCTCCAAGGCTGCCCGCAAGTCTGCTCCTTCCGGTACTTCCGGCGGTGTCAAGAAGCCTCACAGATACAGACCCGGTACTGTCGCTCTTCGTGAAATTAGACGTTACCAAAAGAGTACTGAGCTCCTTATTCGAAGACTTCCCTTCCAGAGACTGGTCCGTGAAATTGCCCAGGACTTTAAGACTGATCTTCGTTTCCAGTCCTCCGCTATTGGTGCTCTCCAGGAGTCGGTTGAAGCTTATCTCGTTTCCCTCTTTGAAGACACCAATCTTTGCGCTATTCACGCTAAGCGTGTCACTATCCAGAAGAAGGATATCGCTCTGGCTAGACGTCTTCGTGGAGAGCGCATCTAAACGTGTTGTTTAGTTACTCTTCCTTTTCTTGTTTGTTTGCTTTTCATGTACTTTATTTTATATTTGGTTTGTTTTTCTGTAATTTTTTTTTAATGAATGATAATGGGATACTTTTAATATTGTTTTGCAAAGCCGCAGTAGCATACGGCTGGCTTATAAATTTTTTTATCGGCTTACTAAGTCAAACCTTTCAAAGATTTATAAATCTTCTGTTTCTCCGTTTTTCTTACCCAAACCAAACAACACAATGAATTCTATACCAGATCAACTTCCATCGCTAGATTCTGTCAAGCACATAGTCTTAGTCCTTTCAGGTAAAGGTGGGGTTGGTAAATCCTCCGTCACAACACAAATTGCTCTTACACTTGTCGCCAAAAACTACAAGGTTGGAGTCCTTGACATTGACCTCACAGGACCAAGCGCCCCTCGCATGTTTGGTCTTGAAGGCCGTCAAGTCCATCAATCGGTCGCAGGCTGGGTCCCCGTATACGCACAGCCCCCATCTTCTGGATCGGGTTCTCTTGCCGTTATGTCTCTTGGATTTTTGCTTCAACAGCGTGGAGATGCTGTTGTATGGCGAGGTCCTAAAAAAACTGCAATGATCCGACAACTCCTCACAGACATGGTCTGGGGCGACCTCGACTACCTGCTAATCGACACACCTCCAGGAACTTCTGACGAACACATCTCTGTTGCAGAGGCCCTTAAAAATGCAGCTAATCCGGATGGAGCTGTTCTCGTTACAACACCACAAGGAATCGCCACCGCAGATGTCCGAAAAGAGCTTTCTTTTTGCCGGAAAGTAGGCTTCAACATTCTGGGAGTGGTTGAAAACATGAGTGGATACGTCTGTCCCCATTGTTCAGATTGTTCAGATATCTTCTCCAGTGGTGGTGGCTTAAAGCTTGCACAACAGTTTAATCTTCCCTTCCTTGGCTCAGTCCCCATAGACCCTCAGTTTGTTCTCATGATTGAATCTCAAAAGTCAAATAAAATTGGTAACGACAATGAAAGCAGTTTAGATACAAATGAGCCTTCACTGGTTCAAAAATATAAAGATACATCTGCCTTATACCCAATCTTCAGTAAGATTGTTGACAAACTCGTTGAACAAATAGAAAAGGACGACGAGGCTGATTCCTTAAACATTTCTCAAGTAGACATTAACAAACCATAGCTAGTTATTTTTCTTTTATTACTATTTCTTTTTTCTTCTATAATAAATATTTTTTCACTTTTTGGCAAATAAGCCTCCTAGGTATTTGCGCGCAGCGCTTGCATTTCCATTGTCTTGTTCAGGTCCAGCCGTTGAAATTGACGACGGTGAAGTCGATGATGACAACATGACTAGTTTTGCTGCTGCAGACCCTGATGACGTCCCCACAACTGGTGCGCTGGCTTCAGCAACCACCCCCAAAGATGCAAACGTTTCACGTAAGGAAGCATGCTTTTTTAAGACAGAGCTACTACCCTCCTCGCCGTTAAAAATGCTAGCACTAGTATTACCCACATCATTGTTCGTTACGTTACCATCAATGTTTCCAGAAACTTGGACACTACTAGTGCTTGGTACTGAAAATGTTCCGGCAACAGGAGAATAGCACTCTATTCCACTAACAACAACAGTTGCAGCCACTGCTGGTGCAGCCTTAACCGCAGGCATGTACAGGGGCGAGGCCAGCTCAAGATCCCCATACTTATTATAGTCATCTCCACCAATTTGTGTTTCTTCAGAGTTCAAGGAAGCACTTACATCGTGTGTTGAAGGGTCCGAACTATATTCAGGCGTAAAGGTCGTATTAGAGGATACCTTGATAAGTAATGCTGATTTGATCAAAGCATCACCAGAAATAGAATCTTCTGCCTTAGAATCGAGTGATGTTTTCGCTTGAACTGTTTCAATGTTAGATGAAATTGCTGCTTGTACGGGAGAACCGATTTCAGATATTGTATCAGTTTCGAGTTCAATATCTGAAAGTCCAGATGCTTTAGTAGGTATGATTAAGTTGTTCTCTTTTTCAACAGCCATAAGGTTTTCTTTAGTAACAGGAAGGTCTTCATTAAGCAAATTTTCATTTTTAGAAATAGGAAGCGATTCGTTCTTAACTGGAGGCTCATCAACTGAAGGCTCTTCTTCAATAACTGATGACCCTTGTGAATTTGTAAGAGCTGTGCTTTCTTCCTCTTCTTTCGCAGCTAGTGTAATTTTAATGGTAGATAATTCTTGAAGTTCAGCTTTAGAAGTGTTCTCATGTTGAACCAAATTTCCCGCTTTAGTAACAAAGGAGCTCTCTAGATCATCAGAAACTAAACTTCCTGAATTAACAGGAACTTCTTCGGTACTAAAATGACTAGTAGTTTCAGTGACTAATAGATTCTCTGTGTGGACAAAAGATTTATTTGTTTTGGCAATAGAAGAATCATTGATCTTAGCAATAGAAGAATCATTGATCTTAGCATCAGAAGGAGCTGCTGATTCTGAAACAGAGTTCTTTTCTGAGGAGTTCAAAAAATTCTTAACTTCACCTGCTAGATCACTTTTTACTTTAGTTATAGATGAAATTTCCAGGTGAGTACCTAACAAACTTTCTGCCCCATCAGTTAATAAATATTTTGTTTCATTATCAGAAAGCACTTCTGCTTCAGTAGTCAAATCATTATCTTTGTTCTTAATTGGTGGTTCCTCTATTTCAACAGCACAAGAATTTTCTGTGTTGACAATAACAGTTCCTGTTGCGGCAATTGAGCTATTCACTTTTAAGCCAATTCTACTTGAATATTCATGTGACTCATCATTATTTCTGAATTTATTCGTTAACTCATCTTCTGTCTTTGTTTCAATAAGTTTGTCAGTTAAATTATCAACAGGTCTAGTAAGCTTTTGGGACTCGCCATGAATTTTATTTTCTAAAACCAAAGAATCCGGCAAACTTTTACTACCCTCGAACAAACTTTCAGTATCTAGTTCTGACTCTGATTGTGGTAAAGGCTCATTTGCAGATATGAATTCTTGATTAATTTTAGGTAAAGTCACCTGTTCCTCGGAGGTTTCCAAATCCTTTGCCACCAAAACTGGTTGAGTAATTTGCTCACCGATTCTTTGTTTATCTAGACCGTTACAATGCTCTGATTGCTGCTTCAAAGTTCCAGAATCCCCAGTATTCCCTCCAAGAATTTCATTTTTATTTTCATTTTTTGTAGTTGATTCGAGCTTTGGGTCATGATCAGAAGCTTCCTTTATTTGTTGAGAAATAACTGATTTTTGTGATTCTTCATATCTCTCGGAAATTATGTCATCACCCGCTGAACGTTTAAAAGTAGATTCCATGTTTCTTAGTTTATTCCGATTTTCTGGAAAACTTTGAGAGCTCTCGTTTGTAAGAGATACATTTTCTGAGAAAGGAATTTTATCTATTTCAATGATTTTAGATTCATCTTCTTCATTTGACACATCAGGTGGGTTAGTAGAAGAATCATGTTGACTGTTAAATTCTGTTGGCACTACTGCTGCTGTCATATCATCAAGCTCATTAAGTGATGATAAATTTGAAAGTTCAAAAGGCTCTCGCAGCTGGCCAAAAGCTTGATTTAAAGAAGGTTCTGGTTCAGCAGAGTTGAAATCTGAAAGCGGTATTTTCAAATCATTTTCAGATTTATTTGAATGTGATAAAAGAATATATTCTAAATCTTTACCTGGTGTGTCTTTAAGTGCTTTTGAAATAGTATTAGATGAGCTGGATGCTTTAATGGAAGGAGAACTTAATACAAATGACGATGACGCTGGTGTGCTACTGAGAGAAAATATCTCTTGCGAACGAGTTGTGGAAGACATGGTTGTTGGCGAAAGTGTAGTAGTTGCTTCGGATTCGTTAAGAATACCTGGAAGATCTGTTTGAGATGATCCTTGAATAGGAGAAAAGGTTTCGTTAAGCTCAAATTCATCGTTAGATACCGGTTCATTAGACGATCCTTCTGTAACATTAGTTTGTATTTTAATAGGAAATGAATTATCTAATTCTGGTGATTGTTGACGTGGAATGTGATTATTTGCGGGCCAGCTGTTATTATCGGGACTGAATGAGGGGATTTGCAATCCTTCAACAATGAGTTTGTTTGTTGGTTTTACTCCTTCGATGCTTCCTAGAGACCTGCGTGATTTCCCTGAAGATGCAGATGCGGCTCTGCTTGAATTGCTTTTGGCCCGTCGTCTTCCCGTAGATTTTCTAAGATAGTCATCAGGCGTAGAGAAAAGGCTATTATTGCTATTTTTCTGTAAAGCCAAATGTAATCTTGGGTAGTGTTTTTTGTGGGGAGACATTTGTGGACATAATCGCTCGTGTGGCGGGAGTACCGAGTCAATTTGTTGCAAGGACTCAAGAATATTTGCTATTGATTCCTGTGTTTTTCGAGCTGCTAAGGCCAAATTATTAACATGACGTAGATTATAAAGATCTGATTGTAAATGAGCAATTCTAGCTTGTGTAGCACCTAAAGTTGTTTGAGCTAGACGATCTACATCGGCCATTTGCTTTGTGATTCCTTGCTGAGCTTTTCTCATAGAATCAAGTTCCACGCTCAAATCAGACCGATAGTTATCGATGAGATCAACCAGCGACTCATGAAACGAGTTAGACTCATCAACTGCAGCAGAAGATATTATATTTGAAAAGAAAAAATCTTCAATATGAGGCATTTCAGTTGGCAGGTGCTGTAAATAAAAATAAAGTATTTTAAAGAGTTAGCAAACTAATTTGAAATGAAATGAGAAAATACAATATGACGCTTACAGAATCATCTCCAGCTCGGGCAGACGCTGATCTATCTTTTGAAGACCGCAAAGCCCCTGTATTGAGTCTCATAATTCAGGCATAAAAATGGTGTGTTGTATATGTGTAGATGTTGATGTATGTTTTTATTTATATTTTGGGTCGTGACTATTGTTTATGTTTGCGAGCAGAGTATTTATGTGAAGGTGATGACGGAGTTTTACAAAACTACTGGAGTTTGAGTTTGTTACATCCTTTTATATTACACTTTTAAAAGGAGTTGTGTTGCGAGCCTTGGGTCAAATGGGAAAGTTCTCACGCGATAAGAAATTACTTATCACTTTATACTTGTGCATTATTTATATATTCACAAGTTTTATTTATTAATTTACCTAATTTATTATGTAATTTATGTGGTGTCAAGTTCTCGGTATAATATGAATTTAGTAATAATTGTGATAAATGATAAAAGTGATTTATTGATTAATAAGTAATAGTCTATATATGATTAGTATCCCGGGACCATCAGCCTAGATCATTCCTCTTACCTTTGATCTTAAGAATACTTTGTTATCTCTTCAGTATCCTATTCTTGTGTAATGCTGATGGTTGTGGTGATGCTTCTAAGTTTGTGGTTATATTGCTACCTGGCCAATGTAACCCTAACCACTCAGGTTACGGGGCCCAGAAGCCCCCCGTGACATGTGGTTAAAAAATTTTTAAAAAAATTCCAGCCACTCTGCAATTTCGAATATCTAATCCATAACTAACATGTCCTCAGAGTATCATCAAGAAAAGAAAATGAAGACTACTAATTTGAAGATTGGAACTCATTCCGGTACTTTCCACGCAGATGAATCTTTGGCTGTGTTTATGCTTAAGCTTTTACCTAAGTTTTCTGGTGCTGAGGTTGTTCGATCGCGTACCCCAGAAATCCTCGACGAGTGCGATATTGTTGTGGATGTTTCCGGAAAATATGATGGTGAGAAGTACTTTGACCATCACCAGAGAGAATTCGAAGGTGTTTTTGGCGAAGGCTACAAAACCAAGCTTTCTTCTGCCGGTTTGGTCTACAAGCACTTTGGTCAGGACATATTGGCTTCTGTTTTAAAGGAAACTAAGGAGTCGGCTGTTGTTCAACAGTGCTTCCCCCGAATCTACAAAATTTTCATTGAGGCTATCGATGCCAACGATAATGGTATTTCTGTTTACAATCCTGCTGTTGTTAATGCCATTAACGAGGATGAAAATGTTCCATACAAGCTCACTGAGCGCTTCATTTCCAACACAATTACCCTTCCTGCTGTTGTTTCGAGGTGCAACCCCCGACCTGACGAATTTGAATCCTCCAGCTTAGACGAGAATGCTATTTATGACTCAAAGTTTCAGGTTGCTTCTGAAATTATGGGCAATGCTTTTCTGGGTATTGTGCTGTCCACTGGTAAAGACTGGTTCCCATCCAAGACCAAAGTTTCCCACTACTACAATACACGCGAAGACCCTAGAGTTTTGATTCTCGATACTTTTGTTGCCTGGAAATCTCACATTTTTGACATTGAGAAGGAACTTACCAGCCAGGGTAAGCTTAAGGATGAGGACAAGCTGCTGTATATTGTCTATCCTGGCAGTGATAGCTGGAGAGTTCAGGCTGTCCCCATGACTTCTTCTTCTTTTGTGTCCCGCAAACCTTTGCCAGAAGCTTGGAGGGGAGTCAGAGATGAGGCATTGTCCAAAGTTACTGGCATTGACGGCTGCGTCTTTGTACATGCTAGTGGATTTATTGGTGGCAATAAGACCAAAGAAGGAGCTGTTGCCATGGTTAAGAAGGCTCTGGAGCTTTAAGTGTACTTTTATTATTATGACTTTATTTACTGGTAATAATCTTGTGTATTAATTAAATGTAATTGATAAAAATATGGGTTTGCTCGTTTTCTCTAACTTTTTGCTCCCAATAAAAATAAATGAGCGGGGGAATGGGAGGGATGGAAACCAAGGTGTGCTGTGGGGAAAGTCACGACGGGCTATGGGAGTGAGTGGGGTTATAAGGTTATCGCAACGCGGAATTGGTGATTACGGGCTCGAGAGTATAAAAGACCAGCTTTGCCCCCCTTTTTTTTTACTTAATTTCTTTAACAATCTTTTTTGAAAACTCTCTTACTATATACATTACTTTTATACTTTCTAGGCTTTTTTTTTTTAATTCCGTTCCTTAAAACCACTTTACTATTATCCCGTTTTACTGCTCTGATGATTAGAAGATGTACCCCGCAGCTTAATGGTGCTGCAATTCGACTTTTTTCATCAACCGTCACAAACAAAAAATCTACTCGGCTACCATCGTTTGCTGAAATTAAAGCAATTCAGTTGGATAAGTACATTGATGAAATTAGTACGTGATATATAAAAGCAAGGTTTTTTGCATCGCATGCTAACCTGCTATGTTTGCTAACTCTATCTTTTTTCTTGCTTTTCTACAGAAAAAAACTCCACGTTGGCAAAGCTTCAAGAAGACGCCACTGACCTTAACCAAGGTAACATCAAAGTACCCCAATTGGTAAAGTCATTTCTTTACGGATCACCTGAGACAAAGAAAGAAGCTAAAGATTTGGAAACGTCTTTCTCTAAGACCTTGATGCGAGGGAAATATGTCCATGAGATTGTCACACATAAAGTTGTCCCAGGGAAAGCTTTGGAGTACCTTGATTTAATGTAAGTTTTCATTGTAAAACATATCTGCACATCAGCTAACCCTCTTTTAGATCAGAAGTTTATCCGCTTATTGCCGGTGATCCAGCTAATGAAGTAAATCTTGTTGGGTCTTGGAGAACACTAGTTGGAGATATGGATACATATATTCATATTTGGGAGTACAAGGGATACCCAGGCTTTCATCACACACAAAACAAGGTTCACGAAACTCCCAAGTACCTAGAGTACCTTAAAGAATTGCGCCCACTTCTTCGGTCCAGAGAGTCTGACTTGATGCAAGAGTTCAACTTTTGGGGTGGAACAGCTCAGCCCCACGAGTATGGAGGCATTTTTGAGCTGCGAACTTATGACTTGTACTCTGGTAAGCTTCTTGAATGGGAACAGCACTGGCGCAAGGGCCTTGAGTTTCGCAAACAGGTAATGGAACCTGTTGGTGCCTGGTTTACTCATCTCGGCAGATTGAACCGTGTTCACCATCTTTGGCAATTTGCTGATCTAGAACACCGCAAGATTAGTAGACAAAAGAGCTGGGAGATTCCAGGTTGGGCTGATACAGTATGTTGTTGCATTTGTGTTTTTCCCTTTGTGCTGAGGACTAACATTTTATCTAGGTTCACGAAACGGTTAAACTTATTGATAAGCAAAGATCTAACATTCTTGTTCCCCTTAAGTTCAGTCCTTTGAAGGTATGTTTTGGTGATCTTTTTGAATTTTTTTTTTACTTAAGAAAAGCTACTAACTTTTTCTTCTAGTAAACTATCTTATTCTAGAAATTATTAAAACCTTAGTTATCCTTTTATAAATTTTTATTTTGTCCGTTGTATGTTTAGAATAAAAGAACTTGACGATTTAAGAGCAAATTCCCCTGGGCGTATTGTAGCTCACCATTGGAAGGATCCCCCATGCAGATGACAAACGTAAGGCTGGCTGGGTGTTTTGAAATTGAAAAATAAAAACCTGCTTTTTTTTTCCTTTTCTCTCATGGATATTATTTTTAGAACCCTTTTAAACTTTTACTTATTTCATTATTTATTTACTTAACTTGAATGAAAATGAGCAGCTTAAAGAAACGTGGCGGAAAGCCCTTAAAAGAAGGGAAAGAAGATCCGACAACCGCTTCAAATGCAAAATCTATTGCCCAGATCTTTATATCTTCACCATGGCCAATGATTCTTGCGTTGATTTTTGGCGGCTGCTGCTCAAATGTGTTTACTTTAGAGGCCCTAGTTTCTGAGCAAAAGGATTCCGGGCATCTTCTCACAGCAACTCAGTTTTTGTTTGTAGCCATTGAAGGTTTGGTTCACTTTTTTGACCCTACACAACCAGCAAACCTGTTTTTGGCTCCACGTAAAGTTCCACTAGTCAAGTGGCTTTTGCCTGTGTCACTCTTCTTTACAGTCTCTCTGCTAAACAACTATGTTTGGGTTTACCACATTTCGGTTCCTGTTCACATCATCTTCAGATCTGGTGGAACCCTGACCACAATGGTTGCCGGTATGATTGTGGGCAAAAAGTATACACCTTATCAGATTCTTTCTGTAGTTGTTCTTACGGCTGGTGTCATTATCGCGACACTGGCAAGTAGTCCAGGGGGGGATAATAGCAAAGAAAAAGATACCACAGGTACTCCCTTACAGTTTGCGATTGGCGTCAGCATTCTGGCGGTTGCCGCCATTTGCAGCTCGATCCAAGGATTGATTGCCGAGAAGATTTACAAGCAGTACGGCAAACACTGGCGAGAAAGTTTATTTTACACTCATGCACTTGGACTACCCTTTTTCTTTTTCTTCCGCAAGGACATTATTCGACAACTGGGGCTGGTTCTGTCGTCGGAGCCAATGAATCTGCAGACACCCCTGGAGCGATATATCCCAGCGCTGGAATCGCTGAGTACGAGCGCACCAAAATTTTCTATGCTGCTGACTCCACCTCGCAGGCTGGTTCTTCTACTGGCAAACGCGTTCACACAGTATATTTGCGTGCGTGGTGTCAACAATCTTGCGGGGAACTCGACGGCTTTAACGGTCACTATTGTACTCAACGTGCGCAAGTTTGTTTCGCTGCTGTTGTCTATTTATCTTTTTGGAAACTCGCTCTCTATATTAACGATGCTTGGAACAGTACTTGTATTTGCAGGAGCAGGAATGTATTCCTATAGCAGCAGTATTTCAACGAAGTCAAAGACAGCTTAAAAAGAGAAATGGTTGAAAAAGGGAGCCTGTAACATAGCGGGACATTGTAACGTGCCATGTTGAGTAGTTTAGTCAGTACTATATATATTATAGTTGTATAGTAACTAACCGGTTATAAGAAGCGTACGTGGAATGTATGGCTTTCGTGTACACTTAAAAAAAAATTTTGGGTCTTAGTTTTTGATTTTTCTCCTATATTATATCATTGGTAAAAGGGGCATTCCGGACCATTATCAATCTCATACCACCTGTCTTGTATACACTTCTCTTTCCCCTTATTATATTTATATTATATAAATATTCTAAATTTTTTTGATCTTAAAAATTTGAGTTAAAAACTTTTTTTATAGCCTAACTAAGGAGCTTAATTTTTTTTGGGTGTGAAAAAAAACTTTCTGGTATCACCTTTGTTAGCAAACCCCCTTAAAAAGGTCTTCACAAGATAAGCAACAACAACTTCCGCCCCCAAAAAGAGGGAAAAAAACTACTCTTTCGAAATGATTTCGGTAATGGACATTTTTTCCTGGAAGTTTTTTGCCGGTCTTATCCTGGCATTATCTCCCATTATCAGTTATGGAGACACAGTCTGGACAATCTACCGGACCAAACAATGCGTGGGGTTTAGTTTGGATCTAACGGCCATCATGCTGATATCCTCTATTCTTCGCATTTTCTTTTACTTTGGCGAGCCCTACGAACTCAGTTTGCTCATGCAATCCATCATTATGATTGTCGTCCAAGCTTATTTGCTTCATCTGGCCCTCAAGTACCGGGTTTTATCTGGAGCCCCCAACGGGTCGGTTGACGAGGAGGACCCCCTTTCCGAAGAACCTGCTAGTACTCACACTCTTGGAGGGACACACAATCATAATAACCATCATCAGCAAGACTCTGGTAACAGCCCATCAACTTCAAAGGTCCCCAGCAACAAGGACAGTGGACCTTTATTAGACAGCGATCCAGGCGATATTGGTCTCTCTTCGCGACGAAAAAGTATATCAGACGTGGTGCACAATACACGACCCAGTAGAAGTGGTAGGGTTATCGATTCTATGGAGGAATCTCCGAGCCCGACTGATTGGGATCCGCATTCCAACTACCCCAAGAACCATGGCAGAATAAAGCAGCACGCGCACCTGTTTTTGGAATACCGCGTCAAATACCCACTTTACAAAATCTACTACAAAGTCAAAGACATTTTTATTTCGTTTTTTACAAACAAAAGCGGTGAAAATGCAGGGATTTTTGGAAGCGCTTATCCAACTTATGGCATGAGCACGCGTCCATTTGGGTTTTGGCAATGGATCGACCCCGAGGCCTATTGGGTTTGGCTAATTAAGTTCAACATACTTCTCACGGTTCTGCATTTTCTTATTGGAAGTTGGTCCATGTTTTATATCCAAACACTTGGTTTTGTGGGTCTTATGCTGGAAGCCATTCTCCCTCTGCCACAGCTCATTGTCAATGCTCAGCGACACTCAGTTCAGGGATTCAGATTATCTCTGCTTCTTAACTGGCTTGCCGGCGATGCATCTAAAATCTTTTACTATCTATACGGTACATCAGACCCAGAAAAACTTGCATTTCAGTTTATGATGTGTGTTGTGATTCAAACTATTCTCGATCTCATTGGTGGCTGGCAGTACGTTTACTACAACTATATTTTTAAAGCTCCCAAGTCTTCAACGTACCGCATGCCTCAAGCCTCTTCGTCCCGACCAACTTCCATTATTCTCAATGGTCCCAACCCTGTTTTACCAATCCCTCGTGATAGTATAGAGCTCGATGTAGTACCATTCCCCGACTACGCCCCTCGAAACACCTCACAGCAGCAAACTCCAAACACAAAGGGTAAGACTGCAGGTGAGCCTTTGCTATTATCTTCAGATGCATATGAGGCAACTGCAGTTTTGCCTATTCCGTTGATTGACAGCAACAGCATGAGTCCACATATGAGTGCCCACAGTGACAGCGATTTATTGCCGGAGCCGCATTTTGGACCCAGTGGGCACCATCATCATCGTCATCACTACACGTTTGATGCCGAAGATGAGAGTTCGCCGCTATCAGACCCAACAGTGACATCTGCAACAACATCAACACTTCATGTGTCTGATACCTCAAAGGATATTGACTCAATTACACTACTTGATGACATTGAAAGTGGCGATATTGCGAGTCTGTCGGCACAGGACTTATTGAATCGATCGCCTAAGGTTTACGTGCCTAACTCGTCAGGCACGCTTCTTGCAACTAAAACAAGACAGCGTGCACAAAGTATGTCTTCGCAACCTGACCCAGACTTGTACTACAGTTGAGGATTTTTTATTGCTCTTTTTCTGTTTTTACTTAGAGTTTGTATAATAGATTTTTTTTACAATAGAATGAATGAATATTAGAAATGTTGAATGTCTTTTTTTTTCAGTTTTCACATAAATGTTTAATTTAGATTTTTATCGTAAATACCTGTAGATTATCTAGATTATCTAAAGGTTTCTACGAAAAACCAGTGAGACTTTCTAGGATGAGTGAAGAGTACACAAGTAAGACATGTACCTGTTGCGGGACAGTGAAAACCACGCTATCATTGTGTGAGCATGTTTACCACTGTGATTTGTGCGGAATCTCCGTAGAAAAAGACGTCAACGGAGCCAAATCCTAATCAAGTGTCTGGCTTCCTCCACCTTAACACATTAAATACATTAAACATTGGAGTATGCTCATGATCCTTTAAAAAAATTAATGTCATTTTATGTCCTTCAGGGCACGAAACGGTACATTTTTTGTTGAATGATAACGATTCGTTTATACAAAATAAATTAATTATAATTATTATCTCAATAAATGTCCAAAGTATAAAAGAATAACTCAAATCGACGTTTGTTTGTGTGCACAGCACATAAACTTTTTTTTTAAAAAATAGTGTCAAAGGGTGAATCCACGTTTCGGCGAGACCGGAAACTGCGTTGCTGTTGAGGTTGTTGCCGAAACCCATCGTCAAACCCTCCAGTACCGGTAGTAGATCCAGCCCCGTGAAGTTTCTGGTGCTTGAAAGTAAACCCAATAAAAGCACGAGAAGGCAAAGGCACACCGCGATCAGAAAGCGACTCAACCTGAGATCGTTTTTCAAGAACTTCCTTGTATTTTGCCATATCCGTTTCATTGCTGAAATCGTCAAAGTACCCTGCATCCGTCTCATCATCGAGCTGCGGAATAAACGGCGGGGTCGACTGGCGAAGAGTTTCCCAGTGAACCTCTGCAAAATACGGGTGCACCTTGATTTCGTCAAATGACTGGAATCGGTAGCGTGGCGACGTGATGAGCCGTTGAATCAAGTCCCAAGTGCGGTCGCTAAACACAAACCGGCCATCTTCGTACTGCGGTCGGTGCAGAGAGCGTTTCCACTGTTGCAGATTAGCGTACGTCTCGTCTGGAGTACTTCCGGCAAAAGGCGGGTATCCGGCCAGAGTCTCAAAGAGCATGCACCCGAGTGACCAGTAGTCAATGGTGTAATCATATTTGCGACCCTGTAGCACCTCGAGTGCCATGTAATCAGGCGATCCGACAACCGAGTGAGCATAAGTAATGTCGCTTGCTCGCAGAGAGCGGTACATACGTTGGCGCTCACTTACCGAGCGGTAAGGAATTTCCATATCCTTAAGAGCATCAAGCTTGATACGCATACTTTCAACACGTTCCTTGGAGATGGCACCAGAAGCCAGACCAAAGTCTGTTAGCTTGATGTGGCCAGTGCTATCGATTAGAAAGTTTTCGGGCTTCAAATCACGGTGAATATAGCCGAGCTTGTGGAGAGCATCAAGAGCACAAAACATTTCTGAAATGTAAAAGCGGGTATGACGAGGGTTAAGAATACCAGTGTTATTGAGCAAGGTACGGTAATCACCGCCTGGAACAAACTCCATGGCAAGGTAAACATTCATGGAATCTTGGAAAGCGTACAAGAGCTTGACAAGCCAGGGAGATTTAGCAGCTGTGAGAATATCGCGTTCAGTTAAAATATGGCGAACCTCGTCGAGTTTTTGGAGAAGTTTTTTGTTGAGAACCTTGAGAGCACAAATCTCCTTGGTATCACTTTTTCGTGCAAGATACACCTGGCCGTAACCACCCTGGCCTACTTGCGTGAGGATCTTAAAGTCACCATATTTGAGCTTGACACGGCGCTTGCGCAACTGCACACGCTCGCGTCCAAGGTACGATGCCAACTGGCGGTTACGTTCAGCAGGATCCGGGATCTGAGCCAGGGACGCTTTTGCGCGGAGCAAGCGTTGTTGGCGGGCATGAACGTAAGTAAGCAGATCAAAGTAGTAATCAAAGAAGTAAAGTTGGGCAACGTCGACCAGTCGCTTGACCTTTGGGTCGTTAAGCTTCTCGTAGTCTTCCATTGACATTTCCTTGATTGGATTATTGTTAACAGCCAATACCTGCTGTTGCTGCGGTTGCTGAGGAGGAGTCCCAGCATATAGGTAGCTAGTTTCACCCCCTACTTGGCCAATAAACGGGTTGTTGTTGTTATTATTATTATTATTATTATTATTATTATTATTATTATTATTATTATTATTGTTATTATTCCCTACTGGCACGGACTCTCTCAAAGGACTCGAGCGGGTCGGCGAATTGGGTGCCGTGCCTCTTGTAGGGGAGCCCATGTTTAGGTCACGCACACCAGACACAATGCCTGCGGGATCCGAGTCCAAGTTGCTAAAGTTTGCGCTGACAGCTGCAGCTTGTGGGCTCATGTTGTTAGTGTTGTTGTTGGTGTGGGTTGGGCTTGAGTTGTTTGCGTAAAGAGGCAAGACAGGTCTGTTTGGCGAAGGTGGTGTTCCAAAGGTAATAGGAGCACCAGTAAAGGCACTGTTTGTTGGAGATGAAATGTTGCCACCGGAACGCAAGGACTGCAATGATTCGCCGTGGGTTGGTGACGACGAGACAGGTTGATCGAAGTTTCTAAGTGGCGAAGTTTGGAAGCCACCAAGACGAGTTGGTGAGTCTCCAGACATATTTGTCAAGATTAAAAAAATAAAAAATAAAAAATAAAAAAAAAATTGGTTTGAATAAGAATAAGTTTAGAAGAAAAGATAAAAAAAATAGATTATTTCAGAACTTATTTATAAAAAAAATCCACTTTTCGAATGGCTGCTGCTGCCTGTTGTTTGTTTGGTTGGATAAGTTTGTTTCGGGTTTGTTTACATGTTTACATTCTGCCCGATTTGGAAATCTCTAATGACACTGTTTGCGTGGGGCGTCGAAACTTTTTGTTTACAAAAAACACTTCAAAAGATCACCGGAATTTAACAAAATAAACAATTTATAATTGTGTATTTATGATGTAGATATTATAAAAAAATAAAAAATAAAATAAAATAAAATAAAATAAAATAAAATAAAATAAAATAAAATAAAATAAAATAAAATAAAATAAAATAAAATAAAATAAAATAAAATAAAATAAAATAAAAAATAAAATAAAAAAAAAATAAAATAAAATAAAATAAAATAAAATAAAATAAAATAAAATAAAATAAAATAAAATAAAATAAAATAAAATAAAATAAAATAAAATAAAATAAAATAAAATAAAATAAAATAAAATAAAATAAAATAAAATAAAATAAAATAAAATAAAATAAAATAAAATAAAATAAAATAAAATAAAATAAAATAGTAACCATAAAAATTTATAGATATTTAATATCCGGAAAATATATATATTTGAAAAAAGTGTTTCCCCTCATTGTCTTAAAATATAGTCTACTACTAACAGCGTTGTCGAACTGCAGGTGTGGACGTTGTAGTGGCTGCGGAAATGGCCACTGACTTGGATCCATTCAACTCCACATCCTCAATGCTAGTTGAGCTCGCATCACTCCGAGCACTTGCACTTTTACGCATGCTTTCCACATCATCGTCGTCATCGTCCTCCACCTCCGAAGAATACTCCTCCGGCGTACTATCCGAAGCCAAATGTGAGGCCGATTCATCATTCTCGTCAAGACACTCGACATTTCCCTTTATAGCATCGTCGCATAGCTGCTTTTTCTGATCTTTTTGCCCTAGCACACTCTCAGCACCTTGATTGATAGTGGTTTTGCATGGTAAATCTTTGTTTTGTGGCTGGTCTTGCTGCGCCTTTAAAAATGCTTCCTGGATTCGTGCATCCTTTTCATGTTGTTTCTGAACTGACGTCTCATCCCTGGTTCGAATATCCTTATACCGAAGACTCTTTGAGTTTTTGCTGGTCTCATCACGCTCAAGTTTGGGCAATGTCAGTAACACTTCCGGAGGATCATCCCATGTTCGCAGAGGTGTCAGTAAAGTGTATTTTTGCTCAATATCCTCACCCTTCTCCATGATTAAAAACTCGCAGTGGCCAAGGTTCCGAAATGCTTCAAACTTTTCATAACTCCACCGGAACCACTTCATTAAAAAGACTCGGCACCAAATCCCGTGCGACACCAGGACCAGGACCGAGGGGAACTTTTCTGTGTTGAACTGCCTAAACAACGTCTCATTGAAACCAGCGACCCGGTCATAAACGTCTGCCGCAGACTCACCATTGGGTATCCGGTAAAAGAAGTGACCATAATGGGCGCGCTCCTTCCAGACCTTGACCATTTCAGTACTTGGTCCCTGAAAGTTGCCAAAGTCTTGTTCCCGTAATCTTGGTTCTTCGTGTACTCTGTAGTTTATGTTGTGTTTCTTAACTGCTTCCAAAAGACCTTCGGTAGTTTGGATGGTCCGTTTGTAGGGAGAAGTGTAAAACAAAAGGTTATCATCTGGTTCTAGCAGATCCACCAAACGTTCGCCTGCATTAAGGGCTTGTTTATGGCCGAGATCTGTGAGAGGGATTCGGTGGTTTGGTGTATAAGTATTGACCGATTTGTCGCCTATGAGAAGAAAAAGTTAGTAATGTGATCAGAGGCACAAAGTCCATAGAGTTTAATTAAAATAAAGAGAAGAAAAAAAATAGAGCCACTTTCAATTGTTCGCCACCAAAAAGAAAGCAGATGTAGGAAAACTTTTATATGAAATCACCAAACAGTAGTCAAATGATATATTGTCAGGTATAATCAGTGGGTCAAACGACAAAGGAATAGAGGAACTGGAGAGTGGGGAGTGGAGGGATTTTTTTAGTTTTTTTTCAGGTATTTTTGGTGGTATTATTATGGGGTAGGTCATTTTATGGAGAATGTAGAATATAAAGCTAAAAAACCTTTTTTTTTTTTTTTTTTGAAATTTAAAAAAAGAAAGAACCGCACATGAATCTCTTATATTGATTAAAAATGATAAAATGAAATCTAGAAGCCAGAACGGTTGAGCGGGTGGGGAAATCTTTTACTTTAATAATAACACAATTTGGTAGTTTGATCAACCCGGAAAGAGAAATAAAAAATAAATCAAGAAATCAAGAAATCAAGAAATCAAGAAATCAAGAAATCGAGAAATGAATGAATGAATGAAATAAAATTAAATTTACTCTATCGCAGACTTTTGCACTTTAAAAATTGGTATAAAAAATTCAATTGCTGACGCTGCTGTAGAAAAAAAAAATATTAAAAAAATTGAGACCCTAAGAAGGAAGAAACAAGAGAAGTTATGGAGAGAATCTTGAGCGCTAAGGAAATGAAGGATGGGATTTGAAAAGAAAAGAAATAGGGCACATTACTTACAGTTTCCTTCAGATTCACCGTGACGAACAAGAATGATGAGCTGGATAGAAAGAGGTGTTAGTTTTGATATTGGTTAAGATATAACAAAAGGACCCTTATTGATCTGTGAGAAAAAAATCAATAACATAATGGTTTGATAAGTCGATGTCTTTGAAATCAAATGATTAGGTATTCTGAAATTAAAAATTGAGATAAAAACGTACTCTAGGTCTGCCCATTTTTTAGCAAAAGATTGGAGTCGGTTGAAGATAGTGCTATTGCTGGTTGATTGATTGATTGATTGATTGATTGATTGATTGATTGATTGATTGATTGATTGATTGATTGATTGATTGATTGATTGATTGATTGATTGATTGATTGATCGATTGATATCAGCGGTAGTTAAATGGCGTGAGTTGCTGATTAAGATGTAGTAATGGATGAGAATTACTGGTAAGAATGAGAATAGATGAAGGAAAAAAAGATTTTTGTGAGATAATGTTTGTTTATATATATATAAATAATATATCTATATATGAAATATAAAAATTGGATTTCAAAAAATTGGTCATAAAAAAAAAGAAGGGAAAGATAAAAGAAAAAAAACCCACCGAGAATTTTTTTTTTTTTTTTGAGCCATAGAAAATCATCAATAAGGTTGCTTACTCAGCTGCATGTGTGGAGAGGCAGCCTTTCTTTGGTGCACGCCTCCTTTTAGAGAACTAGGGAAATTTCTAAATAACAATATTCAGTTATAACCAATTAATAATAGTAAACCTCTTTATTCATAAAAATTGTTAATTTAAAATTAAAATCATGATTGTATTCTAAAATTGTTTGATTAAAAAAATTATATCACAAACAATCAAAAAAAAAAATCTATAGCAGAAGAAAGCGGTTGTTCAACAGAACTCATCAATCAAACCCCATCATCTAAAACCTCCACCTAAATTGAGATTCCATAGCATGTGCCGGTCGACCGGGACAATCAAGACTTGCGGCTGTCCTTAAAAAGGTAATGTCGTCATTTTAATAGTCGGTTATTCTAATGCCTGCTTTCAACTTGCCCTAGGGGAGTTCCCTCATTTCAATCTTTTGAAAATGCAATGTCTTCTCCTCTTTTTTATCCCCGAGGATTAGTGTTTAATAATGATAATAACAATAATAACAATAATAAAGGTCTCCCTTTCAAATCCCCCCACACGCTATTCTCATCACCCACCTTGTTTTGTGTACGCGGCCAACTAACTCCTCAAAAGCCGCCGTTTGGATTTCAAACATCCTCGTTTAGATTCGTTTATATAATGTATATACTCCTCAGATCTAACGCACAGACCGAATCGACATGGTGTCGTCCACTATCGCCAACAAAACACAAACGTCCTTGTACGTCCGCGGGAAATAAATCTTACTATCCTCCACACTATAAATGTCCAGCACAAGCCGCTCCAACTCAGAGAAATCAGCCGCAAACTTCTGACTTGCCCGCATCGTGATGTTCTGGGCAAGGCGTGGAGATGCCAACCGAAACAAGAATGATAGAGACTCCATCGTCGCAGAGGGAAGAAAATTATCCAGTCCAAATGATAACTCAGCAAGCTTCTCCTTGCTCAATGGTCCATCCTGCATAGCAACCTTAAGCTCTGCAATCCTTGAAATCAGTTGTTTACTATCCTCTTCGTTCTTCTCCTGCTGTTGTTTAAGGCGGGTTGTAGTCAGTTCATAATATTCATGGACCTTGGACATCAACGGTTGTAATCCAGACTCCTCCAAAAACTTTCTATGTTGTCGCTCAACAAGCACATCTGAAATCTCTTCAATACGTCCATCCAGTTGCTTAATCTTCACCAAACAAATTGTATCATAAAACTGCAGCACCATCTTCACGGCATCCAAACAATTAATTGTAAACAACTCTGATTCATTGTCCGGCAAGTCGCTTGCAATCCGGTTGCAGCATTCCAGAAACGGCTCTGTCATGTCTTGAATGATCTTTTGAATGTTTCCAGGGTCCACAATATTGTTTTCTTCTTCTTCCTGGCCCTCTTTACCATTCGTTTTATCTCCAGAAATAACAATCACGCCGGTACCCGTCACCATACTAGCCTCATATGCTTGCAACACCTCCTTTAAACTCCCCATAGCTTCACTCAAAAACTCAGGAGACTGCAGGTCCGGTGACCCAACAAGCAACCGGTCCTTAATGTCATCAATAACCTCCTCCAGACACTTGGAAAACTGTCTCCAGCCATGTTGCACAAGCCCCTCCAAGGCTCTCATAATCTCGGGTGTATTGCAACTTGTTGTTGCAGTCATAGGGTCGCTATTGTTTTTTGCAAAAAATGCCTTGTTGTACATAGTTTCGTAAAACCGTAGCTTATCAATCAACTTGTACACAAGAGGTATCCGTGTTTCTGACGCAATCACACTCTCAACACGAGTTTTAAGAGGTTTGATCATCGAACTAGTAATCTTATCCAAAAGCTGGTTTACTGTTTCCTCTGGGTCAATCAGACCTTCTAGTGCTATTGCCTCCAAGTCCGGGTCCGTGTCCTGAAGCTTTTCATGCTGTTTGTGGTATTGGTAGCTATATTCAAAAAGTGACGTCAAAGTTTCCCGTTCATTCACAATCTCCGCATGAACATACGCAAGCATGTCGCCCAAATATCGCAGAGAGTCATAAGCATAAAAGTCAATCGCCTTTTCTACCCGCGTGTCCGTTGTTAGTGCGTCCACAAACTTGGTCGAAAGAGCTTTGTTACGTGATTCAGCAAGCGACTGCAGCGCAGACTGAAACAAGTTTGGACGTTCGCTCAGAACAGCAAGAGACTGTGAAAGTTGTTTCCGCATCGTCATTTCGTCCTTGTACAATCCATAGTACTTGGACCCGGAAACTGCAACCTTGAGGTCCCGCTGAACAGTGAAAAATAGCCGGTCATAAGCCTTGTCCAGGTACTGCGTCATTTTCTGCATGATGTCCAAACCCATTTGCTCATCATCCTCAGTACTCAAAAGAGCCTGGCAATCAGAGTGTGTTTTTCTTACCCGCTGCAGTGCGCTGAAAAAGTCATCATTGATGGGGTGGCTCGATTGTGTCAAGATTTGGATTTCCGGCTCAGAAACAACAAACTTGGCCTTGAACGCATCAAGCAATACTTGCTTAACCTTAATAGAATCCCTTTGGTCAATTAACTTTTTTGCCTCTGTTAGTAGGACGTCAGTTGTACTGTTTGCTACTGTTGTTTTTGTCTGCATGTCATTAAACGACTGTGTTAGCTGCGTGATGGTCGACCCAATTGTTTCTAGCTTGTTAATCAGCTTTGAGTAGTCTTTCAAAGCAAGGCCATTGGCCGCTATGATTTCCGCTTCCGTATTGTATCGTAGGTGTCGTCTGGCATACCCAGTGTTTTCACGTACTCGGCTGTCTAGAGACGTGATTGCCTGGCGTACAGAGGGGTCCGTGTACGAGGTCGACAGAATGGACGCAATTTTTTGTGAAAACGCATTATCAGGGCGGGCCAATGGAGTCGACTCAGGAGTAATCGATAAGGACGCTGTCGTATTCGTCAGGTCGTCAGTTCCTGAGATGAACGAAGCGTCGAGAGATGCCATTTGGGTGGATGCGTTAAATGGTAGTTATGTTTATTTTTTGTTAAGAAGTATTGTGATGATGACCTGGCTGAAATATTTCTAATAGCCTTCCAATTCAGTCCTCCCAAAATACATGGTGGCCCATTATGTAATCCTCTAAGTACTAACCATTTACAAAAGAACAGTGTGTGAAGACTTTCCCCACAAACCCATCATTTTCGATAAGGCAAAAAAAAAAAAATTCACAACAAGTTTATTAAAAGCAAGCTCATGCATGATTTTGATTCTAATAAATGCTTTATGGGTTTGATAACTGTGGAAAAAAAAAAACAGAAGAATCATTATATATATATATATATATTAACTTCGGACACTTTAACTAAATGCTTGAAAAAGTGTGATTATAATCACACTTTTATCACACACCTAATTAGGTGTGATACCAGCGTGCATTAGCCGTAAAGAATCACCAACTTTAAAAACATTTTTTCAAAAAAAAAAATTTTTTAGCCACCATTGAAGTTTTTAATCGGTCATTAAATGAAAAATTCTCTTTTCTTTCTTTATATTTTTAACTGGGGAAATATATTCCTTTTCTGTGTAACAAATGTATTACAATGGGCTTTGGCCTTCTTGTCGACCATCCACAATGAGAAAACGTGCACGTTCCTCCGAGTCCAGAAAGGCAAAGTCATCGCGTGGCAAGCTTCCGAGATGTAAACAAAAAGGGATAGACTGTGGCAAGAAAAAAAAAGATGAAATGAAAAATAAAGATTATTGGAATCAAATGGGAAGAAGAACTTTTATAATCATATTATATGTAAAAGATATATATAACTCATTATTAAAACAACAAAAACGAACCAAGAGAAGGGAATATGGGTTGATGATAAGAACATAAAGAACAAGAAAAAAAAAACTATGAACAGGCAATTTTTTTTAAAGAAAAAAATCATTTATAGAATACCCCAAGCATCTTCACAGCCATGACAGAACTTGCTACAGGCCACAGAAGCAGAGAGAGAGTAATTGGAAACACCAATTTTCTCATCCACATACTCATCTGCAAAAGTGTCCTTACCGCGAGCCATGGCACCCACAAAGACACATAAGCTCTCATCATCATCCAGGGTAGAGACGTAGTCTTGGACACGCTTGACAGGGGCGTCGAAACTTAGAGTAACTTTTCTGCATTTTGTGGGGAGATGGTCGGTGATGGGATTCTTGATGACCTTGAGAAGACGTTCTTCCGAATCCACAGATCGGATGGACAGCTTGTGGAGCAGCTGAACCATCAAACCGCTGAATCGCTTAAAGGTACGTGGAATACGGACTGTAGGATTGATTTCAATGAGAACACCACGGGTAGTCTGAATATAAACCTGAAGTTTACCGGCCTTGTTAATGGGCGAATCTAGCAGTGTAAGTAGGCACTGGTGCGTAATATCTGGGCGTGCATCCGCAATGTCGCGCTTTTGTTTCTTAAGAATCACCTGGTGGTCATCGCAGTTGAGCAGAGCATACCGGTCACCGCCTGAGGTCGAGATCTTAATCGATTCAATGCATGCGTTAGAAAGCACAACAATCAGGCGCTGAGTTGCCTTGTCTTTGGAAGAAAGTGCGGGAGGAGCTTGTGGGACATGGTTGATGTTTTCAGACTTGACCTTGCCAATGTACGAGTTGCGTTCCTTGGAATCGGACGAGTTTGAATAGTGGGAGGGCTTAAAGGGAACAGGATCCTTGGAAACCATTTTAAAGGGTATATATGTATTTATAAAAGAACTAAGGATTCTTGAAAATATAAAAATGTCCAAAAATATGAAAAAGACTTGTGATAAAAAATTAAATGGATAAGGGAAAAATTTTTGATCTCGAAGATTTAGAGAAAAAAAAAATCCAAAATTAGTCATGTGAATTTAACGTGACCATAAGTTGTAATGTCACAAAAGCGGAGAAGCCGCAGGGGGAAATTTTCACATTCATTTTTTTTTATTTTTTTTATTTTTTTTTGAGAATTCTTTCGAAACCCTCCAGTCCTAGTGTGATCACCACCCGTGTACAAAAAGTCTGCTGCTGCTGCTGCTGCTGCTCATCTGTTATCGCAGGTTTTTTTAAGTGGTAGTTTTTGTTTATATATTTATTATTATTTATATAAATAAAACCATCATTTATAAACACTTCTTTTCTTCTTAAAATTTTTATTTTTATTTTTTTTGTTTTTATATTGATACTCACTTCTAACCCTCTTATTCTATAATTATTCATAACCTGTTTTCCTAATCCAATCTCTGACTCTGTTTCATGGCTTTTGACTATTCTCATCAAAACATCCCAATGGACCGCATTGTCAAACCTTCCTCAGACTCATCTGACATTCAGCTGGCTGCTGAGGCCCTCCAGAGCTTGAGATCTTCATCTTCATCTTCATCTTCATCTTCATCTTCATCTTCATCTTCATCTTCATCTTCATCTTCATCTTCATCTTCATCTTCATCTTCTTGTAATGGACCTTCACATCTTTCTTCAACCTCTGCTCAAGACTCCTTTAACCACAAACAATCCACAAGCAAGTCTGTTGCAACACCTTACAATAACAATAACAACAACCATACAAATCATCATTCCTCGATAATTATGGCAAACAGACACTCTCCATACCATTCAAGATCATCTTCGGTATCTTCATCAACCTCTTTTGCTCCATCAAACCTTGCAAATGTTCCAGTTCTTCCACCGACCTCGTCCTCATCTGCATACAACTCCCCTGCTGCGTCCCCTCCAGTGCTCTCTTCAGCCCTAGCCTCCCCCACTATTGGCTCTCCAGATATGCTCCCCCAACAACAGTCCTCCTCTACTTCTACCTCATCCCAAGTGAAACTCCCCAGTATTGACTCTGCCGTCTTTCTTTCAACTCCATCTGACCCCTCAACTAAAGTAAACTTGTCTTCCACAACCCCGAAACCCAAATCCGCAAACAAACGTAAACTCACACCAGGCTTTTTAAACCCACTGGTATCCTCGGCCGCAAAAATCTACGAGCAAAGCAAGTCCTATTCCCCACGATTCCGTTACTCGGCAGAAAAACTTGAATCAGTCATCTCTTCTCGCATGAATACAAACTCACCCAAACCAACCCTCCCACCGCTGAGGGCCTCCGACAAGACTCTTCCGCCTCTCAATAGTTCATATGATCAGGAACAAAATAGAGAGAAACCACCTGTCAAGAAAAAACAGCGTTCCACATGGCAAGGAATGCTGGTTACGGCCTCTTCTATCGCCACATCTCTATCATCTGACAACAAACAACGTTTGAGATACTGCCTGCATTTACTGAAACTCGCAAACACTCACATCGCCACCAAGGTTAACCAGCTCCAGGAAATCCTACAAGAGGAACGCGCTGCCGCTTTGGCCCAGTCTATTGCTGCAAACCATGTCCCTACAACCCCTGGTTCAACAGGCCCTGCCCCCAACAATAGCACCAAAACAGCACGAAACGCTTTTCTCACTCAAAAAGTCAACTCCATAAAACGAGACATTGTTTGGACTATCCGCAAGGTTGTTTCTGCGCTATCAACATACGCAGGAAACTCTCTCCCCGAGCCTGCTCGTACTCATGTCCGCAACTACATTTTGCGGCTTCCTGCTCGATGGGCATCGTCACTCTCGGCCTCTAACCCCGTTTCAGGGACTTCAACCCGGTGCTCAACGCCTGGAACAACTGGAACAGGCTCAAATACACCTACTATAGAGTCTATGCTTTCACCAGCTCACACAAATTCCACAACAGTGTCTCTAGAATCTAAGAATCGACAACAGTCACTCTCAAGCTCTCGCACAGTTAGTGGATCTTTCTCACCCAAAGACGATTCTGATTCCCCTCTTCTTCAAGGTGGTGTACCTTCATCTACGAACAACAATAATATTAACAACGACGGTGACTTGACTCCTTCAACTTCTGTTGCTTCTTCTGAGTCCAACACTTGTAGTTCTACAACGCTCAATCATGAGGAGCGACAACGGATCCACACGGATGCAGAAATTGGAAACCGTGTGTTGTCATTAGCCACTGAAGCCCTTGAAATGTTGGGCTCTATTATTGCAATTGTAGACGAGACCCTTGAGCGTGCTGAGATTTGGTGTGACCGGTTTGGTCGTGTTGGTCTTGCTTCGGGTCAAAATCAGAGCCAGCGGCAACAACAGCAAGAAACAGAGCACCAGAGCATACGGGAAAATGCAGATGAAGGTTCTGTTAATAAATCTGTGGTACAAGGTTCCGGATTGTCTACGTCTATTGGGGATAGTGACTCAGCCGCAAATGGACTAAAGCAGCGGATAGTGGTTGGATCTGGGGAAGGTTTCAAGCATGAAGATGTAGAAATGAGCGATAGATGATGATGTTTCTGTTATATATACGATAGGCCCGGGGCCATACTTTTTCTTTAAAAAGGTTAAATCTTAATTCAAATGTACTTTTCAGTTTCGTCGTGGGGTTTTTTGGGGAATAATTGCATAATTTTATTGAACAACGCAAATGTATGAATATGGGATTTTAATTCCATGATAGTCTAACAAAATAAAAAAACAGCATTCATGTGAAAATCCTTTGCAAATCTTAAAAAAATTTCTTATGGCTTGCTTTTTTTTCTCCAACAATTAAACCTTCAAACAAATATTAGATCAAAAGAGTGGGGTTTCTTCCATGAACGATATGAAAAAAAAAATGGTACACATTAACATGTAATAACTATAAAAATTACTCAAAATAAAGTGCTCCTAGGAAGTTTTTAGCGATGCAAGTATCTCAGTATCAAAAAAAAAAAAAAAAAAAAAAAAAAATTAACAAAAAATTAAAAAGCTGGGGAATAAAAGGATGATGCTTTTACTCAAGACAAATTTGATAAATAAGGTCTTGTACACCTAGAGATGCTTTTGCGATCCAATGTTGGTCCTTAAAAGAAAAAAAATGTTCATTGGAGGGAAAATAAACTAATTGCTATTTTTTTTATATCTTACCTGACCAGACCCTTAATGACTAGTTTTTTTTTTTTTTGGTTGTTTGGAATTTAATTTAATTCTTAGAATTTATTTTGCATATTTATTGAAATTTGGCACTAAACAGAAGCCCAAATGGGCTTTCCATTTATATATGTCAACTTAAGCAACTACGCAGAGCGGAATGTTAATAACAGTAGCTTTAACCACATTTGTTGATGCGGGCTCTTGAACTGCTTCTTGATTGCTTTTCTGCTCAGCTTCTGTTTGCTGCTGCTGAGGCTTTTGTTTAATCATTTCAACCTTGAGGGTGAACGGGTTCCACCAAAACAAAGGCAAAAAAACCACATTAGTTTCTTTTATCGGCCCGAAACTTTGTAGCTCTTGCTGTTCACCATCACTTTCTGCCTTTTCTTGTACCTGGTTGCCTGAAAACACACCGTATAGTGCGGGGTTAACGATCAGTAATGTCACGCTGTTGGTAAGCTTAATGGGGATAAATGGATTGATACTTTGTGACAACATTGTTGGGGGTGAAAGTTTGATGAGAAAATAATGATTGGAGATGAAAAATATTGAAATTCAATGGGATTATTCAGTATATATATATATATATATATATCTCCTTTTGAACAAGTCTATTATTTACAGTTTTATATGATTTATTGGCATCTTCAGATTATCCATTCATAACCATAATCCTTCATGATAAATTCTCATGAGGATCCCCTGGTCCTTTTTGTAGCATCCATTCTGAAGCCCTAATTAGGACATAACAAGGCTGTATCAAGAAAAAAAAATTTCGTACTCTTTTTGTAAAGCATGTCGCCAGTCACAAGCCAAAAGTTTACTAAAAGTTTGTGAAAATCCTCAAAATATCTTCATCCCTACTAAATTCTGTTGGGGATATTTGGCACTATTGGCACTTAAACGTTTGAACCATATGCCCTGCACAAATTTGTTTTAGGTGCACCCGTGATATTTTTTTTTTTAAAGTGAAAAAACATAAAAACAATAAATTTATATAAAAGCAAAAAAAAAAAAAAGTACCATTTCATCCACATTTAAACACCGTTATAATGAGTGTTATCAGCTTAAACATTGAAGTAAGAGATAATAAATAATCTTGTCAAGGGACTTAATCAGTAGATTTTCATGTTTATTTTAAAAAGAAAGTACAAACAAACCAACAATAAAAAAATATGCCTAGAGCCGGATTTGAACCGACGATCTCGTCATTACTAGTGACGCGCCTTACCAACTTGGCCATCCAGGCACGTGATTTAAAAATGTAACCCATAGAAACTATTCAATTTAAAATAATTAAAAGTCACGCAATTATTGACTGTTTTAAGGATAAGGATCGGGCTGTTGGAGATGTAATGTTGAAGCCAAAATTAAAAGTTTATTATGAAAATGAAAAGATATATAGTATGGACAAAAAGGATAGCGCAGATGCTGATGTTATATAATTCTATAACCCTTGAATAAAAACAAACAAACAATAAGGATAAGGATAAGGATAACCCTTGAATAAAAACAAACAAACAAACAAATAAGGATAAGGATAGCATAAATGCTAATGTTTTATAATTTTATAACCATTGAATAAAAATAAATAAGCAATAAGGATGGTAATAACGCAAAAAAATGCAGAGAATTGATAATGGAAAATAAAATAAAAAGGCAAAAGCATTATGCCTTTTGTACTAAAGCAACAACAAAATCAGACTATTAAAATTTTGAAACAAACAAGTAATGGAGGAATTAGGAGTAAAGTAAGAACGATCAATAGTATCATAATATAACAACGAAGTCGAAGTGTATTAACATTTAAAAATATGAAGAATGATTGTCAAAGTATGATGAGCACCACTACCCAGTTTCACACTGATCATGTAAACGGGTGTATGGGTTCAAAAGGTTCAGTATTAAAAAACATAGTTACAACTGCAAGTATGGCAAGCTGGAAATCGTAAGGCACTTTTTGCTTGAGTGTATCATGCTAGAAAATAAATGAAAAATATTGAAAAGAATATCTCTATAATTGACACTTTGACTCTTTCAAACAGTTTAACTGGCTTGCAAGATATTGTAGGTTTTTCCTTTACTTGGATGGGGAAAGAAATAAAATTAAAGCCTTGATCGTGGCGAGTGGAAATTAATTGGGTACATTTTGATTTTTAATACTCTGTTTTTCAATTTCAGGCTATTGGAGATACAATGTTGAAACCAAATTAAAATATAGTTAAAACATAAATTTATTATAGTAGGAGCAAAAATTATAACGTTGATGGAAGTGATATATATTTATATAACCTTTGAAAAAAAAAAAAAAAAAAAAAAAAAAAAAAACCGATTCTATCTCTCATAAGTTATGGTATATCCGATTAATCAAGTCTCATTAGACTGTTCAAAAGTTCTTCTAAGAGTTAAATCTTGATAGTAATTAGTCCTCATCATCTTTATATTTTTGAAATACAGGAAATTGTTTTATTCTAAGATTTTTAAAAACCCAATATGCTTAAAACTGATAGACCATTTTTGTGTTTTAGCTCTTTTCTTTTCTCTGATTAATAAATATTCTAAAATTTTTCATTTAAATGATCTTTCAACAAGTCTTCGTAGTACCACATATCAACAGCGTAAAGATTTGGTGGTCTCAAGTTAACTTTATTGATATTATTCCAAAAACAAAATTAAAAGTTATATCATAGAAAAAAACTAACATCAATTTTTTCAAAGTTGGGAAATTCAAGAACTGGATTTTTTTTTTCTTTTTCTCAATAAATATTCTTAAACCCTTTTAATGTGGTTTGATTTGAAAAATCGTGGGAATTATATCTCTCTCTAATAAAACTCAGTCAGTAACATATTTTCTTCAACAAATAATTCGTTTTCAGAGCACTCATTTTTAAGTAGCAAATATGAAATGTAAAAATCAAGAAGTATTTTGTTTCAGGGAGAATTTTACGGTTGCTGGATAATGTAATGTTATTTCTAATCCATTGTTTTTATATGGCTCTTCTGAATACTTTCCAAAATAAAGATCTAATGGATGCTATATTGGTTATTTAAGACAAATGCTTAGATGAGAATCAAGATAACCAACGTAGGTATTATAAAAAGGTATTTCTTCGTAACAAAAGATGTGTTTAATTGAATACACCATAGCTTTTCAAATATCTTTTCTAGACTAATAGTAAATATAATTATTCAGCCCAGTTTTCTTCTCAACATCATTTGTTTTTTAAATAAAATTTGCTGGCCTCTAACTAAATGTGAAACCCAGCTTTTTTATGACGCAAGTATTTAATAGGGTTCCATCTACTACCAGAATTGTAGTAACTTAATCGAATTGTTAGTGTTGTCAAAATTGATTATCATAAATATGGTACCATTGTATTGAATTTCGATTGTGCTATAACACAGAAAGCTAATTGAAAGAATTTTTTTTTTTTTTTTGATTCAGCCAGCCAGCCAGCTAACTATTGTGCTTTTTTTAAAAAAGGAAAAAAACGATACATATCTTATATAGCTAGTTCTATGTTAAGATATTACAATTCGCTCAAAACTGTGAGAGATTCATGTTTAGTAGCAGCTAAATAGCGAACTTTGTTTCGAGAGATTTGTGCAATACAATGCAAACCATCCAATAAATTATGCAGTCTTAATTCACAGTGTATATATTTGGAAAATAGTCCGAAGTGTAAAGTGAGTCGAAGTTGACAAATTTCATAATAAATTGGGTTAGGGATTTATTGTATTAGTCAAAGATTACAATTATTTTTTAATTTTTAAACCCTTATGCCTAAAAATGGTCCCAAATTGCAGAAACGCAAAAGTAAACAAGAATAAAAACTAAACAATAAAAACACACTCTTCCAATCACCAAACAATACCTACCACATATACTCCGAAGGATATCATATAATGTCGACAACGCAGCGTAATCGGGCATCAGAAGAGCGGAAGAAGGAGCGGACGCGAGAGTTTTCTCGTGTCATGTACCGAAAGATTCAGACAGAGCTTGAAATGTTAGATCCTCGAGCGCGTAAGGGCCAGGAATACGATACTATCAAAGAGCTGCGTAGTAAAATCGGAGACATTGACGAAGTCTACACTAATGTTGACAGGACAAATGAGGCCGTTTTGGATATGGAGACACTGCAGTTGACTTCAAAGCTGACAGCAGAAACTGCACGAAATTTAGAACTTGGTTCATCGGCGGCTTTTAACATTCATGATTTTATTAGTGGTGTTCGCAAGTATCTTGTTAGCGCCTCTGACGATGGAAGAATTCGAAGCTCGGATCCAGACTCTCAAGATGTTTCATTAACGGCTGGTATAAAAATTTTGGGGATCGAAAATACTAAATGGTGTGCTCGACCACCGTCTGGTAGTTTTATGATTGGACCTATGGATGTGGAATACCACTTAAGAAAACAGAGACAATATACCAAGCGGGAAAGACAAGTGACAGGACCTGCGTCCAAGGTCGGAACTATCGAAATGTCTGATGTCAAAAAGGACAATAATAAGATGACACACTTGATTCACGAAATTTACGAATTGTTAGTTCAGCAAGATGCTACTCAGGATAGCCCTTTAGGTTTGATTGAATTTTCTTTCAACCCTTTATCCTTTTCACAAACTGTGGAGAATTTATTTTACATTTCTTTCCTGGTACGAGACGGAAAAGCCGGAATTATGCTGGATGAAGAAGATGTTCCATCTATTTATTACATCAAACTTCCTGACGATCCAGAAGAGCGACAGAAAGTGCTTAACGAAGTAAAGACATTACCTACTAATCAAATGATTTTTGATCTTGATATGGAAACCTACGAAGGGCTGCTAGAAGAGTTTGACTTACAGGGAACTACACCGGTAATCCGACACCGTGAACCGATAGCTTCAGCTGCGGCACCAACTAGTGGGCAATGGTATGGCTAAAAATATGCAATTGGATGGGGCTTTTTTTTGTGAATATTAAAAATTCACTATTCTATCATTTAATATGTACATGGGGTATTGTATTTTTTTATTAGTTTTTGTTTTCTTGTTCAGAACGGGGCACCCAGCCATCAATATCCAAGACTTCTTCAATAGGCCATTTTGCCGTAGGCAGAGCTGAAAGATCTGTTTGCAACCGTGCCGTTTCCCAAAGCTCGATTCCGGCCCAGCCAATCATGAGTGCATTATCAGTGCACCACTTTGGTGGTGGGAAATGATATTTAATTGAATTTGGAGGAAACTTATCTTGTAGTTTAGTTACCAAAAGTGATCTTAGCGTCATATTGGACGCTACACCACCTGCACACACAAAGTCCAAGGGACGTCCAGTTCCAGTTTGAATAAGGCCAGTTTCAAACGCGTTTTCTAGGGCTTTTTTTGATTTTGTAACCACATGAGTAAATATAGCGTTTTGCATTCTACGCGCGAGTTCACGACGTGCTTCTAATGGTAAGTCGGATGCTCGAGCAGTTCCTGGGAAGAACTTTTCCAGAAAAGTTCGTAAACTTGTAATAAACCCTGCAAACGAGTATGCCAGTATGCCAGTCCGGCCCTGTTTATTTTGAAGAGGGTTGGGGAACTGTAAAGCTTTTGGGACTGAAAGGGCTGTTGTTTTAGGATCAGGGTCCGCAGCAATAAATGCCTCCATTTCGCGTGCAATCATGGATCCGGTGATTCCGAGTTCGCGTGCACATTTGTCAAGCATGTCACCAATAGCAATATCAAGGGTATTGGCAAGAACCTTGTGTTGGGTAGTAGATGTAGAAAGCACAAGCATGGTATGGCCGCCAGAAACTAGCAATGAGACAAATGGGTATTGAGGGATGTCTTGATTTTGGAAAAACCGTGGTGTAAGAAGATGGCCGAGCATATGGTGGACACCGACAAAAGGAATGTCCCACGCAACAGCAAGACCTTTCCCCAAATTGTATCCAGCAGAAAGCGATCCAATCATTCCTGGACCACGCGTCACACAGAGTAAATCAGGTTTTGAAATATTATGCCGGATCATAAGGTCACGCACCATGGGTGCAAGTACAGCTTGATGGTGATTACGAGCATCAAGAGGTATGATTCCGCCTGCAGCTGTGTTATCTAAAGAATCCTTAACATGTTCAATGAGAACAGGAGGGCCAGAAGGTTTCCGATCTATGAGAGCTACTGTCGCGTCGTCACAAGAGGATTCAATAGCCAAAACAATGTATGATCTGCGCGCATGCAAGAATGACGATGATGCAAGAAGCGGCGTCCACGCTCTAGTTGTTGCAGCATGACAACGACGAGCGAGCATTATGGCAACCGGGTCCAGTTACTTTGATGGAGTTCAAAAAAAAATATTGTGGTGGCTGAATAAGAAAAAAAAAAAGAATTGGAAAATTTTTTTTCTTTTTTTCACACCTGTACAAATTCATGGGAGCAAATGGCTGATCATGATATAAAATCAAGAAATAAAGGTTATTGATTTTTCATCTTTATTAACATCTCCAAAATCAGACAAAGCAGCCGTAATCTTTAAAAATTACTACAAATGGTATAGACGAGCGGATTTTATAATAGACCCTTGAGAATACGGTGGCGGGAAATTAGTGGTGAAGATTTAGTTACTTTTAAGCGCGCGCCCATTTGAAAAAAACGGTTGGTGATCATGGAAGGTCTATGCGGGTTTATGTGTGGAGCTTATCCTGGGGCAAAACTGGCTAAAGTATAAAAGGACCAACCCCTCCTCAAGACTTTTATTCGGTTTATTTCTCTTTCCTTCCTCTTTCTTTTAACTCTACAACGAACCATCTTTTTTTTTTTAATTTCAACTCTTTTACAATCAATTCCCAGAAATAAGCAATTATAATGGCCACCTCCATTACTGTTAAGCTACCCAATGGCGTTGAATATGAGCAACCCACGGGTCTCTTTATTAACAACGAGTTTGTTCCTTCTGCCAAGGGCGAGACCATCAAGGTCGTTAACCCCTCTACAGAGGAGGAACTTGCACAAGTTCATGCTGCTGATGCCAGCGATATTGATAAGGCTGTGAAGGCTGCACGAACTGCATTTAACACTGTTTGGAAGAATTACAGCGTTGATGAGATTTCACGGTTGCTTTACAAGCTCGCTGATCTGTTTGAGCGTGACTTGGAGCTTCTTTCTGCCATTGAAGCAGCGGACTCTGGTAAGCCCAAGGCCCAGAATGCTGCTGGAGATGTTGAGGGAGCCATTCAACTGTTTCGCTACTTTGCCGGCTGGGCCGACAAGCGTTCCGGTACCATTTGCGAGAATGATAAGAACACACTGGCATACGTTGTTCATGAGCCTCATGGTGTGTGTGGCCAGATTATCCCTTGGAACTACCCCATTGGCATGGCTTCATGGAAGATTGGCCCCGCCATTGCTGCCGGCAATGTCATTGTTCTGAAGCTGGCTGAGAACACTCCCCTGTCAATGCTCTATGTTGGTAAGCTTATTGCCGAGGCTGGTTTCCCTCCTGGTGTCATCAACATTGTCAATGGTTACGGCTCCGTTGCTGGTTCCGCTCTCTGCACACACCCTGATGTCGATAAGATTGCTTTTACTGGTTCCACTGCCACTGGCAAGCTGATTATGAAGATGTGTGCTGACACTCTCAAGAACATTACTCTGGAATGCGGTGGCAAGTCACCACTGCTGGTTTTTGATGACTGCAACTTTGAAGAGGCGGTCAAGTGGGCGCATATTGGTATCATGAGCAATATGGGTCAGATTTGCTCTGCTACCTCCCGTATCTATGTTCAAGATACTATTTACGATAAGTTTGTCGAGGCTCTTAAGGAGCACACCATCAAAACTTCTAAGGTCGGCGATGTTTTCGACGACTCTGTTTTCCAGGGACCCCAGGTTTCTGCTCTGCAACAGAAGCGTGTTCTTTCTTACATTGAGAAAGGCAAGTCTGAGGGTGCTCGCGTTGTTCTTGGTGGCAATGCGATCACCGGAAAGGGCTACTTTATTGAGCCCACCATCTTTGCCGATGTTGATGACTCTATGACTGTCATGCGCGAGGAGATCTTTGGTCCCGTCGTGTGCATTAGCAAGTTTAAGACTGAGGAGGAGGCTATTACCCGTGCCAATGATACAACCTACGGCCTCGGTTCGGCTGTTTTTTCAGAGAACAATTCAAGATGTCTGCGTGTTGCTCGTGCCATTAGAGCAGGCTCTGTCTGGGTTAACTGTGATAACACTGCTTCGCCACGCGTTCCTTTCGGTGGATTTGGTATGAGTGGTATTGGCACCGAGCTTGGCACTTACGGTCTTGACATTTACTCTGTCAAGAAGGCCATCACTGTTAACATTGGTGTCAAGTTGTAAATAAAAACAAAAATTATTTGTATTATGTGGGGTATTAATTTGTTAAGTTTAAAATATATATAAAGGTCCTTTTTTTTGCTATTTCGTTCTAAAATAAAATCGAGTTTATCTTTTTTTTTTTTTTTTTCTTTCTTTCTTTCCTTTATCATTAAACATTGAGATGTTTGAAAACATTCCTCTTGAAATGCGCCCGACCCCAACGGGCATTACATTATATGGTTTCATTGCACCCAATGCCGTTAAAGTGTCGATTGCGTTACAAATTCTTGGTGTTAAATACACTGTACGAAATATCAACATCCTTAAGGGTATTCAAAAGTCTCCGTGGTATGTTGAGCTTAACCCGGAGGGAACTGTTCCAACACTAGTTGATGCTGGAGACGGATCATCGTCGCCCATTGTCATCTGGGAATCTGGTGCTATTTTGCAATACTTGCTGTCCAAGTACGACCCGGAGGGCCGGGTTTTGGGCTACCCGGTGGATTCAGCTGAGTACCCACAGCAGCTTTCATGGCTTTTTTTCCAAGTCTCTGAGGCTGGTGCACTCCAGCTCCAGGCCAACCGTCACTTTGTGTTCCCATCAAAAAAAGATACTGAGCAAGAGCGCAATCTTTTGAAAACCCGCTACATAGGCGAGACCCGTCGAATTTACAGATTGTTGGAGCGACATTTGGCTGCCCGAGCAAAATCGCATGCTCCTGGTGATGACCCGCTGGTGTTGGTGGGGTCGCGGGTGTGTGTTGCCGACATTGCACACATTGGGTGGATCACAATGGCATTTTTGATAGGCATCGATGTACCTTCTGAGTTCCCACACATTACCAAATGGATTGAACATGTTATCGCCCAGAAAGGAGTTGTCCAGGGTCTTGATGCATCAGGACCATGGTTCGGGTTTTCGCGCCGAGCCCCGTGGAAGAGGCCTGGTCCCGACATGCGGCTGTAGAAGCTTCGAGAAGATGCGGCTTAAGGCAAGGGTTGATATATTTTTAAGGAGGGCTTATCTCTACACAAATGAAAGACGAGTTTGGCTCACGTGGGTAATTTTTGGCTGAGCACCAAAAAGTCTTTGCCTACAACATCCACGCGCCACCCCGCTAAACTGCTGCTGCCACACCCTTTTCGCTCGTGGCCGATAACTTAACTTTAAAAGAAAATTCTTTTCCGTCTTTAAATTTTTTTTTCCTTCTTATTCTTATTCTTATTCTTTTTTTTTTTCCCTTACTCTTTGTTGAAAAAAAATTTTGTACACTTTTTTTTTTTTGAAAAATATACTTTTAATATACTTTACAAAATGTCTAAAGATTCCAAAGATGCGGCCGTTGTGCCTACTGAACAGGAAAAGGAAGAACAAGAAGAAGTCCGTACAACTCTTGAACTTTTAAACCTTAAGGAACATCCTGAACGTCTCGTCGAGTCCTTCAAAGTTGTCACGGATGCGCAAGCTCAGCGCCGCAACCTCACCAACAACGTTATCATTAAGAACAAGCTTTTTATTTCATCTTTTTTCTTGATTGCTGCATTTATTGTCTACCGCATCCGCATGCGCGCTGATTCCTTTGGTATGGATTGGGGTATGCTTATCATGTCACTTGGCGGCTTTGGCATTGCTATGTTTAGCATCGTTGGAAGGTACACTGAGGAAATTATCGCTATTGCCGAGCGCATGGATATTGACGAAATCTTTGCTCCTGATGTGGAGGCCTTTTCTTTTATCTACAAGAACCTCGTTGTTGGCACAGTTGCCATCAAGCCTCCCCCTGACTACAAGCCCGGCCAAGAAGCTGTCGCTTCTGCTCTTGAAAAGTCTACAGAAGCTATCGCCAAAATGACTGATGAAGAAAAGAAGCGCTACGATGAGGAGCGTGAAACCAAGATCAAGATTTATCATAAACAACCTGAGGGCACTGCAATGCTAACTGCTTGGACCGCGCTGCGTAGATACCGTGGCATTGGCATGGGCAGTGATCTATTGGACAAGGCCATTGCGGTGGCACGCGACCAGTTTGGTGCAAAGGCCATCACCGCTCTGTGTGAATCCACGGAGAAGCCCGCCATTGCTGTACTTAAGAAGAAGGGCTTTGTTCTTGTTGATACCAAGCTTACCCGTGGCCAGCGTGGTAAGTGGTTCCAAATTAAGGAACTCACTTGGAAGAAGGTTATCGAGCCTACTATTAAAGATAAGAAGGCCGACTCTTGATTGTATCCCTCTCCATGGACCTTTTGTTTTGTTTAGATAGACTGAAAATTAATAATAAAAAAAAAAAGTTTACGTTTTAATTTTAATAAGATTAGTAATCACAATAATTATGGTATTAATTATTATATTAAATTTATTGATTTAGAGTGAAATTTTCAGAATCGCGTTTTTTTTTTTTTTTTTTCCTCCACCAGTATCATCAACTATAAGAACAACCATGTCAGCTGCCGCTGCGGTCCGCTCGGCCAAGTCCACTGTCCTGGAGTTGGCAACTACAGTACTACCGGCAAAATCTACTGCTTTTTCTATGATCCAGCCCACCGGCGTTTTCCATCTTGGCAACTACCTCGGTGCCGTCAAGTCCTGGGTCGATATTCAAAATCAAACGGCTACAGCTTTCCCCAACTCTAACGACCCCTCGGTCCCACGTCTTTTGTTTGGAATTGCTGATCTTCACGCATTGACTATTCCTAAAGACCCGAAATCCTTGCGGTTCACCCGGTCTCAAGCTGTGGCGTCCATGCTGGCAACAGGAATTGATCCTAGCCGATGTATTGTATTTCAGCAATCTCAAGTCCCAGAGCATACCCAACTCTACTGGCTGCTGTCGACCGTCACTGGCATGGGTTATCTTAATCGTATGACTCAGTGGAAGTCCAAGGCTCAGCTCGATGAATCTACTTCTCTTACAGATGCTTCTGAATCAGCTTTGTCTAAACTTCATCTTGGTCTTTTTGCCTACCCGTGTCTCCAGGCCGCAGATATTCTTCTTTATAAGTCAACTTATGTCCCTGTTGGTGAGGACCAGTCCCAGCATCTTGAACTTACTCGCCATATATGCGCTACCTTCAATAAGAAATACCCAGGAGCTGACAAAAAACCCATTTTCCCAGAACCAAAAACTATTTTTGCGCCATTTAAAAAAATTTCTTCTCTGCGAGATCCCTCTAAAAAAATGTCAAAGTCCGACCCAGACCAAACTGCTTGCATTTACATTCCAGACTCCCCAGCTCGTATTCAAAAGGCAATTCGTCGTGCTGTGACAGACTCTCAGCAGGGACCTATCACATATGACCCGGTTACACGCCAAGGTATTGCCAATTTGCTGGAAATGGCGTCGGGTATTTTGCAAACAACCCCGCAACAAGTTCTCAAAGATATTGCTCCCAAGGACCACAAGGAGCTCAAGGACGGTGTTGCGCAAATCATTGCGGAGGGGCTGGCACCTGTACGCACAGAGTACGAACGCCTTATGAAGGATTTAGATTATGTCGACGACGTGGCGCGTCGTGGGTCGCTGCGCGCGCGTGAAATTGCAGCAATTACAATGGCAGAGGTCAATCGCGCTGTCGGTCTTAACTAGTTACGTTATTAGAGTGTAAATACAAACTATTTGTAAATAAGCTCGGCATTTTTTTAAACTCATGTACATAATATACCATCTTTCCCCTAAAAGCTTTTTTTTCTCTTCTTTTCCCCTCAATAAACCTTAGTTTATAAGTATTTATATTTTGCATTTTGTCTGTGAATTCTTTAGATTGAAACAAGTCTTTTTTTTTTAAAAAAATAAAGAGATTTTTTCATTTTTCTCATTATTTTGTTTTTTTCCCCTCTTTTTTTTTTTTTTTTTTGCATTCTTTAAAAGCTTAAATTTTAAACATTCAAACCTCCATAAAAAAAATGACTGATATCGACCCACCGCTAGAACCTCACCCACCATCTCCGTTCCTCTTGACCCGTCGTCGCATGTCGACTCGTAGGGCTTCGACTAGTGCTGGGTCTACAACAACACCAGCTCTTTCGCCGCAGCTTCTTTCATTGGATTCTACAGAAACAAAGCTTCCTGCAAACCAACCTCGCAGTCAAAATGACTCTAAAAACTTATCACTGTTAAGCGATGGCGAATTTAATAGCAACATTCACAACTTAGGCAATGTAAGTAAAGCAAGCGTAGAGTCTACAGATGCCTTGCCTATTCCCATCGCTGCAACGTCAGCAACAACGATCACGGAGACAGTTAAACCAGTTTCTGAGTCTTTCGACTCTAAAAACCCCCCTGTAAAATTGCAACCGGCTAAAAAACAACTTCCACATTACCGGCCCATCCACATTAACGCACAGGATTCTATATTTTCGCGTGAAAACATATATTCACTTGGAACAACTCAGTACAAATCCAAGTCCAAGCCTGAAGTTTCCAGACCTTCGTCCGGTGAATCTCCCACGCGGTATTTTGGATTCCGCAACCTGGCCATGATCGTCTTAATTGTAGGCAACATCCGTTTGTTGGTAGAAAACTACATTAAGTACGGGCTGCTGGCGAGTTTTGAACGCATGTCTGGAATTCCAGATCATGATATTAAAATTGCGCTACTGCTTACGGCATTCATTCCGGGACACTTGTTTGTATCACTTGTTGTGGAACGGGTTGCAGCGTCTTGGGCATTAACCCCTCAAGCCGCGCGGCAAGATTCACAAGTGCTTCTTCCCAAGGAAGCTACTACTGAGGACAAGCCGATTGAAAATTCTCGTAAAAAGAGTTTTGCCACCCGACCGTCTTCAACATCTTCGAGTATTGCAGGCAAAATCAAGATGAAGCACCTGTGGCGGCTATTTGCGGCATTACACGCCATTAATGCGCTTTTGTGCCTTGTGATCACGTCGTACACTGTGTACACAAACATTTGGCATCCAGTGGTTGGCACCATTTGCGAGATTCACGCAGTTGTACTTTGTCTTAAGGTAGCTTCATACGCTCTGACCAACCGTGATTTGCGAGATGCAACGATTATCGAACGTGCAAACAAAAAAACAGGCAATGAAAATGATAATGATATTCCAGAGGTTCCTGAGCTCTACTCATCGCAACCTTATCCTACCAACCTAACCATTGGCAATCTTGTGTACTTTTGGTGGGCCCCTACGCTTGTGTACCAGCCCGTGTACCCACGAACACCGCGAGTGCGCTGGCGGTTTGTTGCGCGGCATATTGCGGAGCTTATTGTGCTGGTTGTTGTGATGTGGTTTATAGTGCGCCAGTACGCGGTGCCTATTTTGGAAAATTCGTTGCAACGGATGGCTACTGAGCGCCAGGGTAATAACAACAAATTACAGACGTCAACTCTACAGAACCTGGTGCTTATGGGTGAGCGACTGATGAAGCTTGCTACGGTTTCAATTCTGGTGTGGCTACTTGGGTTTTTTGCGTTATTTCAGTCTTTTCTCAACTTGCTTGCAGAGCTAACGCGTTTTGCAGACCGCGACTTTTATCAGGATTGGTGGAATAGTGGGTCTTTGGGAACATACTGGAAACTTTGGAATCGGCCTGTAAGCAATTATTTTCGCAGACATTTGTACATCCCCATGCTTAAGCGCGGCTTTTCGACGTTTCAATCGTCGCTCTCTGTGTTTTTTGTGTCAGCCGTTTTGCACGAGGTGATGGTGGGGATTCCCACACATAACGTCTTGGGGTTTGCCTTCTTCTCCATGATGCTTCAAGTCCCTCTTATTTTGGTCACAGCTCCACTCGAGAGAATGCGTGGACCAGGATCGACTATTGGGAACATGGTGTTTTGGCTAGCGTTTTTCCTTGGTCAGCCGTTAGGTGTTTTAGTTTATTATTATGCTTGGAATGTCAAGTACAATCCAGGAGCTCTCAAAGTGACAAATTCAACAGAACATTGCAATTGTCTTTGAAAAAATGAAGAAAAAAAATTGGAACAAAAATTAGTGCATTTTTTAATTTTATATATAACCGGGCCATTTTACAACAAAAAAACAAGGCCATCTAATCCAAAAAAAAAAAAAAGAAGCAAAGTTGTGTGTGAAAAATTTTTTTTGTTAATTTTTTCTTTTTTAATAATTCTATCATTGTCATTTGAAGGGTATGTTTTTTTTTTTTTTTTTTTTGGTTTTAATATGACATGTAGTAAGCGTCTCTGTTTGCCTTTTCGCGCTTGTCCTTGACCTTTGTAAGATAAAGGCCATAGGCAAACACAAGAACAATAATGACAGCTACCACACCAAGGGCTTTGCCAAAAAAGCCAAGCCATGAGCCTTTGGATTGAGACTTTTGCGAGTATAAGCGCTTGCCATTGCTGCTGCCGCTGTTTCCGGCGTTGGCAACGGTGTACATTCCAGCGTCGTGGTCACGAAGATCAGAATAAGTTTGAGGAGGGTTGCGCAACGAGTAAACTTGAACACGATGAATGTCGTGATTCTCGGTGAGCTGGCCAGTGCGCGCACTGAAACCGAGGAAAAGACCTGTAGAAGGCAGTTGAGCCTTTTCACCCTCAAGGACAAAACAATTGGTCCATTGACGAGGCTCGGCATCCGGGGTCTTGTAGTCGAGATCAAGAGACATGAACTTTCCCTTGACATAGGTAAGACGAGCGTGAGAAATGTCGCGAGGGTTGTGGAGACCACGGGCAGAGCAGCCAGCGAGTTCGTTTGCCAGACCATCGTTAGCTCGATCGTACTCGGTATTGCCGTCGCCCATCATGGCCATGACGTAGGGAAAAGCCTTGTTGGGACGGTTGTTTTTGTACGTGTCGAAAAACAGTCCGAGACCCTGGAATTTGTCTTTTGAGCCAAAAACAGGGCCAAGCTCGCCCTTGTGTGAGGTGATCCACAAAGCCAGACCATCACCGTAAAGAGTGGTACCATGGCCGTGAATCTTGAAATCAAATTCGATCTGGAAAGATTCTGGCATAGCGGGGAGTTTGGAAAAAAGCCAGCCAGCCTCGCCAGCACGATCGCCTGTGAGTCTGATGAAAGAGTCTGACTTGATGAGTGTATCTCCACCATAATCATAAAAGCGTGATGAAAGATACTTGTCGAGGAAGGGCATTTTAAGTGCGTGTGGGTAAGACTCCAGTCTATGGTATGTGTCTGCTGTATTGGAAAGGCCGTATTGCTGGGCCGCGACAGAGTTGGGAGCAAAACATGCCAGCAGAGCCACAAGCGATGTGAAAACAGGAACGCTCAACATGGTTCGGAAAATATGTGAAATACACGAACAAGCTGAGCCGATGGAAAGGGTTTGAAAAGCGGTGCTGGAATGGGGTTCCTTTGAAAAGACGACTGGTTGTTGTTTGTTTGTTCGTATGTGTGGGGAGGGGTTTATTTAAGCAGGATTGAGAAAAAAAAAAAAAAAGATGACAGGGAAGCAAGACATGATGATCTGGCCGTATGGGACGGGTATTTTGTGCGTTAGAATATCTGAGGCTGATTAGAGTATATTTAGGAATGTTTCATGTGGAATGTGTGTTCGACTCTACTTTAAGAATAATGCATGCGGCAACAAACGGCTGAACTTTTTTTATAAGGGTTCGCTGTGGTTCACATTGTTGCCATTTTGGGAGAACTGAAATTTCTGGCCACTAAAATAGTCACCACTTTTGCGTTTAAAAAAAAATCCACCACTTTAAATCTTCTTTCTTTCCAACATCTTCCACTCACCTAAAAAAAATTTTAAGAAAAAAAATAACAAAAAACTTTAGAAATTTCGATTTAAAACGCGTTCTTTTTGTTTTATTATATACCAATGATTGCTACAGCTCTAAGAGTTAAACGTAAACGCACAGACGACCCTGTCACTGCTTTGTGTATGCTTTTTTTTTTTTTTATTTTTATTTTTATTTAACTAAAACGTGTATCTTTATCTAGATTTTGACGACACGCGAACTTCGCTATCTGCGCGCAAAAAAGTTCGCGTTGACAATGTTGTATATCGACTGTCACAAACTGTTGACCGACCAGATTTGTCGATTGGCGGTCAGCCTACTGCCCAAGACACTTTGTCTGCGGCTTCATCTTCTCTCCAGGCCACTCCCACGGCCGTGCCACGCGACATTGTACTTGAGCGGGCCCCATTAACTGTTCCCGGAAATGTATCTACGCGCTCCAGTATTGGTGGTTCCAGCAATAGTCGTGTGTTTCGACTTGTACGACCTTCAGTTGGTAGTGGTTCTACCAATGATAAAAATGCTCAACAACTGAATCAGCAGAAACAAAAACAACAACAACAAGGACAAGGACAGCAACAACAGGATGTTGACATGTTACCACCAGAAATCACATCAATGCTTGATACATATTTAGATGATAGTTCTTCTATTGGCAACCCGTCGCAGCAACTACAACAACAGCGTCACTTGCCGTCTGGTCATGCGCGTAAATTGCACCAAGACGCACAGCAGCAGCAGCAAAATACCACAGGACCAGTGACACAACCTGATTCGGAGGCTGAGGATTATGTTTACGACATTTATTACCGTTACCAGCTGCCCACGTTTTCCGGAATTCCTGGAGCACCCCAAGCTTCTGGCGAAGGACTCATTGGACTCATGTAAGTGTTGGTCTTTTGCTTTTTGTTTTCCCTATTTTTTTATTTGTCTTTGCTTTTTTTGTTTGCTATTTTTTTTTGTTCACAACTACCTTCGGGTTCCTGCATTATCATTTTTCAATTTCCTTGCATAATATATTTCATCTTGTTGAAAAATTTCAACCCTATAATGAGAACACTCTGATGAAATAACCCCACACATTTTTTTTTAATTGTTTTGTTGAAAATCTGTGTACAATAATTATTTGATTTTATTTGTATTTTTAAAAAAAAAAACGATTAATTTTGAAAAATAATTTTTTTTTTATTTTTCACCAGCATACTACTTTCTTTTATATATGAAAATCCCCATGGCGGTAATAATAAAACCAAAAATGAAATTCTGTTCAAGTATTAAATAATAACTGTTTTACTTTTGCGCTTGCGCTTTCGTGATTGTTTAGTCGTTTTGAATCCGACGATGAGAAACTTCTTGGAGTTGGCGACGATGACGAAGATAGTGACGTCATGGCCACCGATGATGAAGATTCCAATGGTGAGTAGAAGAAAGAATATAACCCTTAGGTGGTGATGGTTGGAATTTTCTGAAGGAAACTTTATCAGTATTTAATTAGTAGGTCTTTCACTAACGACCATTAATGCTTCTTTTAGCCGAGGATTATTACAAAAACGATTACCCCGATGAGGAAAGTGACGGTGCTGGAGACGACCAAGATTACCGGTTTGGAAAGGCTTCTCGGGGGGAAAATTCAGATTCGGATGTTGCATACGATTATACTCATCTGGCTTACGATGATGACGATAATGAGGATCCATATAATGATGACGGGTATGAGCACGACTATGGTGGAGATTTGGAAGATGATGATATGGACTCTGCATATGCAGGACGGCCTGGAACAACGCGTCGGAAGAACTACCGCCGGGCACACGTGCGGGGTGTGGGCGGAATCACGCCTGGGGTTTCTGGGCCCAATGGACCCGAGAACGAGGACGGGTTTGATGAGGATGAAGTGGTTGAAGGGTTAGGGTACCTTGGGCTGGGCTCAGGGTCTGCAGGCGAGGAAGGAGAGACTATGGAGCAGTACCGGGACCGGATTTTTGAGCAGCTTCAGCGTGAGATTGATAAGCGAGGCGAGCGGGCTGAGGATCGGTTGCATGAATGATTTATTAGAGAAAAATGACATGAAGAATAAGTAAAGTTACTTGTTTGTTTCTATTTCTTTTTTCTTTTTTCTTTTTGGTTATAGGGATGATGCATCTAGTGTAATATAAAATGCAGAATTTTTTATATAATATTGAGGTGGTAGTTTTTTTTAATTTTTTTTTTAAACGCTCAATATGGATGAGGATTTTCTAATTTTTTTCGGAAAAACTCACGGATTAATAGCCAGGGAGTTTAAACCCATGTGGGTCAAACAAACGGTCACCAAAGAATTGAGTGAGATCTGCAATCAAGATCGATAGTTGATAACAACAACAAATAAGATTGAAAGAAACGGAAAGGACATTTAATACTTTTTTCTTGTTGGCTCTATAAATTAAAAAAAAAAAAAAGGATTTTATATAAATACATTAAAACATTTAAGATGAAACGTTATCGAGACGCCGTCGAAACGTAATTTTTTTTTTTTTGCCGTTTAATAAAGTGAATTTTAATTTTGTTTTTTTTTTTTTTTTTTTAGGAAAGGAAAAAAAAAAAAAAAAAAAAAAAAAAAAACAGATGAAAAAATAGTCATTTTAAAAATAAAAATAAAAAAACAAATTGAAAGATTTAAAATTAGCACATTTATTGCTGCTTGGCCGCTGAGGGTCCACGCAGAATAATGGCAGGAGGGAAACTGTCCTCATGACGAGTCTCCTGGCCCTCAAGATGTTCTTCTTGGCCTACACGTTTCAGTTAGTATTGAAGTTTGCTTTCAAATTAAATTTCCAATCAAATTAAACCATGGTATCCAGTGGTTGATATATAATAGGTGATTTATTAAAAAAAAAAAAAAATTAAAGACTTACCAGGAGCATATAATCTAAAAATTTCACGCTTCTGATCAGCAGCAGCCTTTTCAGAAGCAGACTGTTGCTGGCCGGCAGCAGTAGCAGCCAAAGTTGGGGTACCAGCAGGACCAAGAGCAGGCGAGTTTGCGGTAGATTGAGCGCGGGTTTCTTCAAAGGGAATAAAAGCCATTGTGTATATATATATAATGATTTATAAAAAAAAAAAATAATAATTGAAATGAAAAAAGAAAAATAATAAAGAATTTTCCGGAGTATTAGTTTGGTTATAAAAGTATTAAAGGGTGATTAATTGATTGATTGATTGACAAGTGCGGAGTGCGGTGTACTATTCGGAGTAACGATGGTGCCAGACGAACTTGTTGAAATGATTGATTATAGTAAAAAAGATCAAGTAAAAGAAAGAAGAAGAAGGAAAAAAAAAAAAAAAAAAAAAAAAAAGATTGTAAAATCCAGGTGGGCTTTCCAGAATATTTATATTTTTTTTTTTTTTTTTTCTTTTACTCAATCTGAAAAATTTTTCACACTTTATGTCTGTTGTTATTATTGTTTGTTGTCGTCATAAAAACATTTTTTGGCTGACTCTTTTTTTTTTTTTTTTTTTTTTTTTTTTTTGTTTGCCTCCTCCTCCAAAAAAAAAATTACCATTTTCCACTCACCCACCCCCTCTTCTGTACGGCTAGTTGTCTTCAAAAGAGTCACAAGCTGCATCACTTACGCTTACCAATGGGTAATGTAAACTTACTTATTAATATCTTTTGTTATTCATATTCTTTTTTTTACATTCAAGTCAAAATGTTTCCACATGTAAAAACCAACCAAAAATCTTCATCTCCACCTTGAAAATATATATATATATATATATATTTATATATATTACCGCAATCATTTTTTTCTTTTATACAACAAAATCACGGCATATTCAATCACAGCACCTGCACATATGTCTGAGGGAAAAGCCCCACCCGGCCATCCTGTGTCTGGCCAAACCACCATTGATCGTCTGTTTCGTCTCCATGGTCCAGAATTGTAAGCTCGTCACCTGCTTGGAACGATACATCGCCAGCTTCTTCCCCACCAAATGTAAACAACGCACGCGCACGCTCATTCTCAGGCGCAATATTGCGCTGCGGTGTCGGCTCCCCAAGCACTGTACGGCTGCGTAGCCGGTCACTCACTTCGTCACCAAGTGTCCACGTCCGCGCAGCTGTTGACATGGACGCGCGCACACGCGTTCGCAGAGCCTCCTTAGCTTCCCTCTCTTCAGCGGCTTCTGCAGCAACATCTTCAAAGCTTGTCACAGGGCTACGGCCATAATGGAACCCGAGCCCTGCAGAATCCTCAGTCATACTCAACGTGCGTGCAGACCGTGTACTCGGCGACCGCACAGGTCCCTGTGACGAATGAGTCTTAGCCAAACTGGTATTAGAAGTGGTGGGCGATGGACGTCTAAAGAATGAAAAGCCGGCTCCAAACGTACCAACTCCACCAACACTGGCACTGCTATGGTGACCACTAACACCAGCACCACCAGACACTGGAGAAGTTGGTGTAGACATGATACCGTGGAGGTGGTTTGCATCGTGCTCTGCAGCTTGCAACAGATCGGCCTCCGCGCTGAAAAAGCCCAGCTCTGCAGACGAAAACTGAATGTCCTTGACGTAGCGGTTGGGCACAAATGAAAAAGCCTTGTGGACCAACCCTTGAGTCGCATGCAACCCGGTCTTGACCACGTTTTTGGTCTTGTGTTGCGCACGCTCCATAGCCTGCTGGCGTCGCGCCAGTCGCTCTTGGCCAATCGGTGTCTCTACTGTCTTGCCCTCCTTAATTGTTAAGATTCCTTCTTCATATCGAGGCTGCGTAATTACATAGCGAGCCTCCCACGAATCCAAAATGTTGACATAATCGCTGGGCTCTCCAGTGAAAAGCGGAGAGGGCGAAGGACCCGTGGTTCCGAGCCCGTTGGTGCTTCTCTGGGGGCTGGTAACACCGGTTGAAACAAGATGGCCAGACAGGCCTTGGGGTTGAGCATAATTGGCAAGTAGTCGTTGGGCCTCCTCAAAAACTTTGAGTTGTGTTAAGTACAAGGACACCGTCATGTGGTTGAGGAACTCCGACATGTAAGTGAGAACATATGGAACAGTTGATTTGACCTTTTCATCCAGCTCGTGAAACATTTCCGTAGCAGCCTCAAGTTCTTGTTCCTGGTGGGCCAGAGATGTTTGCTCCTTTTCGGAAAGAGCCTCACCACCGTGCCGTTTCTTGTTGAGACGTTCAAGGGCATTATTGTTGCGGTCAAAGTCAACCTTTTTGTGTTCACGTTTGGTGAGAAGCTTTTGCACACTTTTAAGGCATTCCTGAGCCTCACCAATCCGGGTAGAAAATGGGCCCTCCAGGGATTGAAGGTAAGGGTCAATTGCATCCTTCATGGCACTGCCTACAAACTCACTAAACTGAGCAACAGCTGTCAAGGAACTCTCAGGGGTCTCCTGCACCACGCGGTAGGCATTTTCGTCGCGAATTGGCTCATAAATCTCTCGGAACGCCAGGGACAGTGACTCCTGTGCCGAGCAAATGTCCCGCCATGTTGATGCAAACTTTTTTGTTTCTCTTGCCACTTGTGATAACGCCTCGTCTGCTGTGACAAAGTCTTTTGTCCAATCAATGATAATCTTGTCCTCAATGCTCTTGTTGCCCAGGAGTCTGTGGGGTGTACGGACAATGGCTTTCTTAGCGCCTTTAAGCATTTTGAAATAATTTCGAGTTTTATAGATATATGATTTCTTCTTCTTTTTGAATAAGAGTGGTAACTTTTAAAAGAGAAAAAAAAAAAAAAATCGTAAGCTTAATAGTGTGGGAAAAGAAAAAAGTTTGTAATCTAAGGAGGAAGTTTTGAACAAGACGAGGGATAAAAAAAAGATATAAAATAAAAAATAATAAAAAAAAAAAAAGCCCGCAGGTTTTTTTTTTTTTTTTTGGCTGAGAGAATTTTAAATGTCATGGCAGACTGGCACAACTGGCACAGCTGGCAAGGCAAATTGGCCGGCTAGTAGGTGTAATTGCGTGGTGGTGGGCCGTTAAGCGAAAAGGCAACTGTAGAGTATTTGGTTTACTGTCTGCCCACCAATATATATATATATATATATATATATATATATATATATATATGGGGTTTTGTTACATGTTTTAATCATGTGATGATAATGTAATAATGTAACAATTTTAATTAAACCTTGTAACATATATTCAAACCTAACCCTATTACAAATTTTTTTATTTTTTTTTTTATTTTTTTTTTTTATTTTATTTTTTTTTTTTAATTTAGCTTACACAATTGCAGAGTTGTCTTTCAGTTGTACTGCTGGACTTTTGTTAGGCCATCACACGATCTCCACATTATTATACTACCACCCAAAATAGCTTTAGATATTCATCATCATTATCATCATCATCATCATCAACATCAACATCAACATCAACATCAACATCAACATCAACAATACTAAACTCAGTACCTAACATACCCGTACTTAGCTTCTCTTCTTTTTCCAACTCATGGACTCTCTCGGCTCTCTCTCTTCTCATCTTCCTAACCGTCCACCGGTCGAGCAAGAGCTCGCCACACTCGAGGCTAACATCGTCTCCGAGTTTAAGACCGCCGCACGAGCAGTCACCCGTCTTTACACACTCTCCGGTTCCAAATCCAAGCTGCTCAAGTCTCAAGGATACATGGAGTGTCTCAATGATCTTATTCAACTAATCACCGGTGCTAATGCTGAAACTACCGGTTCTGATCTTACATCAACCACGCCTTGTTCATCTTCTTCTTTCTCTACCTCCACTTCCTCTTCCTCTTCCTCTTCTTCTTCCTCTTCTTCTTCCTCTTCTTCTTCAGCTCATCACAATTACAACCATTCAACGGTTACCCTTGAAGGAATACTAAACTGGGCACTCAATAAGCAACATAATATGAACGCACAAGCTTCTTCTTCTTCTTCTTCGTCTTCGTCTTCTAATTCTAATCCAATTCGTTCATCAGTTTCAAAAGATTCAGCACGTTCTTCTTCTGCTACTCATCAAGACTCAGCTCAGAATTCCCACGCGTCTAATATTAAAACAACTAGCCGATCCACTCCTACATCTACAAATCAATTCACATTCACATCCTCTCTCCATCCTGCATACCTTTCCACTGAAGTCCCGCCAACTTCCTACAATGGCAACATTTTTCACTACAACCCTGGATCTGCCAAACCCTCATCAGATTCATCCTCAGGTTCTCCAGATGAGAATTTTACCAATAACCTCAATCACAAAGCTGCTCTTGCATATCATAGAACAAGTCCCACTCTTTGTGACCAAGATGAAGCATCTGATTCTGATGTTTTGGAAGACATCAATGATGATGAATACCCTAGTCGCTTAAATAACCATCACCGCCAGCAGCAACAGCTTAAAACTAGAACACGGTCTTCAGTACCACCAGAAGCTTCATCTACTGCATCTTTGGATATCATGCAATCTTCTGCTAATGTGAGTTCTTCATCGTCTGCTGGTGTTGGTGTTGTTGGTGCTGTTGCTGGTTCTTCAGTTTCCGAGTCCGTAGTAGTTTCTCCCATAGAAGCGGACACTGCGGCAACAATGTATTTAACCAACGAACAACTAAGAATACTAGGAGGGACTCCAAGTAATCCCTTAAAGCGTAATATTTATATGGCAGGAGTTACTGGCGCTTCTTCTTCCTCTTTAGGGACCGCATCCTTGCCGTCCTCATCGGCATCCGCAGTAGGTTCACGCGATGATAGTGGAGCAGTACCCTTATCGGTACGTGATGGATCACTATCCCCACAGATTCCTCAGCAACAACAGCAATATTCTTCTTCTCCTAATATTTCTTCCTCTTTGTCTTCTGCCCTGGATGGAGGGAACACTTCTTCTGCATCATCATCATCATCATCATCATCATCTAAGGGTTCATATGCTGCGCCAGTATCTGCATTTTTCTATAATAGTAATATTGAGCCTAAACGGCAGCGGTTTTCTTAAATGGGTGTTTATATTTTATTATTATTTTTATTATTCTAATGAATTTAACGAAGTCATGGTTTTTATTATTATTATTATTATTTTTTTTTGTCTTGTACATTTTGGAGTTGATATATGAATGAGCGAGAAATAAGTAAAAGAATATATGAAAAGAACAATTTTAACCGAAATTTGGAAATTTTCTTCTTTATTTTATTTTTTTTTCTTTTTTTTCTTTTAATTTTTCTTTTAATTTTTCTTTGCGATTTATAAAATATAAAAATGAAGTTCCATAGGTTCGGATTTAACCCAAAATTGTGATTATGTATTCAATTCGTATATTAAGCTAAATTTATTTTAGATATAGATATAGATATAGATATCAGAGCAAGACAGAAAAAAAAAAAAAATGAAGAAGAAGAAGAGCGGTTAAAATTTACATTTTTATGATTTAAGATTTTAAGAAAAAAAGAGTTAGTTTTTTAGGTTAATTTAATTTGATTTAATTTAATTTAATTTTTTTTATTTATTTATTTGTTTATTTAATTCATTTATAATAATAATAATATAATTAATTTTTTTTATTAATTTAACTGAAATGTCGTTATATCAAAGATTTTATATGAAAAATCACATGTCATTATTATTATTAAAAGAGAACAAGAAAAAAAAAAAGACATTTGTTATTATTAGGTAATTTCTTATATGTTCTGTCTTGAAAGTTATTATTAATTTACACGTGCAAGTAATTTCCCATTATCATATATATATATATATATAAAAATTCCTTTTTTTTTTTTAATTTTTATTTAATATTTAAATATTTAAATATTTCAAGGCCGTACATAATTATTATAATAATAATAATATATATTTGACTTTTAAAAATTTTAAAAATTTTTAAAATAAAGGAAAAATAAATATAAACTTATAAGCATATATTAACTTCTAACTTTCCCTTTTTGTTAATTTTATTTTTTATTTTTTATTTTTTATCTTTTTCCTTTCTTTTTTTTTTTTTTTTTTCCCCATTGTATTGCTATTATGTTTAATTGAGTCATCTAAAAGATGGCTTTCATGTATTTGCATGTATGTAAGTATGTATGTATGTATGATAAATCACTTTATCTATGAAAACGCTTTTTTTGCCTTAAATAGAGAATAATTATTGTCTCTCTTAGAGTTACGCAATAAGCCCTAATTTTATTGCCGATATTTGCGGATATTTTAATAATAATAATAATAATAATAATAATAATAATAAAATAAAAAAATAAATAACTTTCAATCAATTTCTTCTTCTTCTTTCTTTTTTTTCTTTTTTTTCTTTTTTTTTTTTGTAAAAAGTGGTTTTTTTTATGTTAAATGTTCTTCTCAAGGTTCAAATTCCCATTCGGTTAAAAGAAATAATAATAATTATTATTATTATTATTATTATTATTATTATTATTATTATTATTATTATTATTATTATTATTATTATTATTATTATTATTATTATTATTATTATTATTATTATTATTATTATTATTATTATTATTATTATTATTATTATTATTATTATTATTATTATTATTATTATTATTATTATTATTATTATTATTATTATTATTATTATTATTATTATTATTATTATTATTATTATTATTATCATCATCATAATTTCTTTAATATTTTAATCAGTTGGTTTTTTTTTTCTTTACTTTCGTAAATCTTTTTTTCAGAGTGGGGAGGGGGGAGAATAAATTGCTTGCAAAAAATTAAAATAAAATAAAAGAAAAGATCTCTTGAGTGCCTCGTGTTAGGTACCACTAAGGGTCGATCCCTTCCCATCTTTTATTATTATTCTCTTTGTTTTAAGAAAAGAATCCATTCTTTCTAATTATTTGAATTTTTATATTTATTTTATAATTATTGTCGAAGACTCCCTTTTTGTTATTGAAATATTCTTTTTCTTTTTTATTTAAAAAAAAAATAAAAAAAAAAATCTAAATATATATATCCTTATAAGCATAATTATACTATCCGTTGGACCTTAATCATGTTCTAGGAATTGTATGGAAATACGGGAAAAAGAATTAAAAGAAAGAAATAAACCAGTTAGCAAGTAATTAATACAGTTAGTTATATGCAAATGACAAAATGGATAAATCCATCCTTCCAAAATGATCATCACTAGTTTGTTACTAATGGATGAAGAAGAATCAGGGAAAGAAAAAAAATGAAAAAAAAAATAAATAAATAAAATAATAAATAAAATAATAATAATTTAAATGTTTTTTTATTTTATTTTGGGCTATTAATTGCGGTAAATGATTAGACGTCACTTTGAAATTTTTTTTCTTATTAACCAAATACCCCGATACAGTTGTCCAGTTGAATTAGATATATATATATATATATATATATATATATATTCATTTAGTTAAAACATTACTACATTCTTTGTAACTTAATTTTGGGAAATACGAAATTCTTAGATAGTTAAACTATCAATAATGCCTCTATCTCTTTTTGTGAAAACTTGTAAACAATTTATTTTAAAAAAAAAAAAATAAATAAATAACAAGTGGTATTATTTATTATAATTATATTAATAATAAAAAAATAAAAAACAAAAAAAAAATATATTTTTATTATTATTTATCCAATAGCCATTTTGAAAAAAAAAAAAAAACTTTCATTTCATTTTAAAATTAAACAATGCTATGTCTTGCATTTTATATATATATATATATTCCTACTAAAGAAACTGATTATAATTAAATTTAACTTGATTTTAATTAACAAATTTCTTAATTTTTTTTTTTTTTTAAATCAGTTATCTGAATGAGCTAGTAGTGGTCATTTGGTGAAAGAAATCCTCTACTATGGATAACAAACAGTAATTAATAATTAGCAATCTTCATAAGTGTTGAGAAAAAAAAATTATTATAATCATTATTATTATAATTAAAATTAAAATTAAAATTAAAATTAAAATAAAATTAATGAAATTGGCAAATAGTTGCCAAAAATCTAGATAATACAAGTCATCATTTTCCATATTAAATAAATAATATATATATATATATATATGGATTTTTTTTTTTCAATTCTTTCTTTCTCTCTTTTGAATTTCTCATCATTTTTTTTTTAAAGCTCAAGTTATCAGTTTATCTAATAACTCCTTCCATTTTTATTATAACGTATTTTTACAATATATTTTAACATTAGATAGAATATTCCTATGCAGAATCAGCTGTTTAATAATAATAATAATAATAATAATAATAATAATCAATCCAATAAAAATCTCTTGCAATAATAGTTCAAACAAAAAGTGGCACTAGCGAGTTAAGTTGGTGATTTAAAGTCTCGGCTCACAAAATAAAAATCACGCGGAGGTCAAACCAACCCCATATATAAAAAAAAAAATACAAAAACAAAAAAATCCATTTACATATTTATTATTATATTACAGCACATTAACATTGCAGTCTCTTTCTAAGAATGGTGTTTTTTTCTTTTTCTTTTCTTTTTTTTTTTTATAATAATCATTCTGTTGATAAATATATAGCCATTGGCTCAATTAGGAAATATTTAGATCTTGTGGGCTTTGGGAATTTTTTATTTTTTTGTAAAGACTCGTAAATTAGGGAAAAAATGGAAGAATGAAAAAAAAAAAAAAAAAAAAAAAAAAAAAAAAAAAAAAATTTAAAAAATTAAAAAAAATTTAAAAAAAATTTAAAAATGAAAAATGAAAAATGAAAAACTTTTATGGATCTATTTTATATATATAAATATTGTAAACATAGTATAAATATAAAAAAAAAAAAAAAAAAACACCTAGCTAGTTTCTCTTTCTACCTAGTGCATATAATAATACCTGATATAAATCATAACCTGTAGATAGTTAAAAAAAAAAAAAAAAAAAAAAACCTTTGACTGTCTTTACTTAAAACTAAAATACGTATTAGGAGAGTCTTAAATTTTTAGTTTGTTTGGCTTTTTTTCCTTTCTGTACATTCCCCTTTCTTCCACCCCTTTGGCCATTCCCTTATTTCTTTAGTGCTTCTTTTTATTTTTGATTTGAAAAAAAAAAAAAAAAAAAAAAATTGTTTATAAATTTATAAAAATTGTTTAGATGTAAATATATATAACCTGTTGTTGTTTTTTCTTTTTTTTTTTTTAATGATGATGTGATGATGTAGTATGTGTGTGGGTGTATTTATTTATTTATTGTTTATTTTTTTTAATATATACTCTTTTAAAATGTTAGAAGGTGACAAAAAGAGACGTTTTCAATGTGTAAATTTTCAAACAGAATATGAATAAAGTATGTTTTAAAAATTGGATATATCTATTACCTTGAGACTTAATATTGCATTTCATTAAAGAAATTTTAAATGAAATCAATTAAGACTTAAGACTTGAAACCATTTTTTTTTTTTTTTCACAAAGGAAGTTTTTAATCAAACTGATTCAACTAAAGATATTTTAAATCTAAGTAATTCTATTATTATTCTATACAGGTAAAATATTGTAAATGCTATAAGATTATTCAAGATCAAGCCAATATTATATAGGCATGAATAAAGAAAAAAAAATATATATATACTTTAGGATTTAAAAAAAAAAAAAAAAAAAAAAAAGAAAGAAAAAAAGAAAAAAAAAATTAAAAAATTAAAAGAATCACATTACAAGTAAAAAAAAAAAATTTAACACACAATCATTAAAAAAACAAGATAAAAAAAACAGACGTAAATAATGCACAAGTTTAAAAATTTAAGACTCAACCGCTCTATTGAGGAGGGTGAGGATGCGGGTGTTGTTGGGTCATATACTGAACCGGATTCTGCTGCTGCTGTTGAGATGGAGGTGCAACCATCATTTGCGGTGGTTGTGTAATCATTCCATGCCCTTGAGGAACAACAGGTGGAACTCCTGGATGGCCAGGCATCATCGCCATCATAGGTGGAGAAGGAACCGGAGCAGCAAAATGCATTTGAGGATGATGCTGTGGAACTGGATGGAACTGGATATTAATCAGCTGCGGCTGAGATTGCTGTTGTTGCAATTGGCCCGGTGGTCCTTGAGGAGAAGGATGAAAATGTTGAGGAGGAGGAATCATAGTAATCTGCTGCTGCTGCTGCTGCTGCTGCTGCTGTTGTTGCTGATGCATCTCATGCACATGTTGTGAAGGCATTTCCGAATGCTCGGGCTGTGGCTGTTGCTGTTGCTGGAGTTCCGCATTCATGGGAATGGGAGACTCTTCAGCTAATGCCATTTGGGACAAAGATGGGGAGGAGGAAGAAGGGCCTTGGTGTCTGTGCTGTATTTGTTCATTGACTAAAACACGAGTAGCAGCCAAATTGTCTCTTGGGACTCGAACTAATAAAGGACATCTGTTTTCACCATCAAGCACATGCTCATCAAGCCATTGTCCAGCAGTAGTTCTCAGACCACAACGGCAAGTACCAGTGTGGGCCAACTTAGCATGCAAATCGCGGAATGAACGCACCTTCTTCTGATCATCAAAAGTAAAGTGACCATGGAGCAAGTGCTTCTTAAAATCATATGGTCGATTAAACTGGCCCTGCTTATGTGGGCAAGCATCTCGGCCAAATGGACATTCAAACCGGGTAATCTCCAAGTGGGTGCGCAAATGCCGAGGCAAATCACGACGAAAGTACTTGCCACAAATTTGGCACTGGTATTTCTTCTCCATGGGGGTAAGAGTGCCCTGTGAAATAGATGATGAGGAAATAGAAGAAACGAGCGTAGAAGGAGGACTTGAAGTGGAGTTGAGAGCAGTTGCAACGGCTGCGGCTGCGGCTGCTGCTGCTGCCGCAGATGATGGAGTGGAAGAAGAGGCGAAAGAAGACGAAGCTGGAGGAGATGATAAAGAAGATGCAATTGGAGCAGATGCTGGAGTAGAAGCTGAAGCTGCAGAAGAAGAGGAAGAAGAAGAAGACATTGAAGGAGGAGCAGAAGCAGAGCTAATGATGGAAATAGAAGAAGCGTTTGAAGAGTATCCAGAAGTTGAAGAGATGATTGATTTTGAACGCTTGTTTTTGCGAGGTGAAGAAGAAGAAGAAGAAGAAGAAGCAGTATCACTAAGAGAAGCTGCACGGCCCTTCTTTTTCGGAATGGTTTGTGATAGTTGAGAATTACTATTGTTATCTAAAGCCTTAGATGATCCACCAATTGATGCTGACGTGTCGAGATTTGGGGCCGAATGTCTGGATTGTACTGCTGGTGGGGTGGGGACCGGCAGTTGATGAGGAGCCGCTTGAATAGAAGCTGGAGCAGAAGCTGGAGGGAAATTGAAAGGTTGCATTGACATCACTGAAACAACAGGCACTGGCTCGACTGGTTGATTTGAAACAGCAATTGCCCCATGACTTGACTTCATAAAACCGGTTGTGTTTGGAGATGTTGGAGCACTATATTGAGGAGGGTGCATGTGGGGGGATGATACCACAGAATTTGTGAAAAATGTGCTGAATTGTTGTTGCTGGGGTGTTGTCTGCTGCTGCTGCTGTTGTTGTTGTTGTTGTTGTTGTTGGGTAGCAATTCCATCAAACATTGGAGGATCCAAAACTCGAATAGGTGAACGAACAATTGATTGTGGAGAAGAAGCTGCTGAAAAGGGGGCTGCTATAATACTGCTATCGTCATTGGAATAGAATTGAGGCGTTTGTTGAAGAGCCTGCTCCTCTTGTTTGACCATGATGTGTTGCGGTTGTTGCTGAAGATGTGATTGCCTCAGCGAATCTTCCGACTTGATGACTATTTGTTGTTGTTGTTGTTGTTGGTTGGAAGGCACCATCATTTGAGGCGGTACCTGGTGAGACTCTATTTTCGCATCAGGACGCGCAATTGGCGCGTAACTATACCATGGACCAGTTGTATCGGTCATAGGTTGTTGCTGTTGTTGCTGAGGAGTTTTTTGGTCTGCTGTGATAAAAATAGGTTGTTCAAATGGACCAGTTGTTGCAGCCACAGAAAGAGCAGTTTGAGAATTGCTGATCGGGATATAATCAGTAGGTGAAGTGATAGTCATTCCTGGAGAGGTTGTGGCTGGTGTAAGAACTGATGAAGAAGGTGGGAACGCAGAGACTGGTGAAAGTGGAGTTACCGAGGTTGTTGTTGTTGCTGCTGTTGCTGTAGCTGATGTTGTTTCAATTGAAACACCTGGTGTAATTGGAACATTTGCTGCAACAGCTGCTGCTGCTGCCGCTGCTGCTGCCGCTGCTTCTGTTGTGCAGATCCAAGTCATGTTGTTGTTGAAGGTCAGTATTGGAGAGGCTGATGCTTCAATACTGGTAGCCACATACTCGTTATTTATGTACTCCGCATAATCTGGTCCACTACCATTTGAGGTCATGTAAAGAGGCTCCACCATTGAGGAAGTCGAAACTGGGGTAGTCAGAATAGGAGAATTCATTTTTTGAGTAGTGTCATGACCCGCTGTTGTAGTTGATGTTGTTGCAGGTAAAGAAGTTGTTACCACCGTTGTATTGACTAAAGGAGCAGATGTGGCAGGGTAGAAAGAAAAGCGACCACGGTTCATGAGGTTATTAAGAGGTTGTGTTGGAGGTTGTGTTTGAGGGAAAAAAACGTTTGTAAAGTGGATTTGGTTATTGTCAACCGCAAACATTCTATTTGATTGTGAAGAAGAAGAAGAAGAAGAAGAAGATTGGTGTTCTTGTGGGATAAGGTGTTGTTGTTGTTGTTGTTGTTGTTGTTGTTGTTGTTGTTGTTGTTGTTGTTGTTGTTGTTGTTGTTGCTGTTGCTGATAAATAGTTGGAGGAACCTGTTGCTGAGAGATAAATTGATTTTGGCCAGGTACCAATTGTTGTTGTTGTTGTTGTTGTTGTTGTCCGTACACTAGGGGAAGACCTTGTTGAAGGGCAAATGGGTGTCCTTGAGATTGAATCTGAGGAGGTTGATGAAACTGTTGTTGTTGATGCTGCTGAAACTGCTGCTGCTGTTGCTGCTGCTGCTGCTGCTGAAACTGTTGCTGTGGAATAAAGTAACGGAACTGTTGAGGAACTATATTAGTCGTCACTTGGTGATGATGATGATGATATTGTGGTTGTTGTTGTTGTTGTTGATATTGTTGTGGTTGTGGTTGTGGTTGTTGGGCTGTAAGAATTTGTGGACCCAAAGAAAGGGACGAAGAAGCTTGTTGTTGTTGGTGAGAAATGAGAGTGGAAGCAGGAGTACTGGTGGTAGCTAATGGAGTCGTCTGGTGTCCTTGCTGATTTGGCTGGCCAGACATGAACCAATTTTTAGTGCAAATTAAAGGGGAAGAAGAAGAAAAAGAAGAAGAAGATGAATAAAAACAAGAAGTTAAGCTTTGGTTTATACTGTCAAAAGTATTATTCTCTTTAGGTTTGTACTGTGACTGAGATATCTTGCTGAAGACATAAGGAGGACTCTGGTCAGGATAGTATGTCAACGGCACAGTTGGAAGAGAAAGAGGAGATTGTGGTGAAATAATGGGTGCTAGCTAATACTGGCGATGACCGGTATGATATGTAAGTGGTGAACTATACATTAAAAAGAATTATAGGTTAGCATTGAAATGATCGATAAATAAAGGGCGAATAATATAAGAAAAATAAAATTTGAGGAAATAAATAAATAAATAAATAAATAGGCGAAGAAAAAACCCAAGTAGAAATAGACGGAATGGTGAGAAAAGATTTGGACCAAAGGGTTGAATCAAAGGGTTGAACTTGGTCAAGTGCATTACATGTTCCCAAAGATTTTGGTTTCCATGACACGCGTAACAAAAATGATATTTTGCAGAAGGGAAAATAGATGGAAGAAAAGAATGAGAGCAAAAAAAAAAAAAAAAAAAAAAAAAAAAAAAAAAAAAAAAAAAAAAAAAAAAAAAAAAAAAAAGATCACTTACATTTGAGATTGTTGATAACTTTGGTACGCACCAATTAGAAAAAAAAAAAAAGGAAAGAAAGAAAGAAAGGAATATCTCCAGCTATTTGTATGTGTTTGTATACTCTAGGCTGTGTGTGACCCTCTCAATATATATAGATTGGTGGTAGTGCAGATTAAATATATCCAATGGAAGAATTCCAGTTCAGGGGGGGGGAGGTTTATTGTGTGTTGTGAGTTCTTTTTTTTTTTTTTTTAGGTTGGACTTTGAGTATGAAAGTGCAGGCGTTTATATATATATATATATATATATATTTTTTTTTTCGGGAAAAGGGGTGTTAATGTAAATTGTTGTTTTTAAGAAATGCAAAAAAAAAAAAAAAAAAAAAAAAAAAAGAATTAAAGTATGATTGATATTATAGATAGATAGAAAGGCTTCTTCCAATTGATGTTGTTGTTATTATTAATTTTGATGATAAAAGACAATAGATCAAGAATGGAAATTATAAAGAAAGATTCTTGAAATGTTGTTGATGATTATATTGGAAGCTATTAGCTTTTATATGGTTGTAGTAGTAATTGTTGGTGTTGTTAGTGTTGATGTTGTTGATGTTGTTGATGATGATGATGATGATGAGAAAGGAGGTAAAAATAAAAAATAAAAAAAAAAAAAATGTTCAAGGGGATGGGGAAAAAGTCTTTATTTATAAAAGGGTAAAAATAAGCTTTGTGACTTGAAATAATAGGTTTTAGTTATTAAATGTTTAGACCAGTGATTTGTAAAAAATCAAATCAAAAAATAAAAATAAAAATAAAAATTAAAAACACAAAAAAAAAAAAAAAAAATTAAAAAAAAAAAAGAAATGTTAAATTTTTTTTTTTTTTAGTCTGGCCTGGCCCGCGCTGCTTTTTTTTTTTCAAAAATGGCCTCCCACCACACTTTTTTTCTACAGCCGTAATACCGCATGAGAGAACTCACACACACACACACACACACACACACACACACACTCCGATTTCTTTTCTAGCTGTGCCTCTTTTCCTATCCTATTTTCTAACCAATCTCTCTCTCTTTTTCTCTAGCCCTCGCTCTTCGGGTATCGCATCCTCCCCCGCTCTCCTCTCCTCTCCTCTTCTCTCTCCCCCCTTCGCATTTAAAAAAATAAAAAAATAAAAAAATAAAAAAAATAACCGACACTATCATATTCCCTTCTTAAGATTTTTTATTTTTTTTTTTTTTAATTTTTTTATTTCTTTCACTAGTCCTAACCAGAATTGTCGTTTTAGGTCATAATAGCGAGATTGAAATTGTTCTTTTAAAAAAAAAATAATAATTATAATAATAATTTCTTAAATATTCTTGACATTAATTTCTTTTCAAAGTACCAACTAACAATAAAATTTACGTCATACTTGATATACTTCCAATATTTGAAAAAAAATAATTAGATAAATAAAAATTAAAAGCATTCACTTAAAATGACTTTCTATTAGATCTTAAACCAACTGGTGCGGCTATCCTATAAAGAATATTCTTCAATTATCCCGATTTCTTTCCTTCTCCATTTGTCACTTGTGAAACCTTTGTAGTATTTGACAAGTATTAAACCATATTTATAACTTTCCTCGAGTTTCATTATATACCAGTTTCTTTTTTTTTTTTTGTCACCTTACTTAATCTTTAATTTTTTTTCTAAACCTATCCAAAATAATAGATCTCATGCTTCTTCTTTCACTCACATGAAAAATACTTCATAGTCACATTAAAATGTCCTTATAATAATAATTTTATATTCATCAATATGCAAACTATTTGTTTTTTTTTTAAATAAATGTCAACGCATTATTTTATTTCTTAATAATCCTCAATACATTTAAATCAAATTAATTATATCATAAAAATTCAAATTAGTTATTTTACCAATACCATGGGAAATCATCTAAGTCTAGGTTCATACCACTATATTAGAAATAAATAATCTATTAATATATATATATATATATATAAACTTCAATAAATATATATTATATCTAAATCTTTTTTTTCATCTTCTTTACAATGTTAATTCATGTTTAAATTATCTTATGGGGTCCTTTTAAGTAAAAGAAAAAATTAAATAAACTCATCCAAGAAAGTTCTATTGTTCAAATCCATTTTGGGAAACCCATTGTTTTTTTGTTATTCAAATTTATAAAAATAAGTCTCGGTTATATTTTTAATTATGTGATAACTCTTTTTATTAAATTTTTTTTATTCAATATATATTGTTAATGGGAAACTTTGCATCTTTTGTGTTTGAGAGAGAATTATCTAAATGAGGGAAACGCACATACACACACAGAAATCACTTTTCAATGACGTTATAATTGTGGCTGTCACACACATGTCACCTTCAAATTTTAAATTTTTCTTTTTATTTTGAATTAATCCCCCTCGAATCCTGGCATTGAGTTTTGACATCCATCTTTAATTCTATTCGTTTTTGCATGTGGTGTCGGTACTGTCTTCTTTTTTTTTTTTTTTTTTTTTTTTTTAAGGGCCTGTTTGTTATGTCATTTTATTCTATTTTTGGAATCACTTTATCTTCTTCTTCTCCTACAATTGCCCATCTGTTAGGCTAAACACCGTTCTGTCATAAATTTAAAGTTCTTCTACGATAAAAATAAATTGTTCTATGTATAGAACAATTTAAATTTAGAAACATTTTACTTAGTAATCTTTTATTTCTTCGCATAGAATAAATACTTTAGCACTAATTCTTTCTATATTTAGATTTATTCTATGCATAGAACTCTTTTAAATTCTTTCTAGAAGCAATCTTATCTTAAATTAAGTTTAGTCCATACTAAACTAAGCCATCTTTTCCCAGATTTCGTTAAAATAATTTTCCTAGTTATCTCTTTACGTGATTCTTTTTTTAGAACAAGTTTTTTTTTTTTTTTTTTTTTTCTTCAAAAAAAAAAATTTTTTTTCTTTTTTTTTCACAAATCTTCCCACACTTACCCCATGTTTCTTCTATCTTTGCCCCTCGCCCTCTCCCCCCCCTTCCCCTCCTACCATATTACCTTGCTTATCTCGGTCTCTTTCCCTCTACTTTGCAAATTATTTCTTATCATTGTTTTTTTTTCTCTCTCTCTCCCAAATGTCAAACATTTTTCTCTCACAATATTTTGTTTATGGAATATTCTTTATTTTTTATTTTAATTTTTAAGACATAAAATAAAATAAGAATGCAACTAAAAGTATTCACTAACCTAATACTACTACAGTTGATTGTTTGATCAGAACAATGCTATTGTCTATTTATTCATTTATTTTTTTTTCTTTTAAATTGTTTGATGTGTTTTCAAAAGTAGGTAGCACTGTTACTATCACCTTTAATTATGACATACAATAAACCGCTGTGCCATACCACTGATCTTGCAGTCACGTCAAATTACTAATCATTTTATTTTTATTTTTTTTTCTCTTGCATTCATTTTAAAAAAAATAGGCTCTGCCATAAAAAAAATAAAATAAAAATACAAAACATATCATATTATTTCTCAATAAACTACATTTTAAAATTACAAATATTTGGCCTGGTTTTGTACTTTTTGTAATCATATATTATCCATTTTTATTACTTTATATTTTGATACAACTTAATATGACTAGATATTTTCATACTTTTTTTTTTTTTTTTTTTTTTTTTTGAATACTGGGAAAATGTTTCTGCTTCTAGTTCTAAACCAAAAGTCTCTATATTTAGAAGGATAGACTAATTTTCCCCTCCTATATTTTGGTACTAACTAATTTGTCCAAAATCCCGTCTGAAAAAAAAAAAAAAAAAAAAAAAAAAATTTTCTTTTGTTACAATTCTTTTTGCTTGTAACAAAGATTTTAAAAATAAAATTCTCGTATACCATAAGTATTGCGTACATATCAAAGCACGTTACTGTGATTTACCACTTAAATATTTTATAAAACAGACATTTTCTGGGCATACTTACACTTGGTATCATGGATTTATTTCTTCTTTGGACTAAATTACTCTTTTGCATAGTACAGATGCATGTCAAAATGGTAAAAGAAAGAAAAAAAAAAAAAAAAAAAACCCTACCAAGTGTAACTTGCTCTCAAATATCTTAATCTCTCACAAAATGACTTTTTTTTATCACCTTGAGCTCTTAGTCCAATTCAGGTCTCTTTTTTTTTTTTTTTTTTTAGAGGTATCGGCAATCTCCGCCTGATACATCTCCCATTCTGCATAAACAATTCATTTTCAAAATTTAACTACAATATTTTTTTTATCACGTTTTGCGACAATTTTTTGAACATTTCCCAAAAATCGAAGCGTTTCGGAAAATAAAAATTATTGTCATTGTTTGTAGCATAAAAAA